ACGTTCCTCCCTCGGTTTCTCAACTCGATCAGCAGCTGAATAAGGTCCTTCTTCGTGACTTTATTGGTCTCTCTGTAAGTCGCAACGTCCCCCACGAGTTTGATAAAGAAGTCGCTGACGTCCTTGGGTATAAGCGTAGCTTTGAGACGAAACATCAGACCAGGGCAGATCCTCATGAGGGCATCCTTCAGTACTCCGAACAAATCTCTTTGAAATGCTTTCATGGCGTACTTTCTAAATTCGGAATCCTGCTGACTTAGCCCGTTGCATTCCACCCCAAAGCCAGCCGTGCCTATGGTGTCCATGGTGAACCTGGCGAAGATGTCCTTGATGTCAACCGGCCGTTTGTCTCTGATGCATTGGGCCATAAGCTCGCCTAACTTGTTCGTATGCTTCTCAAAAGTCTCAAACATCATCCTCATGTTATCCGAAGTGTATGTCTCCGATACCTTCACCCTGACGTTCCTCCATCTTTGGCCTTTCAAATTGAAAGTAATCCCACTTAAGGGGTCGGCCTCTTCGTTCACATACATCGGCCGGTCAGTGAAAGACGCGAAATCTTTCACCAACACCCGCCTGATTAAGTCAAGGTCGGTTATAATCAACACTGGCGTCGTCGAAAAGTAAAAACCGCCATATTTCAAATTCTTCATCTTATGATCGTTGTAGAAATCCTCGTACATCACGTGCAGGGACTTCTTTTGGGTCATGTAACTTTTGGCGTGACCATACGGGAACGTCACAGGTAGAACCTCGACGCCCCTCTTCTGCCAATACGACCATACATTTTTGAAGTACAAAACCAACCACACCACCACGACCAGAAGAACTGCCAAAAGGATCACTAGCAACATCTTTGCTCATCGACGAACAGTGCACTGTTAGTTTAAAGGTACGTGTACAAAAATCAACTTTTTCCCCAGTAACAAATGAATCTTTATCAAACCAGTCCGTGGCTCTTTTATCTCTCAACTTCCGACAAAGGTCAAACTCACCAGATTACGGTTGAGCAAAAATTCAAAGGGCTGTAACATTTGAACTAGTATACCCCAATCTTGGAACTGTTTGAAATTATGGATTCTACAGGCCACATTCTATAAGAAAATTTTTTCCGGGTCGATCTGAGACAATTTTTTCTTCGGGCCTCAAAAAAAGGCAGTGTATAACCTTCCTTTTTTACCAAAAATCGACTACACCAAAATTTCTCGTGAAAACACTTTTTCTTATTCAAATCAAATCAAATCAAATCATTTATTGTCAGAGTACCAAATGTGGCTTTGACATGTCAATAATGCACAATGTAAATAACCTAAATATAAAACAGCAACATTCGAGATATAACTACACATTTTCAATAAATATAAATATGGACGTACACTACACATTAAAATTTTGATTTACATAAAATAATAATAATAATTTAGCTTACGCTTACACTTATCATATAGGTATGTGACACAAGGGTGTAATATAAAAACAAACGACATATGATGGGACGAACATACAAAACTGATACGCATCAAGGCACGAGTTATCATTTGGTGGAATAAATAAAGAGTATATAAAATAAAATCGAAAAATAAAATAAATTGACAGGTTTCATATAAGACTAGATAGATTATCACAGTTGAATTCTTCAATAGCGTAATATGCTTTTTTTAATAGTATTTCTTTTAATTCCTTTTTTAGTTGTAGTCTAGTCAACTCTTTTATTTGCGTTGGAAGATGATTGAAGAGTTTTTGGGAGACGTACACTAGTCCATTTTGTGTCTTGGCTAAACGGCAATAGTTTGGCCTTATGTTAGTTCGGGATCTTGTGAAATGATGATGTATATCACTTTGTAATTTAAATTCATGAAGATTATCTTTCGCATACATAATACTATCTAACAAATATTGTGATGGTAAGGTTAATATTTTTAGGTCAATAAAAGTCATTCGGCAATCATCCCTATATCCAAGACCATTTATTCTTCGTACTGCACGTCGTTGGAGACCAAAAACTCTTCGCGCTGCAGGACAATTTCCCCAGACTAAGATACCATAGCTTAATATGCAATGTATTAGCGAATAATAAGCACTCACTAAAACGTTCCTTGAGACATTATCGGATAAACGTCGTAACACAAATATGTTTTTGCTAATTTTTTTACAAATAAAATCGACATGTACTCCAAAGTTTAAGACCGGATCAATATGTACACCTAAAAATTTTACAGAAGCATTGTTTTGAAATGCATGATGTCTTAGAGTTAGCATCAGGTTTTCCGATTTGGTTTCGTTAAGCTTTAATTGGTTTGGTATAAACCATTCTAACGCCAGAGTTTCAACTTGTTTGTGAACAGACAAAATGTCATTTAACCCTTTGCGTTTTATAGCGAGCGTTGTGTCGTCCGCAAATAAAATACAATCCGCATAGATGTTTATGTAATTAGGGAAGTTATTAAAATAAATCAAAAACAAAAGTGGTCCGAGAATGGACCCCTGGGGAACTCCCCTAATTACAGATAGTTGACTTGACAATACTCCATTGTGGAAGACGTGCTGAAATCTATTAGATAAATAGGAAGAAATTAACTTTAAACTGAAATCGTCAAAATTATACGTTATTTGTAATTTTTGCAACAATGTATTGTGTGATATACAATCAAAAGCCCTGGACAAATCTAAAAACATTGAAATTGTATAGGCACCTTCTTCGAAACAGTTCAAAGTATTATTTTTGGTGCGTGAATACAAAACAATTCGTACGTTTTCGATTAGACCTCTCAATAAAAAATTATGGACAAAAAACAAATTTCGAAAAAAATCCAAAGGGCTGTATCTTTTGAACTAGTAGCCCAATCTTGGAACGGTTTGAAATTATGGATTCTACAGGCCACATTCTATAAGAACATTTTTTCCGGGTCGATCTGAGACAATTTTTCTTCGGGCCTCAAAAAAAGGCAATGTATAACCTTCCTTTTTTACCAAAAATCGACTGCACCAAAATTTCTCGGGAAAACACTTTTTCTTATTAATTTTGGTGCGTAGAATTCAAAACAATTCGTACGTTTTCGATTAGACCTCTCAATAAAAAGTTATGGACAAAAAACAAATTTCGAAAAAAATTCAAAGGGCTGTATCTTTTGAACTAGTAGCCCAATCTTGGAACTGTTTGAAATTATGGATTCTACAGGCCACATTCTATAAGAACATTTTTTTTCCGGGTCGATCTGAGACAATTTTTTTTTCGGGCCTCAAAAAAAGGCAGTGTATAACCTTCCTTTTTTACCAAAAATCGACTGCACCAAAATTTCTCGGGAAAACACTTTTTCTTATTAATTTTGGTGCGTAGAATCCAAAACAATTCGTACTTTTTCGATCAGACTTCTCAATCAAAAGTTATAGACTAGAAACCAATTTCGAAAAAAAATTCAAAGGGCTGTAACTTTTGAACAAGTAGCCCAATCTTGGAACTGTTTGAAATTATGGATTCTACAGGCCACATTCTATAAGAAAATTTTTTTCCGGGTCGATCTGAGACAATTTTTTTTTCGGGCCTCAAAAAAAGGCAGTGTATAACCTTCCTTTTTTACCAAAAATCGACTGCACCAAAATTTCTCGGGAAAACACTTTTTCTTATTAATTTTGGTGCGTAGAATCCAAAACAATTCGTACTTTTTCGATCAGACTTCTCAATCAAAAGTTATAGACTAGAAACCAAATTTCGAAAAAAAATTCAAAGGGCTGTAACTTTTGAACTAGTAGCCCAATCTTGGAACTGTTTGAAATTATGGATTCTACAGGCCACATTCTATAAGAAAAAATTTTTCCGGGTCGATCTGAGACAATTTTTCTTCGGGCCTCAAAAAAAGGCAATGTATAACCTTCCTTTTTTACCAAAAATCGACTGCACCTAAATTTCTCGGGAAAACACTTTTTCTTATTAATTTTGGTGCGTAGAATTCAAAACAATTCGTACGTTTTCGATTAGACCTCTCAATAAAAAGTTATGGACAAAAAATAAATTTCGAAAAAAAATTCAAAGGGCTGTAACTTTTGAACAAGTAGCCCAATCTTGGAACTGTTTGAAATTATGGATTCTACAGGCCACATTCTATAAGAAAATTTTTTTCCGGGTCGATCTGAGACAATTTTTTCTTCGGGCCTCAAAAAAAGGCAGTGTATAACCTTCCTTTTTTACCAAAAATCGACTGCACCAAAATTTCTCGGGAAACACTTTTTCTTATTAATTTTGGTGCGTAGAATACAAAACAATTCGTACGTTTTCGATTAGACCTCTCAATAAAAAGTCATGGACAAAAAATAAATTTCGAAAAAAATTCAAAGGGCTGTAACTTTTGCACCTTCATATATGCATTTACGATTCCTCCATTAATTTTCATAGAACAATCCCCAACCTACATTTTTTTTTAATCTTCTACTACTGGAATCAGCTGCGAATCTTCCGTGAATCTTCAAATCCCCTTAAAATCTTTCGTGAACTTTTCTAGAATCATCCGTGAATCTTCACGGTCCTTATTCAACTTTTCCATGAAAATTCTTCGAATAATCACAAACCCTAAATTTTAGCATAAAGTTTTCTACCACGTAGCTTCCTAAAATGAACTACGAATGTTTCTAGAATCTTCTAGGGTTCTTCTGCTAACTTCCTTCAAATTTTGTTGTAGGCTCCTGGAATCAGATGTGAATCTACTTCCCCAATACGTTTCTTGTTATCACTTGTTATCTATCACCAGATATACTTTTTTTTTGTTCGCTATCAAGCGGTATAAGCGTCAATTGTTAGAGGATCGGATAAAAACAAAAAAAAAACAAATAACAAGCTGCGGATAATACGTTTAATGAATAAACACAACATAAGAGAATGTTGTTAAAACCGATAAAATATCAAATTACCATTTGTGATAATTTAGTTAATTGTTGAAGTAATTTTTGTACATTTTGCTTATTTCTCCGTCTGTCCATCTGGATTGCAATTTCAAAAATAAACGAAATACATTCACAACTTTTAATTTGATACAACTTACATGTTATCTCGCCATAAAGTATAATAGCTATCCATACATTTAATTTCCATAAAACATTTCATTATCCCTGTACGTCCCTTGAAAGAATTTCTCGTATAACTCGTGTATAGAAATGTTACAGTAATTATAGTTGTGAATACATTGAATACCCTGTCGTTTTTAACTTTTTTTTTCTTCTTTATTTGAAAAACTACTTTCTCTAATTGTTCGCTAAGTTTCGATTAAACGAAAATAATTTATAACAGTATAGTAAAAAAAACTGATAGATAAACCATTTTACAAAACAACACTTAGCATAAAATAAAATTTGTTAAAAAACTACCGACGACGAATTCGCCTAATACAGATATATCATTAATTACTAAGCTGTACACTTTCTTCTCTTAGTAGGTAGACATATACAAAAAAGCATATATAAAAATTAAAAAAGTTTAATACTACTAATATATTATCATCTTCAGTGTGCTTTGGTTACTTACGTCTGGGAGAATTGGTAACCGACAATACCGACTTGCTCTGGAAAAGAGAGAGAGATCAATCGATGCGAATGCGCCGCGGGTCGTGGCGTGAAAAAGACGTGCGCCGAAAATAACACAGAACGAAAACTTACCCGCAAAATAATTTTGCAAAAAACTCTTGCAAAATACGTAGAATATTGCACTTTTAGAGGTAACTTAAAACTGAAAGTAAATTAATGAATTAGTGAGAAAATCAGTGAATCGAAAACTCAATAAAAACTTGCGTGATGTGACGATGGAAACATAATAAAAACTGATTCGTAATTGTAAATTTTATTCTATCACATGCAGAAGTAACAAAAAAACAATTGTTTACCGACATGCTTCGACAACCTACATTGCAATACGCCCGCAGTGGGTACTGCAATCTTCTCGTACCAAACCGATGAATCGGCGCAAACGGTACAATATTTTTTTCTTATAAATTTGTACTTAAAATACACTTAAAACATGCAAGGTACATATAACTACCAAGCTGTAGTAATATACGACGGAGCTCAAAATAAATAAAAATAGGCACAACTTCTACATCACATCTACAAACATCTCACAAGGATTTCCCATTGCTATTTTAAAGGATTGTCTACTACCGGCAATATCTTTCGCTTGTGCCGCCACCTGCGTACCGCTGCTCTGATCAGACCCGTTCGAGGATCCGTTGCCGTTGCCGACCGCGATCGGTATCGCGGAACGGGGACCCAGCGAAGTAATATCACTATCGGACGCGCTGCTGTGCGCTCCGCCGTCCTTGAGATGATCGGAGCCGTTAGACGATCCACCTAGAACGATACGCGCCAAAATAATAATAACTTCAGTTCCTTTTTAAGTATTTCGAAAAAGTATGATTTGAAATTTTCCAAAAATAACTTGACCATGTTCCCTATAATGTTAATTGGCTAACGTCAAATTTCAAATATTAAATTTTTGCATATTATTGTGTCAAAATTTCATTTATTTGCAATTTTTAGCTGTCAAATATCATATTTTGACAATTTTTGAGTGCAAAATTAAATTCAATTGTAAATTTTTTTAAATTTTTGGACACAAATATAATAACTCTTCAGGAAACTAAGATTCGGTGTCCTTAGGCCTGACCGTTTTGAGGCAAATTAGTCGAGTAAAGGGGTTTGGAGCCCTTATCAATTACGCCATAATGTTTAGAAAGGGTCTTTATAGCAAAATGTTTCGTGAGAGAACGCAGCACCAGAGTCTTTTTTTCTGGAGGGTATGGAATATCCTCCACTTCAATTTAATTTTTTTTTTAATTTTTAGGTATCAAACATATTCTTGCAAGTTCGGAGGGCCCACTTTTTTGACACTCTTCTGGTGTTATATTTCTTAATCTTCAATGTATTAAATTCTATTCTTTTCGCCAACGCCTTAAGGTCCGGTTTTTCTCCAAATTGGAGGGAGAAAGGACCAAACTTAATTTTCTTGTGATTTTGAGGGACCCACATTTTCAGGTGCCATATTCATTAATCTTAACTGTGTTTGAAGGGTCCAACTGGTACCATATTCCTTAATCTTCAGTGTGCTTGGGCAATGTTCCTTTCTCGAAACTTGGGGAGAGGGAGTCAAATTTAAATTTTTGACAATTTTTGAGTGTCATATTTCTTAATCTTTAATTTTTCATGTTCCATTCTTCTCGGTCAACGCTTAAAAATTGTGCATTCAGATGACATCTGTCATTCTTATTAAAAATGGGACGCGGAGCACGAATTATAATGAAATTCATAACCAAAAACCATATTGGATCTATGAGAACCACGGGAAATGCTTGGAAGTGTTAATTAAATTCAGAAGTGTCAGAAGCTTTACAATGATTTCGACCCTTGTAATGTAAAAAATGTTTTTGACTCACCGCTTCCGCTCAGCACGGACTCCTCGCGATTGTACCCATAAACCGTATGCTCGCTCGCCGTGTAGAACGGCATGGGCATATACTCTAAGGGGTTATACGTTCCACTGTACGGCATGTAATTGGGTACGTTAGGCAGCGGACCGACCGAGTCGGCGTCGCCCTGCACCTTCAAATTCGACATTGCCGAACAGAGATCCCCGAAGATATAGTAGCACTGTTCGGAGAACGTGATCTTGTTCACCGTGTGCCTAATGAATCCGGCTTTGAGAAGGTGCGAGGCGTACTTGCGCGTATCGCGCCTGTCTTGGAAGCCCTCGACGTGACTCATCAGCCAGTCGATTAGGTCCGTGCCTATGAACGCGTTAGGAATCGTTATTTTGAGCCACATGCGATCGCGTATCTCGAGACCGCTGTCGGGCCGCTGCATCGCCTGCACGACCATCGCCATCGCGCTATTTACACTTAAGTGCTCCTCCATATCTGCAACGAAGGTTACGGTTAGGCGGTGAACGAACGGACTGGCGGACTCACGTTCGTTGGCCGGTATCGTGCTAGTAATGGACGCGCTGGAAACCGTCGAACTGCTCGGGGGTCTCACAACTGGATCCCCTCGTACTGCTGCCGTGTGAGCTACCCACGCACCTGAAAAATGTATGCCTACAAGTCACTCTGCAATAATCGGAATTTCTGTACAGTTAAATACAGCAACGCATACATTATTTATAAGAGCGCATAGTTCTCGCGCAAAATATTACCTAATTAATGTACATAATTAAAGATGTTACAAGACGCACAAAGTTTTCAAAACCATGTTTCCTGCGGCAGTGCATACATTACTTATAAAAGCGCATAATACTAGTGAATGAAGGTACAGATGAACGGGGCAAGGGTAGGGGGGGATAAATAAATACGCCCATTGAAAATACATACAGTATAAATTAATGTTAAATAAGGAAACATTAAGGTCAAGGGGCGCAAAATAAAGAGGAGCTTCAAATAAAAAAAAATGATTTATAATAAATTTTATTGGCGCCTAATTTCCACGCATAATTAACGTACAAAACCTAACGCGCACAATTAGCACACATAAACATTTTTTTTTCTAATAAGCATTACCGTACAGTAAGCGCATAATTTTCGCGAGCGAAAAAATAGGCCCAACGTGGCATAATCAACACAATTGCATATCTCAAAAAATAAACTTTATTGGTGTAAAGTGCGAAATGTTCCAAGGCGCATAATTAGCGCACAGACAATTTTCTGCAGTACAGCAGCGCATAACCATATCTAAAGGCGCAAAATAAATGCCCGATTCAATCGCAAAAAAATTAATGTACAATCTCTTTTACTGGCGCATAACTTCCGCGCACAATTACACAGCCAAATGTTCCAAGGCGCACAAAGGCAATAATTTTTCTCATAAGCACACAAAGTACAGTAGCGTTAACGTTACTTTTAAAGGCGCATAATAAATTTCAGTTTGAAAAAATTAATTTATACCCAATCAAATTTATTGAAGCACAATTAAAATGCAAAACTATCCAAGACGCACAATTAGCGCACAAAGCCAATTATTCCTTAGTAAGCATAGCGCATATATTAATTGCAAGGGCGTATAATTCTCACGAATCAAGAAACATTCTGGCAAAGAAGTGCATAATAAATGCGCACATTTAATTTCAAAAATGTACCCATACAATACAATTGCAAAATAGGCGCACAAGATGCGCATAATTAATTTGTATTATATATTATAATATATTATATATATTATATTATATAATACATTATAATATATTATATATGTTATATTATATAATATATTATATATATTATATTATATAATTAATAATTAAAGCGAAGAATCTTCCAAGGCGGAATGTTTTTTGCAATATGCATTACCACGCAGAACAGCAACGAATAAATTAACCAGGGCGCATAATTCTCCCGAATGAAGCAACAGTTCAATGGCGCAAAGGGGGGAATATTAAATTCAAAAAATTAAATTATGCGCATAATTAAAAGTGTCAAATCTTCTCAGGCGCATAAACTTCCGGATTTTTCAAATACATTCCGTCAGCGCATAAATTACCTTTAAGGGCGCAAAATTTTGGCGAACGTAAAAACATTCAATGGCGCATAATTAAGTCTAAGCCGCTAAAAAATTACTGGATTATATACATACCAGGATCTATTGGTCGAACTGGTTCGGTCCTTGGAATAGTGAAGTACCCTTTCGGATTGGGATCCCAGCATTTGGCAACTACTAATTTAATTGGTCTAAAAAAAAATTTGGCGACTTTTAATTACAGTTTGCAGTAAGTACAGCTAAACAAGCATAGTGCCACGCTGGGTCAATATTTTGCGTGCTTCCATAGGAATGCTTCAGCGTTACAAACCGAAAAGAGAATTATTGCGCGTGATTGCTGCGATTTAGTACGAAAATAATAAAAATTATTACAGGGTGCGTCAACAAATTTAACCTCTGGAAACATAGTTAAAATTTTCGCGGAAGAAACTGGCGAAATAAAAGGATCATAAATTGAATTCGGACAATAGTCTAGTCTTGAAGAATGCTAAAATAAAAATTCATACAGGGTGCGTCAACTGATGTAACATCTGGCTACATAGATCCAATGTTCTCAAAAGAATCTGGAGAAATAAAAGTGAAAAGTACGCTAAACTAAATTAAGGTTACATCCTAGTTATAACGAATGCGAAAATAAGATAAATTCATACAGGGTGCGTCAACAGATTTGAGTTCTGGCGATATACTTTCCGTTTTCGCAGAAGAATCTGACGCAATAAAACAGAAAATTATCTTAAATTAAAGTAGACCTATATCCTATATTCCTAATGCAAAAATAATAAAGATTCATACAGGATGCGTCAACAAATTTCACTTCTAACACACATCCTGTGCTTGCAAAAGTAATCTGGAGAAATAAAAGCAAAAAGGACCTTAAATTGGATTAGAGCTATATCCTAGTTTTGAACAATGTGAAAATAATAAAACTTCATACAGGGTGCGTCAACAGATTTAACTGAAACTCGAAAAAAATACAAGCGAAAAAGATTTTATATGCAACGAAAAGTATATAATAATCTTAATGAATATGAAATTAATAAAAAAATGTACAGGGCGCGTTAAAGATTTTACTTCTGGCAAAGTGTTCCTGAAAAAATACAAGCAAAAATGATCTTCAATGCATGCAACAAAACGTTTATTCTAGTCTTAATACAAAAATAGTAAACATTCATACAGGGTGCGTCAACAAGATGTACTTCTAGCAACCTACTAAGTGTTTGGTAAAGAATCAAAGAAATACGTGCGAAAATAGCTTTATATAAACAAAGAATATATTCTAGTCTTGGAGAATACAAAAGTAATCAAAAAATGTACAGGGCGCGTCAAAAAATTTTACTTCCGCCAACATGCTTTAAGTGTTCCTGAATGAAACTGAAAAAACACATGCAAAATTGGCTTTACATGCAACGAAAGGTATACTCTACTCTTGAAAGTAATAAAAACATGCACAGGGCGCGTAAAAAAATTTACTTCCAGCAATATAGTTTAAATGTTCCTGAAAGAATTTGAAAAAATACAAGCAGAAATAGGTTTATATGCAACGGAAACTGTATTCTAGTGTTAAAGAATACAAAAGTAATAAAAACACGTACAGGGTGCGTCAAAAGATTTTACTTCTTGCAAAATGCTTTGTGTTCCTGAAAGAAATTGAAAAAATACGTGCAAAAATGGCATTGTATGCAACGAAAAGAATGTTCTACTTTTGAAAGTAATAAAAACCTGTACAGGGTGGGTAAAAAAATTTACTTCTGGCAATATACTTGTAATGTTCCTGAAAAAATCCAAGCAAAAATAGGTTTATATGCAACGGAAAGTGTTTTCTAGTGTTAAAGAATACAAAAGTCATAAAAACACGTACAGGGTGGGTAAAAAAATTTACTTCTGGCAATATACTTTTAATGGTCCTGAAAAAATACAAGTGAAAATAGCCTTATATGCAACGGAAAGAATATTTTAGTGTTAAAGAATACGAGAGTAATAAAAACATGTACAGGATGCGTTAAAAGAAAAAAAAACAAGCGAAAATGGCATCTTATGATCACTTATAATTGGCAAAAAAAATACTATGTATACACGATGTAACATAAGTAACAAATTTATGGAACACACTTGTTTCATGCAAGGCTCAAAATAAGTTTGTGTACAGGGTGTGTCAAAAAAGTAGGCTACCAGTACAAATCTGACCAATTCCATTAAATTCTCTCTTCTCTTGGTTTAGAAAGGAAAATAGTAAAACTGGTACAGGGTGATTTGAAAAGATTTGCAATGCAGTGTTCCACTTTGAACGTGGTTTTTACAAAATAAAATTTTACCAACTGTCTTAATTCAGTTTTTCTCCGGTTCTGGAAATCTTCTCTTAGTGCTCCTCTACAATTCCAGAAGAGAAGCTTTATATACATTAGATAATAAAAATTTATACAAGGTGAGTCAAAATGTTTGTTGCATACGGGGTGGCATCTTACAAAAGCACACAAAATATTTACTCTTAAAAAACCTACCCTGGCTTTTGCACAACTTCCCTTAACACCCTAACCGCCTCATCGTTTGACATATTCTCAAAGTTAACGTCGTTCACTTGTAAAATCATATCGCCCGGCTCTATTCGACCATCGAGTGCCACGGCGCCCCTAAAATGAAAAATCAAAACCGAGAAGAGCGGGGGTGACATTTCGTACCCCTTCATTATGGAACCGACGTATATTCCGCCGTCACCTCCCTTATTGCTTTGTCCTACTATTGAAATTCCTAAAAAATTGACAGTGTCCATATTCAACGTGACGGTGATGATATTTAGGGACATCGTCGAGTCCGTGATGCTCGAATACGAGCTCGTACGCGACATTGCCTGTAATCGTTGCTTTCGTCGTCTCTGCGGCCTTTTTCTGCTAGCTACGTGTAACCTACTAACACTAGAGCATTCAGATAGGGCTGTGTGTCGGCCGGTCGTTTCCGACTGGAAGCTTGTCGTTTCTAAATCTGAGCTAACTATGGACGACGTTTCGAATAACCTGCAAATGTTAGTTGTTGCAGAAGGGTAAAGAAGGGCGCATGGTTTACCGTGGGAGATGGCCGTTGATTCGCGAATTATACTTGTGGTGCCGTCTGCCCTGTCTCGAGCTTATAATACTTTCGGTATCTGTGCAGACGGAATCGGGCGGAGGTGGGACCATTCGCTGTTCGGACTGGTGTGTTACGCTATCTGTACATTGTGAGCCGCCGTCCGATTGGTTCGAGCCTTCGGCCGAGACCAACTACAACAAAGTTGAGACACTTTCAGAGTGAAGGGGGCGACTTACCCAACTGACAACCCGTCCGTTAAAACACGGCAAGTGTGCGGAATCCTCGACGATCTCCTCCTTGACGACGCTGCAATGTGAAATGTTATAAACGTTGGGAGGGTGTCGAAATTTACCCGAAATCGTCGTCCATGGACTTGAAGAAGAATTTGTAGTTGGGGCGATTGAGTACATTTTTAAAATCGGCGAGAGTCACTTTCTCGGGGGAAATCGCAATTTTCACTAAATAAGGGGTTTCTTCGTCATCGATGTGATAAATTACTTTCGTTTCGTCCATAATTTGTGCAATATTTTGCACAAAATCTTTTATTTGACAGCACCTAAACGAAATCACACAACATGGCCGATGTTATTGAAACAGTTCCATCATCCCCACCCAAAATGGTTCGAGTCTAAGATAATCTTTGTTTTCGCTTTCAAAAATAGTTAGAAGATTTTGCGTCTTGTTATGTGTACAAAATGGACATTGTTCGGCCTAAATTACACCCAAAATTCGTAATCATCGACTGTATTAATTGATTAATGTATTATTCTTTAGGGGAGTCTAGTAAATTAAATCATCCAACAGAGGGAGCACTCATCAGTCAACATACAGGGTATGGGATACTGTGTCTACACTACAGGCACTTTATGTACATGAATGAAGTTAAATTCAAAAAACCGCCCTCTCACTCCAACCTATTCAACGCATCACATCTCACCCCGCACCTTATTTATGTCGCCCCAAATTCTAGCGCTTACTTTACATCTCCTCCACCATACAATTTTTTTATTTATTGTCCTTGTTCTGGGCCCTCAACAGGTTTGCGTCCAATTACAGAGCAACTCACATAATGTTATCATAACTTCATGAATAACGTTTCAGGTTCCAATTGAGGGGCTTTCTGTCTCGGTACCGATTCTTTTCGGTTGAGGTTCCAACCTCTGTTATCGCGCCAGTGTTTAAATTAAGGAAGAGTTCGCTGAAAGAATGTGCAAGTTGACGTTACGTATTTACGTTTGGCAACACTGCTAAGTGCTGAGTTTTGTTATTGAAGGTTAAGTTATATAGTTATTTATTTTGTAAATTATGGCAAATTAAAGGATAAACAATACATATTCAAAAACAAGAATGGTTAAATAATCATCGACTAATTTGTGGGGCCAACAGGAATCTAACCTAAAATGATCTTGTTAAAACTCTCAAGGAAGATGATCTCAAGCAATTTCTACCTGCTCCTGGGCATCCTACTGGGAGTTTGTATATCGTGCTACCTCGACAGTACCTGCCGGCCCTACAGAGACCCAAAACTAAAGGAGGAAACGCTCGATTTACAGCCAGTTACGCGCAAACGGATCTCGCAAAAGATCATCCATTCAAATAAGCCTCCGACCTCCAGCAAAGAGCCCGAGAAACTCGTGCGCCCCCACTACATTTCCACCGAGTTAAGTATACGAGACAAGCTCTTCGTCGGTGTCCTAACATCTGAGGACAAGATCAACACCCAGGCGGTCTACATTAACAAGACCGTCACCCATTTGGTCGACAAGGTGAAGTTCTTCATAACCGTTCACAACAAAATGAGGCACACGTTTAACCTGACCGGAATCGTCGGTTTCACCGACAGCCGTAGCAGGTATCGTCCGTTTCAGATGATCAAGTACGTCGGCGATACGTTCATGCAAGGGTACGACTATTACTTTTTCATGAACGATTTCAATTACCTAAACGTACGCGAGTTGAAGCAGCTCGTCGGGAAGGTGAGCGCCAGTAACGACGTATACTTGGGGACGCCCGTCGACGATGGCAGCTATTGCAATTTGGGTACGTAGAATATCAATTGTGAATCTCGAAGAGCTTTGGTTTAAACTTTGTGTATAGCCTAAGATCCCACAGCAGGTCAACCTTCACCCATTTGTTGACTGAGTGAAACACGTTTTTTTGCAATCTTGGTATGTAAACAAACACATTGCAAATGGGTTGTCTGAAAAAACTTTAGTGGGGATTAAATCGTTCTGATGATGGTACAAGCCTGAAATTTGGTATGAATGTTGTATATAAAAACGCTGGCCACTTAAGAAATTTAATATAGGTAGTCGCCGATTTCCAAGATGGCGGCTCATATTAACTAATAGCGCATTGGTTATATGTATCTTTCAAGCGTGTCATATGAAAACAGTGGCAATTAAAAAAATTCAAGATGGCCGTCGTTTTCCAAGATGGCGGCACCAATCATGCAAATGTAAAAATAACGGCCATTTTGAATTTGTTGCCATCGTTTTCATATAAAGCAATACCCTTATAGGAGCATTCATTATTATCATCATCTGAAAGATACCTGCCCCACTATAAGTTATTAGTAATAAACATTAACAATAGTAAAAAAAAACTTTGGTTTGAGCTGTTCCGTCAAGAATTTGGCACGTGGTTTATTTGATTCCTTTTTATTTATATCGCATTTTTCTTGATACTCCGAATGTTTTGTAAAAACAGATGCCGGAATTTTGATAAGTAATTCGGTGTTGCGGGCGCTACGCGCAAATTTGGACTGGTGCATAAACAACGCGGTCTCGGACGACAGTAGCGAAAATTTAGGTAGGTGCGTTTACTACAGCACAAAGTTGGAGTGCCAGGCTTCGGTGAAGGTAGTACCTTACTCGTAAATTTTGAACCCGATGCTCACTCTCCCTTAGGGCCGTTTTCTGTCGTCCTACAAGCTGAAACACTTCCAGCTGGAGAAACACCTGCAACCGCTCTCTAAACGCAAGGAGTTCAATCGCGCCGTTGTGGTTTACCCTATATTGCAGGCGAAAGATTTTCACATACTTAACGCGTACTTCTCGAGGGTGAGTTGGAATCTTCCTTTACCTCTGCACCTCTACTGCGTTTTAGAGACGTTTGGAAGAGTTGCAATCGGAGATAGCTGATTTATCGAAGGGGTTGAATGGGACGTGGCCGCCGGGGCAGCGAGTCGCGGCGAAGCCTGCGACGAGATTTGACGTTCTTCCCCAGTTGTACTTCAACAGCACGCATTTATTTTTTCCGGACGATTTTACCAACATTCGACCCCATACGACTGCGGACTATTTAGATGTTCAGGTACCAAAACTAGCGACGTTGGGGATTTCACACTTTATTTCAGAAAGTAATTAAAGCAATCACAGACAAAGTCCTCTATGACAATTCCGAGACCTTTCAATATCGTAGGCTGGTGAACGGTTATCGTCGGTTCGACTTGAGTCGCGGAATGGACTATACAATCGATTTGGGCTTCCGAAACCTGCAGACTGGCAAGGAGGTCATCAAACGGTAGGTGGGTCCGAGTTCTCTTCGAAGCTGACCGCTCGTTTCCAGCTTCGAGGTCTGTAAACCGCTGGGTAAGGTCGAGTTTGTACCGGCGCCTTACGTTACCGAAAATGTCCGCGCGACAATATTGCTACCGGTGGAGGAGACGGACGGCGATCTGGCGCAGGAATTCTTAAACAACTACGAGAAGGTTATAATGAGGCGGAGGGATAAGGTGATGTTGATGTTGGTGCTTATGTATCAAAGTAGTTCGCCCAGCAAGGGCAATAGCGATATTTTCGCAACGTTAAAGCAGAGGGCGACGAAATTGTCCAATAAATATCACAGTGACGAGATGAGAATTGTATGGGTTTCCATTCGCTTGCCGGCCGTCAACGGAACTATGACTTTGGGCAATTGTAAAGTGCTCAATTTTGCAATGGTCGATTTGGCCATGAGAAAAATCGGAACGGATGCCCTCGTGCTCGTGTTGGACGTCCACGCCGATTTCACGCCGGAATTTTTAAATCGCGTAAGCCGAGACTTCGGCATTGAGGCCAACAATTCGTAAAAGTAAGTCTATTACAGGTGCGGATGAACACGATTTCCAATTTCCAAGTGTTCAGTCCGATACCCTTCAGACAGTACAACCCGAACGTGACCCACGCTGATGCGCTTGACGTTAAAAAAACCGTCGGCCATTTTGATCGCGACGAATACAAGTACATCGCATTCTACGGAAAAGACTACGTTACCGGTAAGTGACGCCTTTAAGTTCGGCAAGTCACCGTCCCATTGCAGCGCGGAAGAAGGCTCAGGACGAAATTCCGATCGTACGGACGGACAACGATATCGCAAAGATCGTCGGTAATACGCATTCGGGTAATATCTACGAGCTCTTCCTAAAATATTTGGAAAACATTCATTGTATGCGCGCCACCGAAAAGGACTTAAGGGTAAAGTACCACGAGGACATGTCGAATGGTGACCGTTCGAATTTGTTTGTCGGCACCAAGCTGCAGCTGGCGAAGATCATTCTCGATTTTCAAAATGTGATAGATGTCATATATAAGTAATAAAAATGTCATACGTGTAACGAGTGGTTTTATTTCGCGCCAAATTTCATTAAAAAATTCGAAATTTCTTGTCATGATAGTGCAGGTCACCCTGTATATTTCATTATTTGTTCCGGTTAGAAATTTTGTGTTTGGGCATTTCGGTTCGCTCAAGACTATGGTCCGATAGATTTAATTTCGCTCAGATTTAATTTCGTCGTGGGAAGATTGCAAAGTTGATTGACGTCATCATGAGTAATGCGAATTTTGTCGTTCGTTTATCACCCAAGGCGCCGTCTAGACCGAGAATAGGAGCGGATATAGCACCGAGCCGTCAAGGGATAAGGGGTCTTCATTTCGTCAGCAGAAAACCGTGAGATCAGCTTATTCAGCAGTTCCTGGAGGTTGACGACGAAGTTAGAGTGGGTTAAGTCTTCTTTATCTAAACCAATGGGAGAATTTCTAAGGGGAGCCATTTTTGTTTGGGTGTGGTTTTCTCATTTCAATTCTGAAGAAGGGGATCGTTTTGGAGAGACTCGTGGTTAGTACGTCAAGGGGTCAACACGTACCTTGAGTGATCGTTTTTTGGAGAGACTCGCGGTTAGTACGTCAAGGGGTCAACACGTACCTTGAGTGATCGTTTTTTGGGGGTACCTAGCGGTTTGAGCCACCGGTTTATTTCGGTTGCTCGCAGTTGCGTGCTTTTTGCACCCGTTTCGAAGTGTTATTTTCTTTTCGCGTTGATTTTTTGGCGACGAAGACCCAGGTTCCGATCAGGTGATATTTAGGCGAACCCTTGAGCTTCACCCCAGTTTACTTTGGATGCAGTGAATCGCGTTAGGATACGTTGTGATTTCTCGAGGATATATAATTCAAAGTGCTGCCCTAGTCCTCAAGGCGCCGATATTCGGGATCCGCCCCAGGTGGAATTTCCTACTAGTGCCGTACGGTCATTTGTCGAAGGAGCGCTGCGTTTTGGAGAGATATTTGCCCCAAGAAGAGCTGGTGAAATAATAAGTCGAACCACCCAAGAACAAATCGCGGTTTACCGTCGGATAGTGATCATAAAAATTTGTGTTCTGCCGTGCCGCTAACTCAAAAATCCGTCTCCCGCAGGCGAATCAAAGTCAATAAACTCTAAGAGCCGGTGGAAGGAAATAGTAGGGGTCACTGTTTAAATTAAATACACCTGCTGTGTAGAAACTTTGGCAACTAGCCGTCTCCCACTCGCCACGCGAAGGATTTCCTGGACTAAGCTTCAGTTCAAACACTAAACTTTGCTTTCGTTCCGAGGAAGGATAGGCACCGTGGATTTTGTTTCCGTGTGTTAACTTCAAGCCACCCCCTAGGAAGTCACAGAGACCTAAGTGTCAGGTTTCATCACATCCACCCTGTACCAGAGGAAAGAGCAGTTTACAAGATCGGCTGTACAAATGTTGTAAAGGTTAGTCTAATTAAATTTGTAACGTTCTGTAAAATCCCACTTTTTGGTAATGAAGCTATAGTAAAAATTTTGATTTGATTGTTTCCAATGAACGATTACCAAAGAGTAGGATAAATTTTTGTGTTTATTTAAATAAGTCCCAGCCCACGCTGGAGTAAAAAACGATTACCTGTTGTTGAAATTTTCAAACTGTAGAGGATGGCCACCCCTTGAGTAAATTAGTCTCACCTGGTAGGCTTTTTTATTTAGTTTAGTTGTCATTGTTAAGCTATTTTTTTTACAAGGAGGAGAGAAGAACTGCTAGATCCCTGTAATTGGTTTGTATCTCTAATATCATTTAAATATATTATCTATTTGGTTTCAATGTGCCTATGTCTTTAACGAAGAACGAGGGGAAGGAAAGAGAGGAGTAGGAGTTGCGTCAGGAGACTGGTAGGCGGCAGGTTAAGGTTTGTTACGCAGTTTCAAAAGAGTTAAAAGCCCACCGATTTGAGTTAGCCGGAGCATTTATTTTTATCGATTGAGCAGCCTGAGAAGAAGACGGTTTGCCTTGCCGGGCGGAACCGATGGTAATTTTCAAGTCCAGAAGGAACCCCCGTAGCATACGTAAACGATTAAAATCATTGGGGCTCAGCGGACAAGATTGGCGTTTAACAAAGATACCAATTAATCTATTAATAAGTTGAGGTCGCTTAGCCGTTTTCAAATTTAAATTTTGTTCAACATAGGAAAATTTACCGCTTAGGGGGATACTTCAAGGACTTAGGTGCATGTGAACCCTGATATCGTAATCCCGAATCCCAGGGGTATAGTCTTTGGAAAAGACATTGAACTTTTTTTGAACCCTGAATCGTATAAATTGCAGTAGAAAATGTTCCAAATGCGGGTGAAGGTTTTCTATATTTTTGCATATATTTTGCGGGACGTTCTATCGTCTGTTCAGATTTTTTTAGTGCCTTAGGTATCAGAGCTTCTTCCATATAACTTCAAAGAGGCCGCTTGCAAACCCTTCCAGCTTTGGAAAGGTCTGTAGGAATAGGTATAGAATTGGTCCAGGTTTTTCTTCTTGGAAAGCATTTAAGACTTTGTGAAATATTAGAAGGGTCTGAAAAGCGTTTAAAATCTGACTAGAGCGTTTTAGACCGTTCCCATTTCTCTGAAGCTGTTTAGGCTTCAGAAATCCATTTCGATTTAACATAGCTCGTCACAGGACACCCTGTATGTGTCAAATGTACCTGTATAGAGCTACAGGAAGCTGCCGGTAGTAGTTTCTCAAACTCTCAATAGATGGCGAAAGGAGTAAAACTGTCAAAAGTAGGTCAATATTTTACTTTTCCATACGTGTTTTGAAGAAGTGCTCATATGTTATCTAATTTCTAAAAAATTTCTATTTATTCGCCAATTTGCCACGAAGGCATGTAACGAACCGCATATTTTCCAACCATTTTCCGCCACTTCTCAATAGTCCAATTGATAATTTTCAAACCGCAGGCACTTTCAGATAACCCAACCTAACATGGCTTGATAGTTTCTTTTTAAAAAATGGCAGATAAATTAGGCTTAGGAAATGAAGTTAGACAGCTCAAACTGGGTCAAAGCTTCACCAATCCGAAGTCGACAGCCTTTCATACGGTTCGCTGTAAGTATACGGCCGGCGGTTCGTTTCGTAACAGACGTCTGCTTTTAGATGACTTCAAGCCTGCCTCGGTCGATAAGTCGAACAAAATCGCCAACGTCGAGGTCGGGCCTAACCATCAGGTTACCGTCACCGTGCCCCACTTAGGTGAGTAGGCCTCGGGTCGCCCGTTTCTAAGTCGTCGAGTTTTAGATGGTGCCGGTATACCGCAGACCGTTTTTAAGGGCCCCCAAAGGCCGTACCAGAAAGAATGTGTCTTAATTATCGATAGAGTTACGGGTGCAGTTACTTTAGAAAAATTGTCTAGCAATATTCAAGTGAAGAAGACGAGGAGCGAGTCCATACGACCGCCTCTTCCTCAGGGGGCGGAACGAGGCGGCCAAAATAGTGATAAACCGAGTACCTTTAGTGCAAATCGTCCCCAAACGCCTCCCATAGCTCAGCGGACGTCCAACAAGACGCGCGTGACGAGCGGCAGTCGACGTCCTGACCGTCCAATCACACACCTAGTGCCGAAACACTCCCCCCTACACGCTAGCCCGAATTACCCGTCGCCCGGTCACTACAAGTCTCCCAAACGAGACCTACATGTAAATACAGAGTGAGTTCTCGGCAAATACAGTGATCATTTTCAACCACAGAGCCATCTATTATATATCTATTCTATTAAAATGAGTGGTTTCAGTGCAAAGATCTCAGGGGTCTTGTGGGTTTTTTGGTATTTCTTTTCTTAGTACATCAAGTACACTTTTACCACATTTTACGACGTGCTGGAAGGCGCTATTATGGCTACTTTCTCAGTCTGTAAGTTTGTAGTAAAGACAGGCATATCGCATATTGTAAAAAATGAGGTGCGCATGCGCAAACTGCGTAGTGCCATCGTTAGTCATGGAGGTACATAGTTTATTGAAATTTTTACCAAAGATTCTTCTAGTAAAGACAAGCATATCGCATATTGTAAAAGTCAGACGTGCGCAGGCGCAAACAGCGCAATGTCATCTTTATTATTTATGGAGATATTACCTATCAAGACTTGTTAAGCCTTACCAGCAAGAATTGAGTATCCATTGAATAATTGATTGCTCAGTATTGAAATTTTAACCCACGATTCTTCTAGTAAAGACTAGCATATTGCACATTGTAAAAATTAGAAATGCGCGTCATCTTTATTATTTATGGAGATATTTTATTGAAATTTTAACCAAAGATTTTTCTAGTAAAGACAAGCATATCTCATGTTGTTCTAGTAAAGACTAGCATATCGCATGTTGTCAAAATCAGATGTGCGCTATTTATAGAGAAAGTTTTTTGAAATTTTAACCAAAGTTTTTTCTGGGAAAAATAAGCATATCGCATGTTGTCAGAATCACATGTGCGCATGCGCATGTCAGTTTTCTTATTTGTAGAGATATTTGTTTGAAATTTTCACCAAAGATTCTTCTAGTAAAGGCAAACATATTTGCATATTTTAAACATCAGGTGTGATGCGCATGCGGAGGTTTTATTCAAACAAAAACCCTCTCTTCTGGGTGTTTCCTGTAGGGTAGTCTGCCTTGCTCGTATAATTAAATTTACTCCCACCACTATGCCTTAGACATCTTTGTGCTCTCTTTTCAGGCCTCCAAACACGAGCTTATCGGCGAGCCTACCGATTATCGGCGAGGACGACTTCTCGACGCTACCGCCTAGTAATAATCCGCCTCAGTTACCGCCGAGCCAGAAGTCTCCCATATTCCCGTCGGCCGACTACGAGAACGGCGGCGTCAGCGAGATGAGCTGCTCGTCGACGTCGGACTCCGACTCGGACTCGGATCACGATCGGGTCGCCGTACCGCCGCCGCCCAAGGCGCCCGTCGCGAAGACGAACGGTTACTCGAACGGCGTGCAGAACTCCGGCTCGAGCTCGAAACCGTCGATGTCGGCCGATCACTTTTTAAGCGAGGATTTAAACTTGTCCGATTCCGGAAGCGACTGATTGACCCTGAGCATGGATACGGATATGAGTTCATGTATTATTATTTTAAGTTGTATGATATCAAATACACTTAAAGTGTGCGATTTTATAATTATTTGGTTGTGTAAAGAAAAAATAACCCGAGCAAACAGAAACCTTTTTTCTTCCTTTCACACTCCCACTCTGTAAAGAACACACCACCTGCTCCCCCTCTTTATTTCCAAGGTGTGTCAATTATTGAAGCATGAACCTGAGGTTTAACAATATACAAAAATTAACGATGTTCACTATTTGATTTTGTAAGAATAAGCCGTGGTCGAGTCAAAATTTTGCTTTTGGATAATTAACGTAATTTGAATTATTGGTTCACATTGCGAATTAGTTACGGGTTAATATACGATTAACCTGATTAGTGTCAAACGTTAGAATTGCGTTCACAATATTTTATTTGCCGCGCTATTCACTATCCCTTTTGTTTGTGTTGTTATCTGTTACAGAAAAGGCAGAACGCATCCTTCTGAGCTCGCGAGCTGCATTGGTAAGGTTGCATTGGAAACATTCCATGAACATTTTTGTAATTTACAACAACAAAGTTGAGGTTATGTCATACGATACTAAAAGTTATCTCACCCCCACCTTGGTGAGGCTGAGATAAAATACTTAAGACCCCAAAAAACCTCAAAAATATGACAAGAACAAAAATAAAATTACAAATCTCGAGGGGTGGGGGGGCTACAAACAACACAAAGACTGCGTTCGTTGTTTTATGTGCCAAATGGCTTGCGATTCATGTTTCGTAGTTTAAACGTTGAGTTTGCCCTCCAGGTCTATGGAATGGTCGAGAAAATACCCAAGGAGTTTCCGAAAAGCATAATTAAATGCTTTCAAAAGTCTCCACAGCAATCTGCTGTGATGCTGTTCCAAGATGCATTGTAGGTACCGTTTTCGCTTCCTGTTCCTTTTACAGAGCCCTTGGGTCCTGCGTCCTCTTCAGAGTTTTCTAGTTTCTTGTAGAGCAATTGATGTTCGACATGAGAGGCAGTAGTACATAAGTGGCGATCACCCTGTACATCGTTTGTCTGCGCACTTAAGTAGTAAAGACAAAAGATGGCGCTAGCAGAAACCTAACCTAAAAATACTGTTTATTATAAACAATGAACATTCCTCAAAAATGCATTATATGCCTCAACGAGGGTTGCAACTTAATCAGCATATCCGAAAGGGATGAAAGCGACCTCCAGCTCAGCTACAAATTGAACTTCTGCGTACCCGAAGTCGTAATACCCCCCGAACATTTCGAGTGAGCACCCCCCATTTTAACACCCTTTCTCTTCAAGGACTGGATCGAGAGTCACCAGATCTGCTCCAACTGCGTCGTGCACCTCGACACTGCCTATGCCTTTCGGTACCTGTGCCTCGGCTCGCTGGGCAAAGCGGAGACCGTCTTGTGTTACTGCAGTAGGCAACTTTTGAACGCCGAGGTGAAGCAGGAGGAATCTAAGCCGGTGGTGAAAGACGAATTCCTATGCCTGCACTGCGGGCTGCAATTCACACGGAAGCTTCTGCTGATTGCGCATATTCGCACCAAGCACAAGGTGACACCGTGCGGTTACTGCAACGAAGTGCATACGGATAATAAGTGCACTGAGATCGTCTGCGATAAATGCTCGCAAGCTTTCACGACGGAAAACTCGCTGATTATACACGCGAAGAGTTGCACAACATCACAGTCAAATTGCACTGAAGGTAAGGGGCTAAAGAGATTCCGACTTCTTTTAGTCGGAGTATTATGCATAGGTCACATTTTGGAAGTGTAAGAGTCATTATTTAGGTCAGAATTTCCGGGATGTTTCAAAATTTCAGAGTTTTGGTGTGTAAGTCAGAATTACCATGGTAAAATTGGAAATTTACGAAAGAAAGTTGGAGATTCCCACTTTTTGGTGGGAATATCCTGGATAAATCATTATTTTGAAGTTTATGTCATTGTTTATGAACTTACGAGGTAAAGCCGGGGGTTTCGCCATTTTTTTAGTGGTAATATCCTGCATAAGTCATATTTTGGAAGTTTAGATCATTGCTTATGTGAGAATTAGAGAGATGTTTCAGAATTTGGGTGTTTAAGTTGGTTGTGTAAGTCGGAATTACCGTGGTAAAATTGGAACTTATGAGGTGAAGTTGAAGATTCCGACTTTTTTCAGTGGGAATATCCTGCATAAGTCATATTTTGCAAGTTTAAGTCATTGTTTGTGAGAATTACAGAGTTGTTTCCGAATTCCGACGTTTAAGGTGGCGTGTAAGTGGGAATTACCGTGGTCAAATTGGAACTTACGAGGTGAAGTTGAAGATTCCGACTGTTTTCAGTGGGAATATCCTGCATATAAGTCATATTTTGGAAGTTTAAATCATTGTTTATGTGAGAATTACCAAGTTTCAGTATTTCGAGATGCCATATTTTGGAAGTCAGTATTTTGGAGACTAAATATATAAATGACTCAGAATGTGCAAGGTAAAGTCGGAAATTCGATGATGTGACTTTCCGAAACTAGTTCTATTTCAGGTTCAGTCACTACGTCAGTCAGAATTTTTGAGATACGGTCAGAAGTTTCGAGTTCTAGGAGTAAAGTAGGAAATTATGGCTTCCGATAGTAGGAATTTGCGAGGAAAGTCAGAATTCATAATAGGCAAAGTACCGACATATAATTTAGTGCAGGGGTTAAGAGCCAAAATAGGTTTCAACCTTGCATTTTGTGATAACTTTATGAAACTTTCAGAGGATGTTCTAGACACCCTAAGGTTCAATTTCAGCTATGCCGCCACCCCCGCAACCCCGGACGGCACTTGCTATAGCGGGTTTCTTAAGCGCAAGGTAGCATTTCAATACCCGCCCATAAAATGGGTCAAAAATGTATGTCCAGGGTTTGTTTTGTATTTTCTTACATCTAGGAAGGTTGAAGGGAATTGTCAAATACCCAGGGAGAATTTATTTAGGGTATTTTACGTGGTTTGCCTATTTTTAAGGCGCTTTTAACAGTGTGGACTAGGGAATGCAATCCCGCAGCAAAATCACAATCCCGGTATTTGCGGGATTGTTAGATGTTAATCCCGCGGGATCCCGGTAATTTGCGAGATCTCGCAAAACGACGGCACTAAAATTATTGAGCCCTATCTTGAGAACACTCGCCTCCGCAGTCGCGCAATTCGGTGCAGGTCACATCGGACTTGACAAAGCTGCATCTTTCTTACATCCACATTTTACTAAGATTACAAAAGCTTCTGGAACTGGAGGTTTTAAAATCCAGACAGGCTCCCATTCTTGATCTTCACTCGAGTTTCTCCAACCCCAATCACATGGATCCGGAAGTTGCTGTTGCGCCAGGAGGCAATGTCCCCATACATGTCCTGCGAATGTATGTAGATTAAGTTTGTTTGTTGAATATGGATTCAATTGTAAATTCATCTATTCGCCTACTTACCGCCTCTCTTAAGAAAGGTTGCACACAAAGATGCAGCTGTGCCAAGTCCGTCATGCCCTGCACCGAATTGTGCGACTGCGACTTTCAGCATTGTAATGTCTCAATAAATACTTTAGAGCATAGTATAATATTCAATAGAGCAGCCAAAAGAGGTCTCCGTCACGATTTTACTGTCTGCACTGTTAAAAGCGCCTTAAAACTTGGTAAACCACGTAAAATACCCCACATACATTCTCCCTGGGTATTTGACAATTCCATTCAACCTTCCTAGATGTAAGAAAGTACATTATATACATATACATTTTCGACCCATTTTATGGGCGGGCATTGAAATGCTACCTTGCACTTAGGAAACCCGCTATAGCAAGTGCCGTCCGGGGTTGCGGGGGTGGCCCCATAGCTGAAATTGAACCTTAGGGTGTCTAGAACATCCTCTGAAAGTTTCATAAAGTTATCACAAAATGCAAGGTTGAAACCTATAACCCCCGCACTAATTGGAAATTAGGATTTTAAGTCGGGGTCTAGTCGGAAAGTCAGAGATTTCGACTTATTGTAGTGGGAATATCCTGGACAAGTTTATTGTTTAAATGAGAATTTCCGAGTCGGACTATATGACTTCCTATAATAACTTTCGAAATCAGTTAAATTTTTGAAGTTTAGGTCACCATGTATGTCAGAATTTCCGAAAGATAAAGTTGCAATTTCCAAAGTAAAGTCGAAAATTCCTAATGCCTTTGGTTTGGTTCGGTATTTTCGACATTGTGAATTTCCGAGACGCGGTCAAATTTCGGAGCCAGCTCCGCACATTTGTAAAGGTGGTATTGCATTGGGGTAAAAAATCCCCCCTCCCATTTTTTTACGGAAATACACATTTTGAAGCACCAGGAATTAAACAAAACCCGATGATGTTGGTCTGTCTGTCTGTGTGTACTCTCATTTCCGGCTACACGTATTCTTAGAGAAGGAAGAGCTTTTGGGCAGAACGCGCAGCGCAGGAGTGCGGGTGGTATCTACGCTAGCCACAGCAAATTTTTTGTGTACCCTGTCTTTTATCATAAGTGCCTCTTAAATATTAAAATGTTTATTGCTGAATTTCAAGTCGACATTTGCTGTGATGAAAAATTAATCGTTCAATTGTTAGTAATTCGTATAGTTGTTGAAATATCTGCTTGGTTTTAGGCGAGCTAAAAACAAACACGATCAAGGCACCAAAGCGCGGTAGGAAACGGTTGGACCCACTTTCTAACACGTGCAATATTTGTGGTATGATTTTTAACACGCGCTACTTAGCCAAGCGGCACATGCGCAACGTACACGCAACCGAAAAGAACTACCAATGCGAGATTTGCCAGCAGCGATTCGCGAGCCCTGTCTATTTAAACGCTCACAAGCGATATCACTCCGGCGAGCGCCCTCACATTTGCTCATTCTGCGGTAAGGGTTTCATAACCGGTAGCGACCTCTACCACCACGAGAAAATTCACTTAAACAAGCGCGCTTACAAATGCGATAAATGCCCGAAGGCGTTCAACACCTCCTCCGATTTGCACAAGCACAAGCTGTGCGTGCACCAGGACCGTAGTGAGTGGAAGTACGTCTGCACCATCTGCAACCGTCGCTTTCCACTGAAAACCAACCTCGACGCTCACACCAAGACGCACACCGGCGAGCGCAACTTCGCCTGCCACCTCTGCAACCACAAATGCGTAAACCGCTCCGTCCTCCAGCGCCACATCAAATCCCACTCCAACATTAGACTGTTCAAGTGCACCGTCTGCGTCATGGAGTACAAGTACCAGAAATCGCTCGACGTGCACATGGCGAAAGCGCACGGAATCGGCGACGCGAAGATACCCGAACGCGTGAAAAAGTACTTCTGTCACATTTGCCCGAAATCGTACTTCGCCAACAACAAACTACAGAAGCACATACGGACGCACACCGGCGAGAGGCCGTTCTCCTGCCAAATTTGTGATAAACGCTTCATCGACAAGTCGTACATCAAACAGCACCTGAAAACTGCTCATAACGTTAGCTATAATGATCTCGCTGCATGATTAGGCTAAATGTAATTTAAGTCAATTAAATTATTGAATCAATTCTTCCGTTTTGCAAAATCCTGCCCCAGTCACGAATACCCCTGACATTAGGTAGTTGTCCTAATCTCATTCTTTCGCATATATAATCTGAGGGGGGTACTGCAACGGGAGCAAATTAAATGGTCGAGCAATATTATGTACTTGATATTGGGAAGTATACAGGATGTCAAATTAGAGGGTCGATTGAGTTCGAGATACGTTGCGATCTGCAAATTAGCTCCGGAAGTTTATGGCGCCGGTTGGTCCGACGTTCGGAGTAGATTAGGTCGACGTGATCGAAACTGCCGATATATAATTTCATAGTGCAAAATCCCGAGAAAAGCAAGATTTGAACTAGCGTCGGATTGCGAGAAAGTTAACGTAAGTGGTGGGGGTTAAACGAATCTGGGTCATTCTTAATAAAAAATGGCCCATTTCATTAAAATGACGCCATTTGGAGGCGTTCGTTAATGAGGAAAGATAGGTAGGGACTAATCTGGAGGAGAGTTTTTCGAGAGATTCCGTTTTTGGCCGTCGTAAAGTTCAGGTCAGAAAAATTGCAACTGCAAGCGTTACAAATCAATTGTCAACCGATCTAGAATACAACTGTCATATTTTTAGACTTGTCAAGGTTGATTTTACGACCCTGTGGAGATTTACCATGGACGATGATGCACGCAGTAGAATTGCTGAAATCACGACGAGGTAACTAAGTCATCTACTTGTGCTCCCACCGTCAGATTGCGTTTTTAGGTACGTGGTTGATGTAACCGACGACGATTATGATCCTTACGTTCATAGAAATGTGGAACACGCGACAAGGTATAAGATAGTACTATTTTTCAATACTTTTACCATCTTGAAAATGCAGTTACCTTGAAACGCTCGTACACATCCTCAAGGCAAGTCTAGGGACGGGAGTGCTGGCAATGCCCATAGCGTTCAAGTACGCTGGGTTGGTGAACGGTGTTATTGGTGCCATTCTAACTGCCTTTGTTTGCGGTGTTGGCATTCATCGATTCGTAAGTCCCCTACGGATGGTCGCGTAAAAGAACTTTGCTTTTAGTTCGCGTCGCAGTATACCATTTGCAAGAACCTGAAAGTTTCCTACATGCCGTACTCCGTGATCATGAAGGTGGCGCTTCTGAGCGGGCCACGTTGCATGTCGAAAGTGGCAAACTTCTTTGGGTAAAAACGCCCCCGGTGTATTATATGTACAATTAACCTTCTTCGCCAGAACGCTGTCGGATGCTTTATTACTACTCCACCAGACCGGCGTATGCGCAGTATACGTCATCTTTATATCGAACAATCTCAAAGATCTCTTGAAGAGACCGTACACGAACCTCAACGTTCCAGTGGAGTATTACATGTTGTGCCTTCTGCCAGCACTTCTTCTCATTGTGTCGGTACCTAACATGAAGAAAATGGCCCGAATTACCTTACTGTCAAATTGCGCGACGTTAGTGTCCGTGATAATAATTATTGCGGTACTTTCACCGAATTTGCCCGACATTTCATTGCGCCACAAAACGGGAACTGTCTTCGACTCGGCCCTCGCATTTGGTATTATGCTCTTCGCGTTGTCTGCGATGGGTGTTGTAAGTGTACACTTAGGCACTTCTCTATCCTTATCTAGATTCTAACAGTTGAGAAGCACATGAAGGAACCAAAACAAATGGTGGCCTACTTTGGCACGCTTAATGTCTCGTTGGTAGCCATTCTAATAGTGTACACGTTGATTGGTTTCATCGGCTATTGGCAAGTTGGCGATGAAGTCAAGGACATTATTATATTAGATCTTCAAAACTACAATGAAACGTACCGACTGCATATGTAACCACCCCTCAAGCTTCAATCTTTTTATATTCTAGCGCAAGACAGTGTGCGCAATCTCTATATGTGGTCGCGATTTTTGTTTCCTACGGGCTAAGCGCGATGGTGTTCGTTGACGTTTTGTGGGGCAATTACCTGAAGCACTACCTAGCCGAGTCAAGGCATCATGACAAAGGCCAGTGCGCGACAAGAATCCTAGTAGTCTTCGTGAGCAGTAAGTGATTTCCGCCAACGTCTTGCCTTTCTTCCAACCTACCGTTGCAGCCTTCGCCGCGGCCGCCATACCGTTATTTGCTGACATAGTCGCGCTACTGGGATCATTCTCTATGTCTTCGCTCGAGCTTATATTTCCAGCCATCATGGATATTTGTGTGCGCTGGCCCGATAAATTTGGCCGTGGAAAGTGGACTCTAATTGCGGATCTTATTCTCATGGCTATAGGTGTTGGAGGACTCCTCATAGGCGGTTTTAGTGCAATCCGAAGTATAGTAAGGCACTTAAATGAGTTGCGCGGTTAATGTAGCTTATTATTGATTTTACTTTGTCATAACATGGAGTAATAAAAATACAGAGCGCTAGTCTCGGGATAATCCTCAAATCCACTTGCAGCTTCCCGACCCACAATAACCCAAAGCGAAAGGTAAGCGCATTTCCGGTGCCGGACAGAGGAAGAAAAGCCACGATTTTAAAAGTGGGCGAAGTGACGCTGGAATACGATTATACTGGTTATATGCGTGTGAAAACTTAGGGCGCCAGTGAGTCTTGATACATGGCGTAATTAGTTCAAATTCCAGGGGGTTTTGTTTATTTTATAGTCGTTATCAAGCTTTTTTCCGGGTCGATTTGAGACAATTTTTTTTTCAAAATTCCTCAAAAAAAAAAGCAATGTATAACCTTCCTTTTTTACCAAAAATCGACTGCACCAAAATTTCTCGGGAAAACACTTTTTCTCACTAATTTTAGTGCGTAGAATCCAAAACGATTCGTACTTTTTTGATCAGACTACTCAATCAAAAGTTATAGACTAGTAACCAATATCGAAAGAAAATTCAAAGGGCTGTAACTTTTGAACTAGTAGCCCAATCTTGGAACTATTTGAAATTATGGATTCTACAGGCCACATTCTATAAGAAAAATTTTTCCGGGTCGATCTGAAATAAATTTTTTTTCGGGCCTCAAAAAGAGGCAGTGTATAACCTTCCTTTTTTACCAAAAATCGATTGCACCAAAATTTCTCTGGGAAACACTTTTCTCATTAATTTTGGTGCGTAGAATCCAAAACAATTCGTACTTTTTCGATCAGACTTCTCAATCAAAAGTTATAGACTAGAAACAAATTTCGAAAGAAAATTCAAAGGGCTGTAACTTTTGAACTAGTAGCCCAATCTTGGAACTGTTTGAAATTATGGGTTCTACAGGCCACATTCTATAAGAAAATTTTTTTCCGGGTCGATCTGAGACAATTTTTTTTTCGGGGCTCAAAAAAAGACAGTGTATAACCTTCCTTTTTTACCAAAAATCGACTGCACCAAAATTTCTCGGGAAAACACTTTTTCTTATTAATTTTGGTGCGTAGAATCCAAAACAATTGGTACTTTTTCGATCAGACTTCTCAATCAAAAGTTATAGACTAGAAACCAATTTCGAAAGAAAATTCAAATGGCTGTAACTTTGGAACTAGTAGCCCAATCTGGGAACTGTTTGAAATTATGGATTCTACAGGCCACATTCTATAAAAAAAATTTTTCCGGGTCGATCTGAGACAATTTTTTTTTCGGGCCTCAAAAAAAGACAGTGTACAACCTTGCTTTTTTACAAAAAATTGACTGCACCAAAATTTCTCGGGAAAACACTTTTTTTATTAATTTTGGTGTGTAGAATCCAAAACAATTCGTACTCTTTCGATCAGACTTTTCAATCAAAGGTTATAGACTAGAAACCAATTTCGAAAGAAAATTCAAAGGGCTGTAACTTTTGAACTAGTAGCGCAATCTTGGAACTGTTTCAAATTATGGATTCTACAGGCCACATTCTATAAGAAAATTTTTTCCGGGTCTATCTGAGACAATTTTTTTTCGGGCCTCAAAAAAAGGCAGTTCCTTCCTTTTTTACAAAAATTTGACTGCACCAAAATTTCTCGGGAAAACACTTTTTCTTATTAATTTTGGTGCGTAGAATCCAAAACAATTCGTACTCTTTCGATCAGACTTCTCAATCAAAAGTTATAGACTAGAAACCAATTTCGAAAGAAAACTCAAAGGGCTGTAACTTGTGAACTAGTAGCCCAATCTTGGAACTGTTTGAAATTATGGATTCTACAGGCCACATTCTATAAGAAAATTTTTTTTCCGGGTCGATCTGAGACATTTTTTTTTCGGGCCTCAAAAAAAGGCAGTGTATAACCTTCCTTTTTTACCAAAAATCGACTACACCAAAATTTCTCGGGAAAACACTTTTTCTTATTAATTTTGGTGCGTAGAATCCAAACAATTCGTACTTTTTCGATCAGACTTCTCAATCAAAAGTTATAGACTAGAAACCAATTTCGAAAGAAAATTCAAAGGGCTGTAACTTTTGAACTAGTAGCCCAATCTTGGAACTGTTTCAAATTATGGATTCTACAGGCCACATTCTATAAGAAAATTTTTTTCCGGATCGATCTGAGACAATTTTTTTTTCGGGGCTCAAAAAAAGGCATCTGAGACAATTTTTTTTCGGGGCTCAAAAAAAGGCAGTTACCTTCCTTTTTTACCAAAAATCGACTGCACCAAAATTTCTCGGGAAAACACTTTTTCTTATTAATTTTGGTGCGTAGAATCCAAAACAATTCGTACTTTTTCGATCAGACTTCTCAATCAAAAGTTATAGACTAGAAACCAATTTCGAAAAAAACTTCAAAGGGCTGTAACTTTTGAACTAGTAGCCCAATCTTGGAACTGTTTGAAATTATGGATTCTACAGGCCACATTCTATAAGAAAATTTTTTTTCCGGATCGATCTGAGACAATTTTTTTTCGGGCCTCAAAAAAAGACAGTGTACAACCTTCCTTTTTTACCAAAAATCGACTGCACCAAAATTTCTCGGGAAACACCTTTTCTTATTAATTTTGGTGCTTAGAATCCAAAACAATTGGTACTTTTTCGATCAGACTTCTCAATCAAAAGTTATAGACTAGAAACCAATTTCGAAAGAAAATTCAAAGGGCTGTAACTTTGGAACTAGTAGCCCAATCTGGGAACTGTTTGAAATTATGGATTCTACAGGCCACATTCTATAAAAAATTTTTTTTCCGGGTCGATCTGAGACAATTTTTTTTTCGGGCCTCAAAAAAAGAAAGTGTACAACCTTGCTTTTTTACCAAAAATCGACTGTAACTTTAGCGCGTATTCAATTTAGTTTCTATTGGTTGAGAAGGTTGCACGTTCCAGAATTGGTGGAATTTAAAAAATAAAAGTAGTGGGACTTCGGTTGTTGGTAGATCGCCGTGAGCCAATACGTGTGAAGCCACGATAGCGTTTGCGTCGAGTAACTAGAAAAATTGCTACTGCAACGGGAGACCCGCTGAGCCGTTTTGCAACTTTATATATAGGTCAAATATATCTACCGCTTCATTAGAATAGTAGCTTCAATGACGACAACAAAGCGCATTCAGAATTTTTGATTGTGGGGGAACTTAAGTTATCCGCGTCTTTTAATGAGTAGAAGTCAGTGGAATCACGGCCGCAGATTGTGCCGAAAATGTTCTAATAAAGTTAATCGCGACCACCCAGTTCCAATTTCCCGGAAGTTAGGGGAAATTGTTGCATTAACAAAGAACTGGAATTTCAAGCGGGTCGGTGTAATGTTGCATGTGAACAACACGAAGTACGAGATCTCTAAATAACAGTCGGACTGCCGACGAAGAAGTAATTGCAATACATTGTTCCATTCGCAATTGCCATGGCATTGTTTCATGCTAGTGGCTTTTTATAGTAAACTTGAGCGACGGTAAATTAATTTCGTTTTATAGCCGTACAACTAAAAACAGCATAAAATAAAGTACTCTACGCGTGCATTACCCGTTTCAAGCCGTACATAGGGTGAGGGAGGGAATTTGCGCTATTATCAACAAAGACGCACCTTGACATCAGGAAAGCTGAAGCCATGTAGATCCATCTCTTTAATCTGGGTGGAACGTAAGCCAAACTGATCTACATATTTCGGACACTATACATTTTCCTTAAATGTATACATATGGGCTATGTATACTTGAAATTCGTGAGGAAGTACGGATTCGAGATGGATTTAAATGGACCGCTCTCGGACAATGTACAACCGTTGAGTGAAGGATCTAGGTCCTTCACTCAACGGTACAACTGTGTCGTGCGTAATTGGCAGATCAAATAGTTTCATTAAAGACTTACTTAAGGTGACGGAGAAAGGATCGAATGGCAGAACTAACCTGGTGCTGCAATGTTTCTCAACTTTGGATTTAAAAAGATGGTTATTAGCAAGTAGAAATGGCTCCAGAATATCGGGAGAAGACGGCATTTACGATCGGATCGGAATTATGGCAATTTATCAGGTATGCCGTTTGGATTGCGTAACGCACCCGCGACGTTTGAATGTCTGATGGAAAATGTGCTTTCCGATTTCGCTTGATTACGATTTCCGAGTCAACACCGGAACGTCCTTGGTTGCGTCCACGAAAATAAACCCGCTTCGCACGCGCCATCCTGACGTAAGCTAATTACAAACAGATTAGCGCTGATAATTGATGATCTTTAATCAGCTGGGAAAATCCGTGAGAATAGCGAAATTAAGTAAACAATTTTCATTAAGTAATTAGACTTGTTGCTCGAGTATCTCATTATCAATTACTTGCTTTGTTCGTGACTGAACTGCTGAACGTTCAGGTATAGCTATAGTACTCCCTGCTTGATGACCAACGTTTCTTATTTACACAACGCAGATAAAGGTCGTTTGATAAGGAACGTGAGTGTACAAAACTTCACCATCCGATTATTTTAAATAAAGTGCGTCGGTCTCAAAAGTTCGATGGATGACAAAGTGGCGACCGCGGAGAAGAGCTTCAAGCTCTTGTTGCCTCAGGTACCGTTTTCTGTCATTACGACCACCTACACTGACGTTTTTAGACTTTGGCCGCATTTTTTGTCACCTCGCTCCATCTACTGGTGGGGCAGGTGATTGCGTTTTCCGGTATCATAGTACCGCAACTGTTCGAAGATGCCAACGGTACCATTCCCATTACGGAATCTGGAGGTGCCTGGATAGGTAAAATGTTACCAGTTTGTTTGCGTTCATGAAAATTGAGCATATTTCAGCTAGCGCCCCTGTTTTTTCCGGATTTGCGGCGTCGATCGTTGGGGGAATGCTCTCCGACAGCATAGGAAGGCTTAACACTTTGATGTGGGCAGGATTGCCTGGTATCGTCGGGAGCGTACTGATCGCGATGGCCCCAAACTTGTCGATGATCATTTGGGGACGGGCCATTATGGGGATATCGTGGAGTAAGTGATGCTTACCGCAAATACCACAAATTGCAGTCAAAGGTACCAAAATTACTATAATTGTATTTTAATGGGACATCAGTAGGCGATTTTGGAAACTGTTCCCAACAAACGCAATCTGTCTTATTGTCTACTAAACCCACAAGGCAATAACCTTCTATCTTTAACTACCAAAGTATCAAATTCAAATTCCGAGGTTCCTGTTACCGACCTCTGAATATTAAACCAAATGCTCATCCAACCAAAGGAATGATCACTGAAAATAACTGAAAATTTTCCACTCAATGAAACAAACTGACCAATATCCTTTGTTTGTTGGATTGGATTGTTATCAATAAGTACAATGCAAAATCGGTTAATACAAATTGTTCGTAGGTCGATTCCTTTAGGAATATTAAAATTATTTTAAACACGGTTTGATTTTAAACGCAAACCTCCGATACTTTATCTCGAGCACAAACCTCGACCCCTTGAACTTGACGTTACCACAGGCGCAAACCTCGCCAGCAGAGTTACTAGTGACTTTTTCTAGTGAGATTTAGAATCGGCCATATATTACTACTAATAAATTCTATTTGTGAACCTAATAGAAATGCTATATCAGGAGAACATAGCAAATACGTTGAAAAGCGAAATCAGCCAGCCCGACATATTTACTTGCGGAATGTCGCATTTCTGTGACACTGATGAAAGTGTAACAGGAAAACATAATACCTACCCGGATTTAGCAAGATATCAACAAATATTACACCTCTTCTTTCACTTGTGTGATCATCAGACAACACCATCAAAAGAAAAAAAATATATCAGGAGAGGGAATTTATTGACAGACACCTCTCTATGGATTCGGCTCTTTTGTTACCAAATTTCCCTTTTCAAAATCATTATATGAGTGTTACGGGAAAAAAACGTGCAAAGTGTGTAGGATTTATGGACAAATTAACTCGGATTATACTCTCCTGATACCATTTGCTAGATCAGGATCGCAGGAAAGCGACGGAATGCAAAAGTTATTGTCTCAAGAGTTTCTCACTGATTATGTTCTCTGGACACAAATTTCTCGTTTAATAGTTGTATCAGGAACACAGAAAAGCAAGACTCTCTTTTCCATTTTTGTATTAGGATCACAGAAATGCCAGAATTCCTCTGATTTACGTTTCTCTTATCAAACTTGTTGTTCCAGGATCACATAAAACTATTGAGAAAGACAGTTTTTCGGGCACTATCAATTTCTAATGTAAACTCGTACCAATCGTCAATCGAAATACCAAAAACTAAGAAATCCAAGGAACTAACTGCTTGCTCCAGGCCGAGATTCTAACTCACCTCCCCCCTGGCATTTTCCCACAAACATTTCACAATTTTAAACCACTCAACTCTTTTACAGTGTTCGTCCCCGTTGCAGCTCCAGTTTACATCAGCGAAATCAGCCATCCTGACATATTCACTTGCGGATTGTCGCATTTCTGTGATCCTGCTGAAAGTGTAACAGGAAAACCTAATACCTACCCGTATTTAGCAAGATATCAACCAATATTACACCTTTTCTTTCACTGGTGTGATCATCAGACAACACCATCAAAAGAAAAAAATATATCAGGAGAGGGAATTTATTGAGAGTTGACAGACACCTCTTTATGGATTCGGCTCTTTTGTTACCAAATTTCCCTTTTCAAAATCGTTTTATGAGTGTTACGGGAAAAAAACGTCCAAAGTGTGTAGGATTTATGGACAAATTAACTCGGATTATACTCTCCTGATACCATTTGCTAGATCAGGATCGCAGGAAAGCGACGGAATGCAAAAGTTATTGTCTCAAGAGTTTCTCACTGATTATGTTCTCTGGACACAAATTTCTCGTTTAATAGTTGTATCAGGAACACAGAAATGCAAGGCTCTCTTTTCCATTTTTGTATTAGGATCACAGAAATGCGAGAATTCCTCTGATTTTCGTTTCTCTTATCAAACTTGTTGTACCAGGATCACATAAAACTATTGAGAAAGACAGTTTTTCGGGCACTATCAATTTCTAATGTAAACTCGTACCAATCGTCAATCAAAATACCAAAAACTGAGAAATCCAAGGAACTAACTGCTTGCTCCAGGCCCAGATTCTAACTCACCTCCCCCTGGCATTTTCCCCCAAACATTTCACAATTTTAAACCACTCAACTCTTTTACAGTGTTCGTCCCCGTTGCAACTCCAGTTTACATCCGCGAAATCAGCCATCCTGACATATTCACTTGCGGATTGTCGCATTTCTGTGATCCTGCTGAAAGTGTAACAGGAAAACCTAATACCTACCCGTATTTAGCAGGATATCAACCAATATTACACCTCTTCTTTCACTTGTGTGATCATCAGACAACACCATCAAAAGAAAAAAATATATCAGGAGAGGGAATTTATTGACAGACACCTCTTTATGGATTCGGCTCTTTTGTTACCAAATTTCCCTTTTCAAAATCGTTTTATGAGTGTTACGGGAAAGAAACGTCCAAAGTGTGTAGGATTTATGGACAAATTAACTCGGATTATACTCTCCTGATACCATTTGCTAGATCAGGATCGCAGGAAAGCGACGGAATGCAAAATTTATTGTCTCAAGAGTTTCTCACTGATTATGTTCTCTGGACACAAATTTCTCGTTTAATAGTTGTATCAGGAACACCGAAATGCAAGGCTCTCTTTTCCATTTTTGTATTAGGATCACAGAAATGCGAGAATTCCTCTGATTTACGTTTCTCTTGTCAAACTTGTACCAGGATCACATAAAACTATTGAGGAAGACAGTTTTTAATTTATAATGCAAACTCGTACCAATCGTCAATCAAAATACCAAAAACTGAGAAATCCAAGGAACTAACTGCTTGCTCCAGGCCGAGATTCTAACCCACCTCCCCCCTGTCATTTTCCCGCCAACATTTCACAATTTTAAACCACTCAACTCTTTTACAGTGTTCGTGTCCGTTGCGACTCCAGTTTACATCAGCGAAATCAGCCATCCCGACATAAGAGGATTCCTCCTGACCTTCCTCCAGGTCTTTCTCTCGCTTGGTAAGTTTCAGTGTCGGCCGCGTACGTTACCAGATCTTTTGCAGGATCCGTTCTGGTCTACCTCAAGGGTTGGGCGATGTCGTGGCGGATCGTGTCCTGGATAACCATCTTGTACATCGCGGTTCCGGTCGTGTTAATCTTCTTCATGCCAGAGAGTCCCCCGTGGTTGGTCTCGAAGGGACGCAACGATCGCGCCAGGAAGTCATTGGAGTGGTTGCACTCCAACCACCCCAATCTCAAGGAGAAGGTAATTAGCACGAGTCCGCTCTCGAGGATACGGTGGTTGTTTTCAGGTCGAGAAGGATTTGTGCGCGCTTCAAGCCGAACACGAGGAGAAGCTGAAGCAGTCGTCGGAGAAGCTGACGCTAAAGGAGCACCTGAAGATGTACCTCCTTCCGACGTTTTATAAGCCGTTCCTTATTATATGCGGAATTATAACTCTTCAGCAGTTTACGGGAATATACGTGCTTCTCTTCAACAGCGTGATCTTCTTCAAGGTATGGGAAAGCTCACCAGGTGCGCTTGGTGATTGTTCCGTTGCAGGATATCGGGACGGATAAAGATCCGTACTTGGCGTCGGTTTGCATTTGTTCCGTTAAGGTGGTGATGTCCGTCGTGAACACCTGGTTCATGAAGACCTTCAACCGGCGCCCACTTCTCATAACTAGCGCCGTTGGAATGGCGGTCTGCATGGGCCTTTCGGGAATGTTCACGCAGTGGATTCAGGAAGGTGAGGTATCCATCAGTTGCGTACTGTGTCATTAACTCATTTCGCACAGGCTCAACGTACAGCAGCTGGATCCCAGTCTCCTTGGTGCTCCTTTATATTATGTTCGGAGCTATCGGGATAATGTCAGTTCCATTTCTAGTAGCGGGGGAGCTCTTCCCGCTCGCCATACGCGGTATTGCGTACAGTCTTATCATCACAGCTGCCAACGTGATGACATTCGCAGCCCTGCAGGCTTACTTCCCACTTTACCACGCTCTCGGGGGATCTGCAGGTTTACAGTACTTTTTCGGTGCCGTGTCAGTGGCCGTGCTAGTCTTTATATACGTGTTCTTACCGGAAACTCACAAGTTTACATTGACCGAAATTGAAAATCACTTCTGGACGCATTCCACTTACCTTTTCAAGAAGAATAAAGTAGGCCCGTGCACGGACGGCGAACAAGGAAATAGTGCAATTTAATGTGCAGCAACAGCAAAGACGAAGCGATCTTCGTCCTATTTAGGCATTTGACTCTAAGTCATTGCTCGGTTTTACGAAACCTGCACAAACAGAGGTTCGAACCTCCTCCCAAACATTTTTTTAAGCTAAGAATTTAAACAGTAAGATGCACAATACGGTAGATAGTGTCTGTTAATAAATTCTGCCTGTGATCCTGATACAACTGCCTTTACAAGAGAAATCGAGATCAGATGTCAATAAATTCTGCATAGTCTCACTTTTCTGTGATCCTGATTAGAACGTATTTTTTATTTTCTGTAGCCCTAATATACCGATTATTAAATCAATTCTCGATTTTCATTTTTCTGCTACCCTAAAACCAATTTAAAAAGAAAACATTACGTTTAACATGTTTTACATTCCTGTTATCCTGATAGAAGTAGATGATGGTTACATAAGACTCTATTCTACAACGTCTAGTTCATTTTAATTAATTAATGGGCAAGATTTAGAAATGAAAACATTGTATTAGGTGAGCAGTTACGTAAAAAGCACTTTTTGAAGTAAAATTTGTATCAGGGGTACGAAGGAACTGATGGCATATACCTACAGAAGGAGGAATCTGTCCTCAGGACATTTTTTTTACCAGGAGAGCATAATATGTCAGAAGGTGACATGATCTTGCTTTTCTGTGATCCTGTTTTAACAGCGTTTGAGAGGGAAATTTGTATCAAAAAGTATAATACGTGAGAGTGTGCCTGTCAACTAACGTTGCACACCTTTGCATTGTTGCGATCCTGATACAAACATGCAGGTACGTCTGAGAAGTCTTTTTATAGAACACACTACGATAGGAGCTAAGGGCCAATAAATTTTCAATATCTTTTGTGGATGATTCCCACACAACAGTTAAAAGGAAACTTTTTATCAGGAGAACATGATAATTATGCGATACCAACAAATTTTCCTTAATAGCTACATAAGGTGGTATCTATATATAAATTGTTGTCTCCGTTGATGTTATATAAAGGCATTCTCTATTTTGCCCGATCCGGGCTCAAAGGCGGATAATTAAAAATGTTTTATCAGGAGAACATAATATGTAATGTTGTAATCCTAATATCACAATCCGAACACAATAAATTTGTAGAAATTTGAGGACCTAGGAAAGGGAGAAGGTATTTGGCTGGTCTAACGGTTCTGTCAACCTTAAAAATTCTGTGAATCTGATATAACAACTTGAAAAGAAAAATTCGCACCATTCTGCATTTCTTCTGTCCCCATGATGCAAGATTTTCTGAAAGTGGAAAAGATATTTACATTAGGAGAGCATAAGTAGAGATACCTGAACCTTTTAAAAGGAGATCAGGGTGTGAATCCATGCTCCTGTCATCCTGATATAAACAGCTGTTTGTGTTTGAGAAATCCCGACTTACACAAAACCCCGTTCAGATGACGATTTAGATTTCTTTAATTCAAAATAAAAATTTGTATCAGGAGAACGTAATGAATTAATAGGTTGTGATATATGTGTGATCCTTTAAAGAAGAAATTATGTATTAGGAAAACATAATGCCCTGTGTTCTTGATAGAGACACAAAAGAAAAACTTACAACAGAAGAACATAATATGTGAAAAGGTATCTGTCTACAAATTTCGCACCTTTCTTTTCTATTGTGTGTCGAATCCGGGTTCGGGCATTGAGATTTGTAAATGTATGGTGGGTTGGGTTGGTAGAGCAGGTGCAATAGTATTTTACATTATTAGCCAGGTAAGTGAGTTTTTACTGGCGATAGGAGAAGTTGACTGGCGAGCGTTTAAACATGACGTTTACCCCTTTGCGTTTTGTCTTGTTAATCAACGTTTACAACTGAGTAACAAATAAAATCTGTTTATTGAATTATGAGCTCCTGGTCTCCGTTTTTTTAATAAAATGCGCCAAGATTACATAAGTATACGAAAGTGCAACAACTTTTAACGACGTGCTCCTGACACCAATTTCTATTGTTTTAGGAAAACATACGGGCAGGTGAAAATATACGGCCCCTTTTGGAATTATGGTCTCCTGTTAGCAATTTTCTCTCATTAAATATGTCAAGCACATAAGCACAAGGCTGACTGAGGTTATTACATGGACCAGAATCTTTTAAAAATGGTGTAGCAATGGGTCAAAAACCCGAGAATGCCCGGGGATGTACAAAATTTACACTTTCTCGCGTAGAATCTGATATGACATATATTTCAAAAAACGTTCAAATGATGTGCTCCTGTTACATGCAAATTTGTTTCTTAAAGAATACGTTATGATCACGGAATCACGGCGAGATTCAAAAACTATTGATTGACCCCTCCCACGTTATATGTTTTACTGAAGAAGTACTGTATCAAGGTTTCAGAAGCTCAGGGAGATACTGCTACTTGCGTAGATGTAAACATAGGAGCTAAAAAAAGGTAGAAAATAAATTACCTCCTCGTGCTTTTGATATCTTGATGTAAAACATTTTAAAAGAAATTTTGTCAGCGGAGTAACTCCTCTCACTTCTGCCATGCTCTAAGTTCTTTATGATAGAAGCTCCTGATAGTAGTTTTGTTTCATAAGAACAAGACATTGCAAAATCTCCGACTGACGCGTATTATATTATTCAAAGATATCTTCTAAATGACAGTATGTAAAGGCTTGTTAACGCAAAGAGATATTGTTGTGTATACTAAGTCACGCGGACGTTTTATTTGGTATCGGCAGCTATAATAATGATGGGTCACCCTGTATGTGTGCGTTTCAATTTTCTTTAAACGTAAATGTTGTTGTTAATTTGAGATCAATAGTATTTGAATGTGAAGTAATGTTTTGTTGGAGTTATTTCATTTAAATTCGGTCGTTGCGATAAGAAATTTGTTATCGCTGCGTAAGCTAATTAGCTTCAAGATAAGCAGATTTTGCCGATGGTGTTGAATTTCGAAGACGCAAGATCAAGTAGAGGAGAGGCGGAGAGGTAAGAAGGTTTTAAATAGCCGAGGAAGACGTTATTCGTTGCCTTTTATTGGTGGTGGATGTTCGTCGTTTTTTTTTTGTGGACGTTGAATATTTAAGTTGCATTAAAAAAAGGAAGTTTGCGAAGGTGTTAGTCACAATGTTGCGTCTGTAGTGCTTATGTACACGTTTAAAGGAGTTTTTCCACCATCAAAGAGCCAATTTTACATCTCGTCTCGTGGCCGCTATTTACGATAATGTTAATAACAATATATTCAAAATATACGATTTATAATACTTTACGTTTAAGGTAACTAAAGTAGCTCACTAAAGATCACAGCGGCCTAATTTTTCGTGTCTAAAGATTCCACGAGAGTATTGTCTTGTTTACTCGTTTTGGCACAGTTTATATCACACTTTGGCATCGTAATGTAGACGGTGTTGTTGGCAAAGTATTGCTCGATGACCGTCAGCTTTTTGTTCCTCGTTTCCGGCATGAAGACGTACGAGAAGATTAAGCCGGCCACGCACATGGCGGAGAAGAAGTACTGCAACCCGGAGGAGCCGCCGAATGCCTCGTCCAGGGCGTAGTAGCTTTGAAGAACGGCGAACATCAGGAGATGGGCGATCGCCGAGACTATGCTCTGCGAGACTCCCCTGATTGCAAGCGGAAAGACCTCCGACGCGATCATTATCGGCATGAACATGACGCCGATTGCGGCGAAGACGAAATACAACATGAGCATGGTGACCGGCATCCAGGTGTGCGTCGTCGTACCTAGGGCACACAGTCTCACTTCCACCCACGATTCAGTTACTCACCTTGTTGAATCCACGAGGTGAACAGCCCTGACAAGGCGATACTGATCGCCATGCCAATATTACTGATGATCATCAGCAGCCTTCTGTTGCACCGCTTCATTAACCACGTGTACACCACCGACATCACCAAACGCACAGACCCAATGTAGATTGACGCCAGGTACGGATCCATATTTGTACCCATTGCCTGAAACCAAAACCACTAAGCTGATGAGGGTGCAATAAAAACCTACCTGGAAGAAGATGACGCCATTAAAAATAATCATGTGCACCCCCGAGAACTGCTGGAAGAAGAACTGCCCGCACAAGACCAGCAAGGGTTTATACCCGGTGGGCTTCAAGAACATCTTCAGCTTCTTCGTGAATCCACTCCCGCTCATCTGCTCATTCTGTTTCGTCTTCAACAGGTGCTCCTTTTGCAGCGCGGATAGCTGCATCTCGGAATACGTGACGAGTTTGTGCTCCAGCTGCGGCTGGTACTTGTTAAACCACTCCAGCGACTTCTTCGCCTGCTCGTTTCGACCTTTCGACACTAACCACACCGGACTTTCCGGTATGAACATGATCAGAATGATGAAGATGGCCACGTATATAATCGACAACCACGCCACCAATCTCCAGCTAAGAAACCAACCCTTGATCATCACCAGCACCATACCTTCAAGCGCAAGTTGAGTTGGGAGTGGACGGGATGCACGTCGGTGGCCATCTTGGATTTTATTTCGCGAGGTCAATTGAATTGATTCGTGGTTTCGGTCAGGTGGTCCACGACGTATACTGATATTAATATGGCGAGTTAACGCGTCAGTAGACAGTCGAACACTAACAGGAATTAGAGAGGCATTCTTTACAATGCAATTAGGAAGATGATTTCCAAACGCAAGCGAAAAACGAATTAACCTTGCAATTTCAGCTTTCTGTCAGTGCAACTTGATGGTTAATTAGAAAAAAATCAGCTATGTAATTGTATTAAACAGAATATACAGCGCCGCCTGGCCTCGTCCTGTTACGACCCATCCGAGGTAACGCTTCAAATTCATTATATTCGCCGTAGTAACAGGGCGAAATGAGATGGGATAAACTCGGATGGGCAGTGATAGGGCGAGGCGAGGCGGCGCAGCCGCCGAAGCCGAAGCTATGTCCCCTATTGTATTAAAAGGAATTGATCATTAAAGGACATAGATTTGCCGCCGCCTCGTCTCGTTCTGTTACCACCCATCAAGCGCTTTCGTTTCATTAGATTCGCTGTAGTAACAGGACGAAGTGAGGTGGAATTAACTCGGAATAGGGCGAGGTGAGGCGGCGCAGCCGCCGAAGCCGAATCTATGTCCCCTATTGTATTAAAAGGAATACATTAGTTAGAAGACAGATATATCCACTATTGCATTAAAATTAGTATATTAGAGGACATATCTTCGACTTCGGCGGCGATGTCGCCGCCTCTCGCCCTCGCCCTCGCCGCCTCGTCCCATCCTGTTACGACTCCTCCGAGATAACGCTTCAATTCCATAAAATTAGTAACGGGGCGAACTGAGGTGGAATGAACTCGGATTGGTATAGCAACAGGGCGAGGCGAGGCGGCGCAGCCGCCGAAGCCGAAGCTATGTCCCATAAAAGGAATACATCATTAAAAAGGACTTAGATTTGACTTCGCCGCTTCGCCTCGTACCGTTACCACCCATAGACCGGGAGATGGTGACACTTTTTGTGGTGTGATTTGCTACAAGTATGGCGACCATTCAAAGGTTTAATTAAGTACTCAATACGAAAATGGTGCTAACTCTCTGGGAGTGGGGCCGTTATTGCGTGACGATTGTTTAAACATGTCGGAAAATTTAATGATTTTGGACAATTTGCTACACAAAATTCTTTGGATTTTCTGTAGTCGGTGACAAAACAAATGACGGAAACGAAATGCCATACTTTTCCGGTGGGCCTTATAGCCCGCCATACTCATTTGAACGTGTCGATTGTTTGTTTTTTTTTGATTTTTGGGTGATTTGCTACAAGCTCATTTTTTTATGAGCATCAAGTCCTCAACCAGTAATTCACGAAAATCAACCTGCCATACCGCACCGACGGGCCCCGATAGCCGCCATACCGGCACAAAGATGTCATTTTTGTTAATAATTTTGGGCGATTTGCTACAGTATGGCATTTGGATTTTCCGAAAGTTCATGCTCCACATTGACCCATGATATATGTGCCATACTCGTCATGAAGGCTAAAGATGGCGCCATACTCGAAAATCTGTTTTCCTAAAACATCTTTGTGCTATAACTCGAATAAGCAAGGAACCTTGAAAACGATCTTCTCCCGAATTTCAGAAAAATGCTTTTATTATTAAAAATTGGTAAAACAATCCAGTCTGTCCGTCTGTCCGTTACAAACGATATCCCGAAAACGAGTGGATGAAGGTATTTAAAAATAAAATTTGTACGTATGCACTTGGGATAAAAGCAAATCTAACGCCAGTTTCAAAATTTGGTTTTGCGCATGCGCAGTGCCAACTTTCTCATTTATGTAGGGATTCAAATTAAATTAGATACATATACCTATGCACTTAGAATAAATGAAAATGTAACAACAGGTGCAAAATTTAGTTTTGCACATGCTATAGCCATACCCAGGAGCTCGTTTGCTATATTTGTTTAAACATTTACCTATTATTATTTTTATTAATTGATCAAAGTACACTGGGTGTTCAGATACTTATGGCGGGTAGTATAAACTTAACGGCAGCTGCTACCTACTACTTCCGATCCATTGAATGCAATGCAGAACACAACGACCCCGACCGGGACCTCTACAACTTGACTAAGAGGTTCGAGTGGGGCGGAGAATATTAAGCGACATAATATCTCGTGATAAAACAAGATTGGCTTTACTTTAATTACACCTCAAACTGTCACGAAAAATTGGTGCCATACTGTAGAAAATCGCCCAAATTTTCCAAAAATTTTTACATTTTTGAAAAAATATTACACATAATTGGCGCATGCCACAGGTATGGCGTATCGAAATTTCTATTTCTGACTATAAAAATAACTGGTGGAAAAATTTATAGGGTGTAGCAAATCGCCCAAAATTATTAACAAAGATGACATCTTTGTGCCGGTATGGCGGCTATGCGGGCCCGTCGCTGCGGTATGGCAGGTTGATTTTCGTGAATGACTGGTTGAGGACTTGATGCTCATAAAAAAATGAGCTTGTAGCAAATCACCCAAAAAAAAAAAAACAATCGACACGTTCAAATGAGTATGGCGGGCTATAAGGCCCACCGGAAAAGTATGGCATTTCGTTTCCGTCGTTTGTTTTGTCATCGACTATCAGAAAATCCAAAGAATTTTGTGTAGCAAATTGTCCAAAATCATTAAATTTTCCGACATGTTTAAACAATCGTCACGCAATAACGGCCCCACTCCCAGAGAGTTAGCACCATTTTCGTATTGAGGAGTACTTAATTAAACCTTTGAATGGTCGCCATACTTGTAGCAAATCACACCACAAAAAGTGTCACCATCTCCCGGTCTACCATCTGAGATACCGCTTCAGTTTTATTAGATTAGATTAGATGAGGTAGAATTAACTCGGATGGGTAGTAATAGGGGGAGGTAAGGCGGCACAGCCGCCAAAGCCGAAGCTATGTCCCTTATTGTATTAAAAGGAATACATTAGAGGGCTTAACTTCAGTTTCGTCAGCTTCGACGCTTCGCCTCGCCTTAGGCAAAGCTGCCGAAGCTAAGGTGCTATTTCGGATGGGTGGAAACAGGGCGAGACGAGGCGGCGAATCCGTCGAACTCGAAGATATATTCACTATTGCATTAAAAGAAGTACACTAGAGAACCACGTGACCGAACTCGAGAATCAATTTAATTGACCTTGATCGACCCCGCTAATTAAATTAATTTCGCGAACAAAATTCAAGATGGCCACCGAAGTGTTACCCATTCTACTGGCGGGAAACCCCGACGGCGAGCTTACCGATTGACAGGTTGAGCACCAAAGACGCACTCAACGGCCCTCTAACGTCCGCCCGGCTAATCTCCGCGATATAAATCGATCCGGGATTCAAGCCCCAAACTGCAAGCAGACGTGGGTGTTGAAGCAGTCGCTTACCCGAAGACGCTTACCCAAGGCGACACCGGTGAGCATTCGTCCGGCGATCAGCATCGGGACATTGACGGCGGTCGCGATGATTGCAAAGCCCGCGATGCAGGGTATCACCATCAGCTTGAGCAGATTTAGCCTTCCCAGACTGTCCATGATGATTCCGCCGGTGATGGCGCCGATTGGCATGCTCAACATGGCCGAGCTCGCTAAAGGTTGGTAGGATTAAGGGAGAGGATTAAGGGAGGTAAGCTACTCACTGATCCACGCCGATTCCGTTTTGGACACGCGCAGAACGTCTGGGTCCGTACTGTTCTGCGCCTCCATGAGTTGTGGTATCAGGATTGCCGAGTACGCGTAGATGATTCCGACGACGATGTTCGGGAAGATTAGGATGGTGGTGACCAGGATCTGCGGAATCAGCGATTTTAGGGTTTTCGCGTCGTAGTGGCTGATCGAGCGGGTGCTGTTTAGGATCTCCAGCATCTGCGCGTGCTTGCGATCTTCCAAGTTGTCCATGGTGGTGTGTTACTAACTTTTCATTTGGTAGGTACTCAGTTCCGTTGGGTTGCCGCTGCAAAAAATCACTTGATCACTTAGTGCAGAATGGCAATCTCGAAACGTGATACGCGAAATTTGCCTTGGAACACAGACAAAGTGTGCCAAATGCATGTACGATGCTTAAAATTTGAGAGGCAATCCGCTAATATGGCCGATAAAAGTGAGTGCCATTGTTTCGACTTGTACTTTTCCACCATTTCCCAACTGATAACTGAAATTTCATTGTCATTGTCAATAGATGGAGTTGTTCTTCAAAGTGGATTTATGCATAATTTGTCTATAAAAATGATGATTTGTTATCGATTGTAGAAGTTCTCCTATTATTACAAAATCACACGTGGATTCGTCGAGAAACAAAACCCACTCAGTGGCATTAGGACGGCGAGCCTTGGATGAGATGTGAAATAGGTTTAGTCATTGGGCAAAACTTCACAAAACCTTGAGAAGGTCGAATTAAGCATTATCATTGTTATTCATTATCAGATCAAGGTTCTTGGTATTCAAGATGCAAGATACAGCTCCAGGTCATGGTCCGCCTGAACTACCTCTTCGCAGAGGCTTCTCCAACCTTCGCCTTTATCGCTGTACCGTCCATAAATCCCAGAAAAGTTTGAAGCAGTTGAAGTAGCTAATTACGCCAAAGAAGACAATAACTTTTGAAAAATCAGGACGAAAGTCGGGGAACCTTTTATAAACTTAGAGTGAGCAAGTCCTAAGAGCTCTCAAAAACCTCCAGAAATAAAAGCTTTCAGAAACCTTTAAGTTTATCCAAGGGGCTCTAAGAATCCTGAAGGGTATTATGCTGTTCTTGTCTCATTACTTTAAGTGCACGTGAAGATAAAACCCCTCCCTGATTCCAAAGTTATAAATATTTTACCAGGATTGCTATTACCTGACGGGTGTAACTTTTGTGGAACAACAAATATTTCTGTATCTTTGTTTGATTTTGTTTACAGGGTTGGTTAGTTTACGATAAGAAAGATTAGGGACGTTAGGTTTTTTTATGTTAATCCAGTCTGGCGATAAGGAGACTTTTGTATCGCTCCGTGAAAAGATAATGTAATTTGAGTGCGAAATAGGTGTTCTCCGTAGATAACAGTTGTGTCAGTTTATTGAAGACGTGTATGAGTGGGGGAGCGCCGGCCGTTTTTCCTTCGAAGTTGGCCTGTGGTCAAAGGGGGATTTAAGTGGATAATGACAACGGAGCAGGGCCAAAGTGCTGAGGGGAGAAGGAAATGAAGACGTCAAAAAGCGCTTTTGGGTGAATGACAGTCAGTCTTGGTGTTTGAGAAGAAAGTTTAGAGAATATTTTAATTTGTCGCTGTGAAAATGAACCGTTTAGTTCCAGTTAGGCCCAGGTATTCTGTGTCACGTATTCAGGGAAGTCGTTTGAATTCTTTGTCGATCGGCCATTAAACGCATAACTGAGGCCCTTCTATAAGGTTTCCCAAGTTAAAGTGGAGTAAAAAGAGAAAACAAAGGAAAATTCAGAATCAACACTAGCTGGTGTTTGCGTTTTTGTGCATCTATTAAAGAAAATCGAAGCCAGGACCGGATTTTCGGATTAGTTACTCTGTAACGTAATTATGCTTTTTAAATAAAAGTAACTTGTTTCAATCGATCGCATGTGCGTGGTATATTGTTTGTAGGCCCTGAGTGCCTTTCCTTATTTATTTGTTTATATCACATTTGTTTTGTGGGTTTTACAGCCTGAACGGTTAGTGGAAGAAGGTATTACCGGGGGGTCAGGGGGTATGTAATACTTTCTAGTACAAACGCCAGTTTCAGTGTCATTTGGAGGACACCACCATTTCGGAATCCAGACTCTCGGTGGTACGATTTCTGCGGTACGGGGACAGGGATCCCGCATAATCCTTACCCAAGAACTGTCATTCGAGCTTTAAAACCTAAACGGTTTGTGGAGAAAGGTGTCCCCTGAGATCTAAAGGATCTGAAGTAGAATAACTGTAAAAAAGTAGAAGATTCTAAAAACAGTCAGTGGGTATAACCAAACAAATCGCGGCACCCGAAGAAGCTACAGATGCTGCCAAACTTCCAAAAAAACTTCGAAAGAATTAAAGATACCATTTTAGGTATTAGGCGGCGAGCACCAGAAGAAAAAACCAAAAAATCGAAATGGTCAAGAATTTACAAAAATTACATAAAACGAAGGGCCCGCGAGAAAGTCAATAGAAGAAGGGATGTTGGTACAGCCGAAGAAAAAGTTGAAGAAGCCGATGAACGCGGACACTCTTTTAAAAGCAGTTCCGCTATTTCCTAATTGATTGCTGATATGAAAGTTCGCGGCATTGAAAGTCAATGCTGCCAGTAGATGGAGTTGTTTTTCATAGCGCATTTGTGCATAATCGCACGTCAATGAACCCTAAACTGAGTAAAATCATAAACAGTTGCCTTGGTTCCATGGGAAAGACGAACCTTGGAGAGATGAAAGATAGGTTTACACAGTAATTGGACAGAGACAAAAGATTGAGAGATGTCATGGAGTGAACTGCAAGGCCGAGTAAGCAGAATTAAACATCGATACTGGATAATTAGCAATTCCATTTAGCTAATTAACGTGATTATTGTTATTGCCGCACAACAAAAAAACATTATCGTATCAAGGTTCTTGGTATTGTCTAGCTTTTTTCATTTCGCAAAAAAGAAACATTTTGCATAGAGGTTTTGTGAGTATTCTTGGAATCGAAAACCAATATTTTAAAGAATCGAAAAAGTTTCGGTCCATTGTTTTTCAATCGTCAAAACCTTATCAGCTTTAAGAGCCTTCAAGGTTTTTTCGTGTTTTTTTAAGAGTTTTCGAGAGTCTTTTTAAATGGAAGCCCGAAGGCTCACTGAAAGTCTTAAAACATATGACTTTAAAAAATGGCAAGCATTTCAAGGCTACGGGAAGGCAATTCGTTTAGGCTTTTCCAAGCTGTTAGAAGTTTTCTCTTTAAGACTTTTAAACGTATTTGGAGGGTACTTTTAACGACTGTGGATACTCTAAAAGCCAAGGCTCATAGCCTCTAAAGAATCGTATTGAAGGTCTGCTTGAAGCGCTCTCAAACCTTTGAAGGCTCATAAGGGTTTTAAAATTTATGAAACACCCGTTTAGATATTTGCCTGAATAACACCCTAAATGCCTCTTAAATGGGGCACTGCTTGGTTTCCTAAATTTTAAAATTCCGAACCATATAATAACGTCTCTTAGCTCTTCAAGTATCTTAAAGGCCTTTAAAGGCTGCTAAAGGCAATAAATCCATTTAAGTGCTTTTAAAGGCCCTAAGAGCTTTCTTTTGCCGATTCTTGACATCTCTTGAGGGCTATTGAAGACTTCTAAAACCTCTTAAAGACTTTTAGATTTTTCTTGCAGACATTTCGTAAATGATACCTTTCCAAAAACCTTTGGCAGGGTTTGTATGGACCCGTTACCTCTTAACAGCTTACGAATATTTGAAATTCTCCGTTATGTTTAAGATCTGAGCCTTCAAAATCCATTATTCGCTTCAGTCTAAAGGTTTTGTATAGTCTTTAGAAGTTTTGATGAGCCTTTAGTATTTGATTGTTGCCAAAAAAGTCTCTCTTAAAGACGCGCCATGTGCTTTCGCGTGGTTTTTGAAATACCTTCTCTAAGATCCGAGCCTTTTTGAATCTTTGAAATGTTTTAATAGTCTTAAGGTCTTTGGAGGTCTGTATAAGGTTTAGGAAGCTTTGAAGACTCGGTTCACAAAGGTTTTCAAATGTTTTTAAATGTCCTTGAAGTTCCTAAGGTTCAATTAGGATCTTAAAATATATGTCTTGGTGAGTCTTTGAGGCTTTTCAAAGCTCTTAGAAGACTCTTACCAATTCTTCAACCTCCTTAAGGCTCTTAAACACACGTATTCAGTATTTACACCGACTTTGGAAACCTCTAAAGTCCAATGAAAAACACGCAGAACCTCCAGAAGATTGAGGGCAGGGGGAGGGGGGCTTTGGAGGTTCATAAAGGTTTTTAAAGGTTTTTGAAAGCTGTGAAACGCCTGATGACTATTTAGACGTTTGATTGACTAATGCCCTTAAGTACTCTTAAATAGAGCATTATTTGGTTTCCTACAGTCTGAAACGCAAAATTACCTACTAGTTCTTTAAGTTCCATAAAGGCTCAAGAAATCAGCCTTTTTTTGTTGAATTTGCAAAGCTTTTAAGCAATTTTTGGAGTTTTGAAATTTCTTGAAGACCCTATACATGGTTTTTTAAAACCTTTAGTAGATATTTAATATTTAAAATATTTCAAGTGCTTTATGATCCTTTAGAAGCGTTTAAGGTCTTACAATCTTCTAAGTGTTTTTAAATCTTACGAGGCTTTTAGAGTGTTTCTTACGTGCTGAGCCTTTAAAAAGATCTAATGAGCCTTTAAGTTATTTTGAGGAGTTGGAAGTAGTGACCATTAATTTCAAAGGGCTTGCAAAAATCTTTGGGAGGATCCAAGAGTATTGTAGAGGTCACAAAATGATTGTGGAGGCAATTGAAAATTTATTGGGAAGAAGCCTATGACGCTATTAAATGCTCTTAAAAACCAATGAACTTCATAAAACTCATGAAGAGTCTGAAAGCCTTTGAAAGGTCTTCTTAAAGATAAAGGTTTCTAGAAGTGGTCTTAAAGGGTGTTAAAGGTTCAACAACCTAAGAAGTTAAAAAATTTCTTTTGAAAGGCCGTACAATATCTTATCAAGCCTTAGGGTTTCTAGGTCACTGTTATTAAGTTCGAATGGTTTTAAAGGTCCTAAAATCTTCTCAAAAATTCGTGAAATTTAAGCGCTCAGAGCCTTGAAGGCTAACTGGCTAATTAAAAACATCCCCTTAAGCGCTCCTTAATAAGGCCTTGCTAGGTTTTCTAAATTTTGAAAGTGCAAAGGTCTCAAAAAGCCAAATGCTTTTTTTTGGTTCTAGAAAACTCTTGAGGATTTTTGGAAACTTTTGAAACTTCTAGCAGGTTCTTGAAAACACTTGGAGCCTTTAAACAATTTTTGAAGGTTCTTGAATGCCCTTTACAATAGCTCTAGCATTCTATAGAAGGTGCTGAAATACTAATAACAGTTCTCACATGCCCATTGTACCCAAAGTACGTGTTTTCGGGAGGCTTTTCGCGATTTTAGGCCTTTTTTTGGAGATTTTGAAAGTCTTTAAAATATGCCCAAAGACATGCATTTTTGGTGCTTTAGGGGTATTTGCACGTTCTTTAAGAGCATTTAAGAGTTGCTTACAACCTCGATGATTCCTCAAAATGCTCCAGAATCTTCTAAATACTTTTACAGACTCTACGAGATTTTTAGTCTTTAAAGAGTGGTTATGCGCTGAGCCTTTAAAAGATTTCGTCAGCCTTCAAGTGATTTGAAAAGTTTGGAAGTAATTGCCAATTAGTTTAAACAGCCTTTAGGAGTATCCAAGACCGTTGAATACTGTTTTAAGATTACTAAACTTATGAGCCATGTCCCTTAAAGGCTCTTCAAGGTTCTACAGCATAATAAACTTTCCAAAAAATGCTTTCGAAGAAAAGACTAAAAGGATCTAGGAGGCCCTTACCAGGGTTTAAAGGTTCTAATATCATCTAAGTTCTCCTGAAGATTTCGTAAAAGCTGTATGGGAAGATCCTTGGAAACATAAAAACATGATAATTTGACCTTTACACGCTCTAAGTAGCACCCAAAAGATCATTTAGAAGACGCTGGAGGCTGTTGAACAATCTCTAAATGTGTAAGCGTCTCTAGAGCTTTTAAAGACGCTTGTTTTAAAAATTGTCTTGCCAGATCAGCTTGATTTACATTGGACAGCCTTAAGAGCAATCAAATACCTTTAAAGGTTCGGAACTTAAGGCTCTTAAACTCCTTTAAATGCTCTTAAAAGCTCACTAAATCTTCTAAAACATAAGAAGGAAGAACTGCAAAGGTTCAAAAGGCGTTCAAAGACATTTAAAACCTTTAGTGTGTAACAAGCCTTAAGGGTTTTGTTCTCTAAACTTAAGAATTTCCTACAGTCTCAAATATTCTCTAAGAAGCTTCAGAAGCAGAGTGTTTACGAGGATTTTAGTATTTAAGAACCTTTAGGAAAATCTAAGAGCTTAAAAATTGCGACAATAGTCTCAAAAGGGTTCCAAGAGAGCATCCAAGAGCCTTGTACGTTGTTCTGAGGCTACTAAAAGGGTGTGGATACCACTAAGTAGCTTAGGGAGGAAATGTTTGACAACCTTTGGTGGTTACTAAATATTCTTAATAAGCAATAAACCTTTTAAAGCTCTTAAAAGCTTATGATTGATCTTTAAAAATCTTTAAGGAGCTTTTAAAGGCCCTTAAGCCTAAGAAGTACCCAAAAAATGCTCTTGGTAGTACTTAAGGTTTGCTCATGGCTCTTTAAGTTTGTTTGAAATACTAAAAGCATCCACCGAGGCTTTACGCTTTTCTAAAGGTCTTTGAAGGTTCATGAGGGTCCTTGGAAACATGAAAATGTAGACTATTGAAGATCTTTAAGTACTCTATTAAAAACCTTTAGAGGATCTTAAAGCTCTAAAACACTAAGCGCCTATACCCCAATTAAGACTATTGGTTCTAAAACAATCTTGCGGGCAATTGACTTAAGACGCTTGGAAAAAATTGAAGGCTGATACACATTTCTTAAAAGTTCATCACTTAAAAGCTTTTCAAATTCGTTGGAAAGTCTCCATTAAAGACCTTGCCTTTAAATATTTGAAGTATATTCAGTATTTTTAAAGGCTTTTAACGCCTGTAAATGCTCTCATCTCGCTTTACATTTTTTTGGAAATGCTTGAAAACATTGGAGACTTGTAGGAGACATGCTCATTTGAAAAATCAAGTCAAACATTTTGAGAATTTTGAGAATAGACCAATTACAGTAAAGAAATCACCATTGATTTACATAATTCAGTTACATGGATTCTTGAAATTATCAGCCAGTTATTGAGTTATTGCGCGACTTGCTCTTGATAACATTTTGCCTTCTTTTTTACATGGTAGGCCCTTTTTTTCACGAAACAATTTGAATATACCTTACACCGTACAATTTAGATAGATAACCTCGGGGAGCACAGTACTTCGAGTCAAAAAATCTTAAAAATAAGGGCCCCAACAAAAAATGAATTTTCGAGAACAAAGGACTACTATCGTTGGTCGAAAAAAAAGCAGATTGCGATTAAAAAAATCGAGTCTTACCCCATTGATCGATAAGAGGTTTCACAAACTGGCACTGCCATGTAAACATTAAGATCTCATGTGAACACGGATATATCTGTGCGATGTATTCACAATTATGGGAATAGTTTCACTGATAACACTATCTCTAGAGGATTAAATCAAAAACGGCAAACAAATCGATTTTTTTAAGTATTCCACTTAACCCAATTCAGCTCATTGACACGATTTGCTTTACCGTCTAATCCAATTCTCGCGCCAAAAAGCTTACCTATAAATGGCACTGTTACTTTCACTGTGTCTAATGCGAATTCCTATTATTCAACTGTCTTCAATGTTATTAAGCATAATAAACTTTTTATTTTTTTAAACTTATCGCCGTTTTATAACCCCCACCATCGAAACGGCCCCCACCGAAAAAGTCGCACGCCGCGCCGCCCCCCGCCGTTCGGCAATTAAATTTGATGCGACGCTCCGTTAATAAAACGAGCCTTCATTGAATTAGCAATTAAAAGAAAAGGTTTTCGAGGCACGTGAGACGAAAACAAAGTCCAATCACGTGTCGCAATTACCATTTACATAAACGTCAACGCTTTTAATTCGAAATCTCCTCCGATAATGGTTTTTTGATAGCGCACGCGTTTGGGAATCCACCTTTTTTCGGGTCATTTCCGAAGTGCGAATTGCGCAACGTGGACCGATTAAAGCGAGATTAATGAGAAATGTGGCCAGTTCGACTGAGGTGTCCAATTAAATTAATTGGCCCTGGATAAGTGCCTCAATCTTCGCTTGTGAGATTAACTTTGAGTTTGGCGGCACGCGATTGCCAAAATGTGATTTTAAAGCTTTCCCAGGGGTCCATATCTCACCTGGAGCTTCCAGACCCCTTACCAGGACGCTCTAAATGCGAAAAGATACCGAATACTTTTGGTCCTCTGCGAACGTGTTTAAAGGCTCTGGAAAACCATTTAAGGAGGTTCCTGTGCGCCATTGAGACCTCTGGAACCTTACCAATTTAGGAAAACCACAGGAAAACCTAATTCGGAGTAGCCGACAGGATGCTCGAAACTGATCTAAGGAAATGATTTAATTTATTAGACAAAATCAGTCAATAAAGCTGCAATAAAAATAGGCACTCAGAGCCAAAGTACAAATACCACGCAACAAGCGATTGATGGCAACGATTACTTTTAGTATTAAAAAAATGACGCCCACACAAAAATCAACTGATGTTATTTCGGGAACTTCACTCCGTTGATTGCACTTAAATGTCAATTTAGACACTGGGTTCGTTGTAATTACAAATGGCTCTGTGATGGTGGAAGAAACTCGATTTAACGGGTACTGGGAAATGCTTCACATAAGCGATAAACGCACGATAAACACAATACGCTGACTGATTCAACTTCAATTTAAATATTTATTGTAGATGGGGTAAACTTCCTCTAAAAATTGTGCAACTGGCTGTCTATCAATAATACGTTTGCAAAGTTTGCAAAACGGCCAATAGGCGGCTACGTTTTGACGTCCACCAAAACAAAACAACGATTAACGATTAACACTAAGAAAAGCAACGTTTTCATCTGCTATTTAAATTTTCTTCACTTTCCCAGTTTCCGCAGCTCCTCTATTTAAATTTTCCGCCTGTGTCTTCGTATCGGCGAAACCTGCTTATTTTGAAACTAATTAGCTTACGGAGCGATAACTAATTTCTTATCGCGACGACCGTATTGAAGTGAGATAACTCTAACAAATGTCTCTAATCTTTCTAAATGAACAATCGAGTAAATTAAAATAAAAACTATGCGATTATTTAAACAAAATTGAGCAACAATTTATTCTCTAACAAAATCACATCAAATTCAAACACCATGAAATTGTGTTCAGTCCAAAATTATTATAAAGTTGAAACTCAAACATACAGAGTGTTGGTAACAACTAAAACGCCCGCAAGTCAGCAAAATAAGCCCCATTCCGTTAACAAGCCTTCATGTAATTACCATTATTTGATCAATTCAGTATCAGTCAACAGATGTTGCAATATATTGCTCTTATGTAACCCTTACGCATATTTTATGAAACAAAACTGCAATCAGGAGCCCAGAAAGACGTTTTGATCTGTAGATTTTGCACCTGATCGGATGTTTGTGATTCCCATACGTTTCTTAAGTTTGCCAGGAGCACATGGTAAGTCAGAAGGTATCGTGTTTTGCAACTTCTCGCGTTTCTGTCATCCTGATGCTTCTTTGTGGCTTTGTGACAACGAGACCTTTAAAAAACTTTTGAATCTAGAGGCCACAAAAACGTAGGATTTTGCACCTCCCCGGACGGTTATATGAAAAAGAAATTGATATCAGGAGCACATCGTTAGTAAACCCGTTAGTAATTCGCTTGCCTTTTACTTCTTTGGGATTCTATGATTCACACATTGTGGTAGTGGATCAGGATAACAGAACTTTGAACAGCTCGGATATTCTAGGATGAAGAGGTATGATTCCGTGATCCTATAGATAGCATCCATTAAGTAACAAATTTCTAACAGGAGCACATAATACGAACGTTATCGTGATTTTGTTGTCCTGACATCAAAGCGTACGTAAGCTGTAGGCTTAAAAATTTTGTACATCCTCGGGTTTATGAAATCCTTACACTTTTTTAAAGCTTGAATTGTGTCAGAAGGACATCGTCCTCTGTCTCTAGTCTATGTCAGTAGGCTGTTAATCTTTTCTCGTACCAAACATCTTAACATTTAAGAAATGAATTTGTATCAGGAGAGCATATTACTTCCTTACGTTTTTGTGATCCTCACACGATATTTAGAAAATGGGTACACATAAAAAACAAGATACGTTAGAATGTAACAGGAAACAAGAAGCCATTTAGCGTTTCTGAGCCTATGGCACACCATTTTTAAAATGCCAACCTTGGGCGTATGTACTTGACATATTTTATGAGAGAAAATTGCTAACAGGAGACCATAATGTCAAAAGAGGGTGCAGTTTGTATATTTTACACCTGCCCATACGATTTATTGCGCAAACTTGAAGTGTCAGGGACACATGATATGTAAGAAGGTGTCAGGTTTTCTGTTCCTCGAGTTTCTATAACCCTGATATTTTGCAACGAACTTAAAAGCGTGTCAGTGCCACAGAAAATCAAGGATTTCAACATCCTGTTGATACTTGCCGACAAACAATTTGCTCCTGACACTTTTTTAAAATAATCAGGAGAACAGAATATGTAATGTTATTCTGGCACAGATTGAAAAAGTAAACCTTTATCCAGAGAATACAATACGGTGTGTGTTTCACAAAATTTTCCACATTCTTACCTTTCTGTGATCCTGATGGTTTTTAAAAAGAACAGTGGTATGAGGAGAGCATATTTCATTCATAGATGACAGTCAGTAGAGTATACATATCCTCACACTCCTAAGGGCTTAATACAGCGTATGAGATTTGAGAAAAACACCTCCTGGTACATCTGAGATTCTGGCCAAATATTAATTACGAAAAAGAATCGGCGATTCTGACATAAAGAACATGTATCAGGAGATCATCGTTACGTGAGAAGATGTTTATCAATAAATCGATACCTACATGCATTTATTTCTGCGATCCTGATACACTTTTTAAAATATGAAATTTTAGCATAATAACATACGGAATTAAATTTTTGGGGCATGTCGATTGCTCAACGTAATGATTAGAGCGGTTTATCTAATTCGACTGAGCTGCCCAATTAATTTAATTGGCACTGGATGATGACGCCAATAAGTGTCATAATCTCCTGATGGTGAGATTACCTTTGAGTTCGGCGGCACGCGATTGCGAAAATGTTCCGTAAATCTGTAAAAGCTTATCGGGATTTGAAAGGTTTTATGGGGTGGTTAAACTTCTCCTGGAGCTTTCCAGGGCGAGCTTTCGCCCAGAGCAAACACGTAAGAAGGTGGCAGTCGACGGTTTCTGTTATCCTGATACTTTCTTAAAAAAAATTGTACCAGAAGAAAATAATACGTGAGATGGTTAAAATAATTTTACCGCTTCTCGCGTTTATGCGACGTTGCCATCAAAATATGTGTCAGGGTCACAGAAAAACGAGGAAGGTGCATGTCTGTTTTCAAAAGCGCAGCAAGGTTACACACAAAAATTAAGGAAACAATTCCGGAGAACATGCTGGTAAGGAAACGTCAGGAATCCTGTGTTTTAAACAGAAAAATTTGTATCAGGAGAAAATAATAATGCATAAGAAGTTTGTATCGGGAGGTGTCAGCCAACATATATTGCACCTTCTCGTACTACTGTGATCTGTTATTCTGACGCGGTTCTTTAGGGGAGAAATTTGTAACGGGAGCTCATCATACGTCACGATCCTGATACTTTATTTGAAAGAGAATTTTGTACAAAATGAATATGCCAGAACCACGGAAAAACGAAGAAGTGCAAAACTTATTTACTGCAACCTTATATCATATTTTACCTGCCTAAGCGACCTTGCGTGTCTGTGATACTGATGCCTTAAAAAAATTGGTATCAGGAGCACATCGTATAGATGCAAGGAAGTGTCAGTCCATATGCCTTTTATTTCCTTGTTCTGTGACATACTTTTTTAAATGTTGTATTCAAAAGTGTCAGGATCACAGAAACTTGAGGACATACAATTTGGTCCTGTAGTCTGTATCGGGAGAACAGAATACGTCCTCGCCATCTGTGACTATAAGATTTTTTTTAATCAGGCGAGCATGAAAAGTGCCAAGATCACGTATTATGTTCACCTGGTAGAAACTCCTCTTGATAAAAAAGTATCAGAACGACAGAAGCAGTTTCATTACCGCTGAACTTACTGTTATAATTAGCATCATCTGAAAGTCATGATGATTACTCCCGACGTCACCAGATTCACGAATGGCGTCAGTATCGAAAAGAAATTATTCGTCTAATTATCAAATGAAGTGACGAGTTCGACGAACCCGACGTACACTCGAACGCAAGTTTGTTTCGATAATAAAATTAATAGATTAATTTGGTTCTGTAACTGTTGACTACCACCACGCTTTGTGTACGTAGCCAATGGTGCAGAAGAGAGAAAGACTTACCGAGCTCTCAACAAGACGGCGTGCCACCTCATTGTAACAATTTGCGTAAAGACTCGTGCAAAAAAATTATGTTTATTGCTTATTTATTAGTGGCACTTGTGGCAACTGTTATTAAATTGCGCTAATTGATGGCTATTGAAGTGTTATATATAGAACGTAATTGCTATTGCAAATTATGTAACTTGGCGTAAATTATCTTCAATTGTTTTCAAGTGACATGTTAAGTGGAGTGCTTGAGTCCACTTAAATAATACATTTTCAATGTGCGATCCACCTGGACAATATCTAAAGAGGAAAATTGTTATATGGGCCATTTTGGACACCCCTGGCGCAAAATAATTCACACACCCTGTATATGAGGTAGCGTTTTAAAGATGCTATTATGTATACGGTAGGTATCCATCATGTGTCTTGATAAGGTTTTGTGCAAAATGGTTTTGAAATTGGAACATAGATTTTGGACAACCCTGGTTGGAAATACACACTTCTTTTTTATTCTCTCTTCTCTATTGTCTATTTCTCTTTTTAAAGACATACCCGTTGGTCACAACTCATGCAAGAGTAAAAGAAAAATTTGTGTCAGGAGCACATCATGCGTAAGAAGATTGCCCCCCCCCCCCACCTGATTTCTATTTTCCATGATTTCGAAAAAAGACATCGTACATAAGAGAGTCAATGGATGGATTGCTTACTTCCGGATATAATCCCCGACCGAATTTACTCTGTGTAAGTTTGCTCGGGTGCACGTTAGGATTTACGACCCTAACGCCGGTTCAAGTTGGTTCTTCGAGCCGGATCAAGTTTTCCATTCCTGCTGGCGGGCCAAGATGTTCATTTAGAGCAGGTTTAAAACGACCGCCAGCAGTAAGGTAATAAATTATCTTAGGGAATAACAAGGAAATCGCAGACCAACACGAAAATGTGTATACTATGTGTATAATCTGGTGGAACAAGTCGCGTTTCTGTAACCCTGGTAAATTTTAAAAGGGGAAGTTTGTATTAGGAGAACTAAAAAAACATACAAGGCTCACAGAGTATCCTTTAGAAACCCTGTCACATGCAGCTACTATCATTTTAAAGAAAAGTGTGTATCAGTAGAACATAACACGCAGAAGATTGTCGTAAGTAGATTTTACACTACATCGCGCTCTTGGAATTCTGACACGTTGTCCAAAAGGGAATTATTAGGTGAACATGATACTTAAGAAGTGGAAAAAATAAATTAATACTTCCTCGTGCACTGAGATCTTGATGCAAGAATTTTTAAAAGGGAAATTTCGTCAGTAGGACACAAAACGCGACAGTTTATAGATTTTCCTACTTCTCGCGTTTCTGTTGTACACTAAAGTAAAAATAAAATTGTAACAGGAGCACATATCACGTACGAACGTGTTTGTCAATTGATTTTAGCCTACTCGCGATTCTGTTCTAATGCGTTTTTTAGATATACGTTAGTACCATACGTACCTTACGTAAGAAGGTGAGTGTTGTACTTCCTCGAGTTTCTGTAACCCTATTACTCTTTTAAGAGAAATATAGATTGTTCCTTTCTTCGAGTTTCACTACGGAGGAACGTGACAGGAGACAAGATACCTCCTTTGACACACAACTTTTTTGTTTGTTTGATCAATGTAACAAGTGTCAGTCAATAGATTTTATGCTTATGTGATCCTGACGCATTTTATAAAAAAAATTTATCAGGACCACGCTTCCTCAATCCAGATAAGAAAATCACAATAATAGATACATTTGTTAACAGGAGGAGATCATATGAACTGTATAAATAAGTTTATATTAGGAGAACCTAATACGTGAGAAGGTTTAATTAATAGAGTTGGCTCCATTTGTGTACCTGAGAAGATTAATAGGCTGTTTTCATCAACTTTTGTTCCACTGAGAAGGTTTGTATCAGGAGTACATGAGTATTATCTAACATATTTTGTCAGTAGCAAACCAAAAATGTTAGTCAAAACATTTTCCACCCCCTTTCGTTTAATTCACTCTAATGCGCTTAAGAAAATAACATTTGTAACAGGAGCGCATCAATAGACTAGGATTGCCCACGATTTTGTTGTTTTGATAGGTTTTGGATATGCGTTGGTATCATATCACATCTCAGGTAAGAACTTCACTTCATTTTCGAATATCTGTAATTTCCACATGGTTCTAAAATAGAAATTTGTGTCAGGAAAACAGAATACCTACAATGTTTAGGTATATAGGCTCTGTCCCGCTCGCGTTTCCGCCCCTCTTGTACATTTTTAAAGGAAAATGTTGCATCAGGCGAACTTAAAAAAGTGTCAGGATCGCAGAAACGCGAGGATATGCAAAACCGATAGACACCTTGTATCAGGAGCGCAGTATGGATGCGAAGATCTTTTCCTAGCGGCGCAAAATCGCGCATAATATGCGCCCAATTTCCGCATAAGTAAAGAATGGTGCAAAGCCTAAAGACAAACATCGTCTAAAAAACCCACACCCATGAGATTTATGCAATATAACGCGGAACTTATGCTGGGAGCGCATAACTAGCGCAAAATGTCACAATAATAAATGAGAAAGTTTAATTAGCGCATAAAATTAAATTGGTTGTGTCTACCTGGTCCTTAGTTTTGGAAATTCGAATGTTATGTTAAGAGACATTCTCCCAATTTGTGTTTCCAATTCGAAATTGTGAACTTTGTTCCTTTTTCGCGGTTCTACATTCTGCAGATTTGTAGGAAGACTTAAATTACATAGTTTCTTTTATCTGTGAAGCATATTTAACGTACCAGTCGAACGAGGGACAAGGTACCTATGTCAGGGGTTCGTTTCCGTTTCCATTTTCAAATGTGTGTGGTACGAATCGATTCTTTTTTGCTCTGTTTTAATTCAGTTACCAACAGGGGTGCGTGACCGCGTAGTTTGATAAACACATTAAAGTGAAAACCGTTGGACTTCTGCCAGTAACTAGGAAGTGGCCAACCTGCCAAAATCTCGGTTGACATTTTAACAAGTGCGTTCTTCGATTCGTCCCCCGACGACGTTTTTTCCACACAATAAAAATCGTTCGCGTGAAATTATCGATAAAGTTCGGTCACGTACTTAACAATAAACAATTTAAACAAACAGCGGCAGTCATCCGAATTGCCTAATCAAAGCGGGCGACGCGATTAGGTGATCGGTGACGTCGAAAAGCAATGGAAAATTCACTTACCTGAAGATCTGCGAATGTTTTCGGCGGAAAGTTGAAAATTCACGCGTTGTTGATCTAAATCTGCTTGGCGCGTCTAAATTTAATTCTAGATTTATTCGTTTGGCGTCGCGTTCGCCATTTAAGTTGGAGCAGATCGAAATGGGAAAACTGCAGCGCGCGGCGGAAAACTGTTCCAAAATATTCGATTCAAGTCAGCACGCCGGAAAGCGACGTGTTTTTGATAGAGAGAAATCAACAGGTGTCGGCAGCACCGTCGGTTATGCAACTTATTGTACACGTCTCTTTTTTTTATTAAACCTCCTCTGCACCGAATCATTTTATTTCGGTTAGTCTTCCACATGGCGCAATTAAAATTTCTACAGGAAGCTTTCCTTTCGGGAATTTTGGGAAAGATACCCTGAGATTTGCGCAAATTATTAAGACAAAATTCTCTGTAATTTTTCTACTGCATTCTGTAGGCCCTTTCCGCTACGAGCTCGACTGTAACTTCAAACAACGAATGACCATTTCCGCGAATCCTAAAGTTGAACTGCTCGAAGGGTAGATTTAGACGCCATATAAATAAGGTAAATTCTACTTTTGTATTTGTATTTTAATACGGACCGTGTCCTAGAAATTTGACGAGCAGAACTAGAAATATTCCCAAAAATGATCATTCAGTTTGCGTGTGACGGAGAAAGCAGGAGAAAGAAAAGCAAAGGTAAGAGTTAGAAAGGCTCGAACGTTTGAAGAAGGCGTGTCATATGTACTACATTTATGGGCTACATTATAATTTTGCAATGGGTACATTCACAGAACGGGAAGGATTCGAATCGACCCCTCCGATACGTAACAGGACCCTCGTTCGGAGTTCGATATACAAAATGAAATACGCATGGTGAATTAATAACAAATTTATTACAACACTAACCGACCTATGATATTGTACTAATGGCGTCCAACATGAGCTCGCGAATCTGAAAAACTCACAAAATTATAATCACTAAACCCTTTGTGCGCGTGCTCACCTGTACATGCGGTGGTGTGCCCAAGACGTAACACACAGAGTCAGCGACATCTTTGTCCCGTAGAAAGCAACCGTTCGCGAGGTTGTCGATGATGTGGTCTTGCAGCTTTAACTCCGCAACCTTGGGGGTATCCACCAAGCCGGGACTGATGCTCTAAAAATTGGCGCGTTTGCCCAAAACGTACAAGTTGCCCCAACCGCCTTACCGTCACTTTGATTTTGCTGCCAACGTAGTTGAGCTCCTGGCGAAGGGCTTCGGTGAGCGCGGTCACGGCGTGCTTGGAGGCGGGGTAGACGTTTGCACCGGGATAATACGTCGAGTTGTGCCCCGCCAGACTGTTTATGTGTACGATGTGCCCCTCGTTCCCATGAGCTCGCATTATCCTAACCGCCTCGTTGGTGACGGTGCACAAACCTATGACGTTTATATCGATGATTGTCGCCCAGTCCGTCGGTCTGCAACTCAAAAGTGATTTCTCCAGCGTAACCGCAGCGTTGTTGATCAAAATCTGAACGGGACCTACATTGTTCGTAATCCATTCGAAAGCGCCCAAAACGTCCTCCTCCTTGGACACGTCAGCCTTAACTGGGTACAGCTTTCCGAGTCTACCTTCGAATTGTCGCGCCTTCTGCTCAATCGGCTCGATGCGCCGAGCGATCCCGATGACCTACTCGCAACGTGGCGCTAAGAGTAACTCGCCAAAGTGTGAACGTACCCTCAGGCCAGAATTCACCAGTGCCTCACTGATTGCCGCACCGATGCCCATACTGGCACCGGTCACCACGGCAACCTTGCCGCGCCAACGTTCCATTTCACCACTAGCCAACTGGTGCGTACGATGCTCTTTGTACCCGCAACATGAGCCAATCTACTGATAGCGGTATCTGTTTTTACACGACAAGGTCAAACACTAGCATTATCACCCAAATGTTCTCGCTAACCGAGCATGCCAATTGGTCGGAAAGGATTGAAGGGCAAAGCAAAAAAGATAGGAACAAAAGAAAACGTGACATAAACATAGAAGAATTGAAGAGGAGGTCCATGAAAGATAGCGCTTGTCGAGACTAAGTCATAACGGGGACGCAAAAGGAATGTGAAAGGGATATGTCCCTTTAAATAGTGCAAGAAAAAAGAAAAGCTAGAAAAGGGTTCCCTCGGTTATCATGTTCTCCTGGTATCCAGAGAAAATTTAGTTACTGTTCCAAGTGCATTTGTAAATATTGGCTCACTATACCTAAGGTAATTTTTTGAATAAATCCACTTCAGAAAAGGACCCAAACGCTTATCATGTGTTCCTGGTAGTCGTAGACTGACGGGTGCTCTAAGTATTAGAAGCACAGATACCTACTCGTTTCTTATACTCTGCTGGTACAAAGGTTTGAGTAAGCGAAGATAATTCGTTGTTCCTCAGGTCAGAAAAAGTTCCTGCAATCATGTTATGATAGCTACTTTACCTATTAGGAGTAGAAAAACCAAATTGCTAATTATATACTCCTGATACATTTTCCTACAGTTTAAGCCAAAGTAAATTGTTGAAATCGTTTCTGCTGGTAGCCAGAGGAGAACTTTTTTGGGGTTTTCTAGATCATGCATCAGAAAACAGCTCCTCGTTACTTATGTTTTCCTGGTAATTGAATTTCTGCAAATTTCAGGGAAAGTAAATCTTTTGGGACTAGAAAAAGAAATAAATCCTCATTCATTCTGTTCTCCTGCTAGGCAGAGAAAGTTTGCGTATACCCTAGGTATTGGGAAAACAGATACTGCTCAATATATTATGCTCCTGTTACAACAGTTTGAGGAACATGTGACAAAGCTTCTTTACTCTGTATATTTCCTGACCCAAAGGTTCCGAAAATTTCAGCGAAATCACATGTAAAAAACGCCCTCCGCGTTTATTATGTTCATCTGGTAGCTATTAGAGTCATTCTGCCTACGGTTAAATTTGCAAATTTCTGAAATGTAAGAGAAAATAAATAAATTGTTGAAAAATTCCTGTTAAGGGCCCTCCCCTTTTATTATGTTCTCGTGATAATGGGAGAAAATGTACGTTTTTCTGAGGGAGTTCTACGCACCAGAAACAGAGTTACCTCTTCGATAATATCCTGATACAAACGTTCCCGCAAATGTTCTTATTGATGCTTTGTAACTGGAATGAATACGTTAATTGAAACGTGGCTCCTGAGAATGGGAAGATCTCATCGATTAGGTATCAAGTTCTCTTGGTGCCCAGAGAAAATTTACATCATTTTTCTGAAGGGTATCTTCTTGAGGATAGAAAAAGAGCTAGTTTGTTATGCTCTCCTGGTAACCAGAAAATTTATTGTACCTCTCAGGAGCAGGCATACCTACTCACTCTTTGCACCCTACTGGAGTTTTTAAGTGAAAACAAGTTGTTGATATGAATGGTTCCTCTTTAAAACCAAAGAAGTTTATTGGTTTATGTTCTCCGGGAAGTTATAACATTTTTTGGAGGGTAGGTGTTCTATGAATTAGAGGTAGAGATACCTACTCGTCCAATATACACTCTTGGTAAAAGAGAGAATATACTGTTGAAGCCCCGCTCTTGAAACTAGAAAAACGGTTTCACATTTATTATGTTCTCCTGGCAACCAAAAAAATGTGTAACCATTTTGTAAAATATACTTCGTGTATTTAAGAGCAGACATGATGTGTGATAGACTGCTCAAATCTCTTGACTCAAAGGTTGCCCATGGTTTTGGCGAATATGAGTTGTCAAAGCGTCTTTAATTTATTAACAATGGAAGACGTTCAACAAATCTGAATAATCAAGAAATTTCAGATGAAGCTACAAAAGCTTGAACTTATGTGCTCCTGGTAGGCAAGGAAAATTCACAATACATTTTTGCCATACTACATATAACACGAGCATAGATACCTCCTTGGGCGTTATATGCTCCTGACGAAAAAGGTGGAGATATACAAAGCGGTTTTCCTAAAGATAATCAAAAGTAAGAATTAGCTCTTCATACAACACTCACCATGTTCTGGTAGATGCCAATGTATTAGGATGCCATAAAGTGACTTTTAAGCGACAACTTGTCTTGAGGCTAGAAAAACCTCCACGTTAATTCTCCTCTCGTGTTAGTTAAGAAAGAGGAAGGGCTATGACTTTTGATGTACTGATCCGGTCTTCAAGAAGCGGGAGGGTTACAATGTTCTGTTGTTGAATTCTCTATGTATTAGGATATGCAAGAATTCTTGGAAGTGCATATAAATCGTTGAAGGGTTCCTGTGGATGCCTGAAAATTTTTCCTTGTTCATTATGTCCTCCTGATTGCTGAAGAAAATCTACAAGCCCTTTCCGATCGATGCTGTTAGTATTAGGAGCACAGATACTTCCTTGAACGTGATTTATAGGTACTCATGTACGCGAAAGTAAATTGGAGGGGGGGGGGGGCACTGAAGTTATTGTATTGGAATTAGGATATTTAATTGTACGGTAATTAAAATTAAATAAATATCACATAAAACGTCTAGCGATAAAAAATACGTAGGTAGCGCTATACTTCCGAGTCTTTGGACATGAGTGCCGTCGTCGTTTCGTCCGCCTCCTCGCACGGACACTCCTTACTGTCGGCGACGTTATTGTTCGAAAGGTCGTGCTTGTCCGCCGAAAAGCTCGGCACGAGACCGCTGTTCGCGTCCTCGATCGCCTTCCTCAGATCGGTCAGTCCGACGACGCCGATCAGCTTGCCGATCGCGGTCACGTACGCGTGATTCACACCGACCATCGAGAAGAGCGAGTGGACCTTAAGCAACGAGGTCCTTTCGACGAGCTGAAACGGAGCGGGGTCGATCGTGCACGTCGAGAACTCGACCGGCAGCTGCATCTGTTCGTCCTCCCACTTGCGCTGGTCCTCGGGCGACATGTCGCAGACCCTCTCCTTTGGCTGAAAACGCGATCGGTTAGTCTAGGACTTGGGGGAGGGGGGAGGGCGTACCAGCTGAACCTTTTTGAAGCTAGAAGTGCTGATTGCAGGTAGTATCTCCGGTTTGCTACTTTCACCCAGGACCGGCTGCGACTCCCCGTTCTCCACGTCCTGGAGTTGGGCCGACTTCTTGAAAATGGCCTCGAAGGCCAGCCGTATTCGGCTTTCCGCACCGGTAACTGTGGTGTAGGGTGTCGCGCCCGGACTGTTCGACATTAGTGGGCTGAAGCCTTTTAGCGTAAACGAGTTGGTCTTCTTCAGAATGGACTTTTTGGGTTGGGATCCGAAGACTGGATGGTAGGTGGGCTGAAATTGGGTTTGGATTGTGAATGATTTTTTTTTGTGGAGGCTTACCTGGTCGACGACATTGAGTTGGTTCTCCGACATTTGCCTGAGTGCTAGCATGTCCGGGGCTGGGGAGACGTGGAAGCGGGACGGTCGTCTTTGGCGCTCCTCCGCTTTTTTCTGCTCCTCGCGCGCCAGGGCTTCACGGTGCCTGATCGCTGCAACCTGCAGTCTACGTTCTCGACCGATCTGCTGCTCGATCAGCTCGATCAGGTGCATTCGCTGAATGGACCCAAGTAACACCATGCTCTCGGGAGTGTCCACGAGTGGAAACCCCTTCAAGCGTCGGTTCTCCTTCAGCATGACCTTCAGCTGCTCGTAACTCATTCCGTGGTAAATGTACTTAACGTCGCGCATCATGAAGTCCTCCACGCAAATGTTGTACATACCGCTGCTGCTCGGCAAGAAATCGGGGAGGTATGGTAGTTTCTTTATAAGAATAATACTGTCGTATATACTGGGGAAGAGCAGGCTGGCGATGGCGTTCGAGATCAGTACGGCGATCATTATGGGGATGATGTGCGTGATTTGGCCGGTCATTTCGAAGACGATGACCGACACTGAGATTGTATGGGTCACTGCGCCACTGAACGCTGCGGCGCCGACGGTTGCGTAACCTCCAGGAACGATTTGGGACGTTCTTCCTCCAAATTGCATACCTGAGTGCAAACAAGGTTGCCAAATGGTACTTAATTTCTACGCTCACCTGTTGAGAACCACATGTGCATCAGTTCCCCCACGATTCTTCCAAGAGCCGCTCCAATTTTGAAGACTGGTATAAAGCTACCACTCGGCACTGGGATTGTTGAGCTTATTATGGAGAAGATGAACTGGAAGGAAGTTAATTAGCTATACACTGCGACCTGGGGGGGCTTTTGGTACCGTGAACACTATGAACCCGCCAAGGCTGACGTACACACCAGAGTATGGTGTTTGCCAGTGTTCGACTATCGCCTGTTCCTCGACCGTTAGCGTCTTCCCTGTCCAAGTAAAATTGCTGAAAAGATTACTGACTTGGTCGTGTGTGTTAAGTTCACCGGCCATGAACTGTCCGCTTCCCAGAGGGAAGGAGACAGTAGAAACTATAAGCGAGACGAAGGCGGGATACAAAAACCGGCTGAAATCGAAAAGCTAGCTTAACGTTTTGCTTACGCCTCCAAAGTCCACTCACTTCTTTTGCAGGAAATTGTTGATAATCTTACTCTTGCGCATGAACATGACGTATCGTCGATGGACCCACACGTAGAAGGCGCCACCAATTCCGCTGACAACCCTGCAACAACAACCGTTTATTTGGAGCCGAACATCCGGAAACCGAGTACCCAATCAAAGCAAACACAAACAGCTCTTGCGGGTCAAAAGGGAAATCCATGGTGAAGTTAGTTTTAAAGAAAGCCGTTACGGTAGCAGCCTGCTCAAACCAAACCGAGAGCAAGCGAAAAACGGTCGCGCCGCAAACCGCCGAGAAAAAGGCGCGCCAGTAATTTCTGACGGCAAAGTAAACGGTTGTTACTTCAATGCTAAATAAAACACCTAAAACACTACGTCTCAGTCTAAACTACGAATTCGCGGCGCGAGAGGGCGCGACTTACCTCCGACCGGTGCGGCGAAGCAGCTCGCGACGCCGACGGCGCACGCCGCCGCCAGCATCTCCGTGTTGCGGCTCTCGTTCTCGTAGATGCCCTGAAAGCCGGTCACGAGCTTGCTGAGCAGCGTCGCGACTATGCTCGCGATGTGCACGAAGGGACCTTCCTTGCCGAGCGGCATGCCGCTGCCGAGCGTCGCCGTCAAGCCGATCACCTTCGCGACCAGCGTTCGAAACGTTAGGTACTCCTTTAGGGCAACGCCGCGCAGTATGGTCTTCATTTCGGGAATGCCGGAACCTAAAATTTCGACATATGCAAGAAACAGCGACACTGGCACTAACTATGCGCTGAGAAAATGCCGCCTTTCGGTAATTATGGGCTTAATTATTTGATTGATTATTCGATCTTTCGTAATAGTGCACAATTTGCGCTTAAATATTGATCAAAAGTCCAATGACAGATGTCTTCGACTACCTGCATGATTAAAGAAGTTAGCGCTATTACCGCATTAACGCAAATGGCGCATAATGGCGCATAATTGATTCTTTAATATTTCGTGAAATAGTGACGTCCATAATATTAGCCATAAGATCGATACAAGGCCCTTTTCTATGATACTAAACAGGTTCACCGACGTAGCTAAAAAGGCGCACAATTGCACCTAATTTTTTTTAAACGCGCAAATTAAAAAAAAATGGCGCATAAGGACGCCCAAATATTATGCCAGAAGATATTAACGTAGCGCTAGTGAGCGATGCAATTTTTATACATTGCTTAAATAGCGCAAAAAAAGGGGCATAATAAATGGATTGTTATATGATGTTGGGCAGTCATGCACTGCCAGACACTTTTTCTTGAAAGGCGCATAATAACGCACAATTGATGCTTAAATACCGCACAAAATCAGTGGCTCAATTACTGAGAAAATTGGGGCCGAGGACCGACCCACAGAAATTTTAGAAAAATGTTTCTTTTAACATGGTTTAACTGAAGTGGCACAAGAAAGCGCAAAATGCTCCTAAAAGGTTACAGACGGAAGGCAACCTTTGTGCTCACGCACGACTTCGTACTTTTGAGATTCTGCCTGCTACTAGTTTCCCGTTACGAGCGCATAGTGAGGAATAGTAGGATTGTACACAACAGCGCATAATATGCGCCTAACAAGTGCAGAAAGTAAAGATATGACCGTCTTCGCGCGCCTTAAACGACTTCCTTGTTAGGGAAACAAATCGAAAATGTGTATAGTAGCGAGTAGTATACTAGAGCATAATGGCGCATAGTATGCGCATACAGACTGCAGAAGGGATGATACGACAATCACCAGACTCACGCACTGCTTCGTCTCTGGATACCTACCAGTTTTGCGTTAGGAAAATTATTAAATTGAAATTGCGCATAAATAAAGAACAGTATGGTGATACAGAACAGCGCATAGTATGTGCCTACAGGGCAAAAAAAGGAGATGACGCTTTCCGTACTACACTTGAGGTTTCTTGCTCTTAAGGATCTTCCTGCTACTAGTTTAGGGTTAGAGAAACAAATAAATCAAAAATGCGCATAATATCGAATGGTGGACTTGTACACAACAGCGCATAGTATGCCCCTAAAAGTTGCAGAGGTGAGGATATTGCGATCTGCACAGTGCCCGTAACGGTAATACTTCTTTGCTAAGGAAAGAAATAAACCGAAAATGCGCATAAATAAGGAATAGTATGATAAAACAAAGCAGCTCATACTATGCGCCTATAGATTGGAGAAAGGAGCATATGCACGCAGGGCTTCATAATCTATGGATTCTCTTGGAACTAGTTTTGCGTTAGAACAATCAAATTGAAACTGCGCATAAATAATGAATAGTATTATAATACGGAACAGCGCATACTATGCGCCTACAGACCGCGGAAGGGAGGACATGACGGTTTTCGCACTGCACGTAGGTTTTCCTGCGACTAAGGATCTTTTTGCTACTAGCTTTGCGTAGATAAATAATTAAATTGCAAATGCGCATAAATATCCAATAGTATAGTGGTACAGAACAGCGCATAGTATGCGCCTACAGGCCGCATGAGAGAGGATGTGGAGATTTTCGTGCTGTTAAGAATCTTCTGGCTACCAGTTTTACGTTAGAAACACAATTAAATTCAAAATTGGCATATTTAACGAATAGTATGATGATACAGAATGGGGCATAGTATGCGCCTACAGGCTGCAGAAGGGATGATACGAGAATCCCCGGACTCATGCACTTCTTTATGTTGTTTAGATTTTCCTGTAACCGCTCCTGCTACAGAAACAAATAAATCGAAAATGCGCATAATAAACGATAGTGAACTAGTACAGAAAGCGCATAGTATGCGCCTGCACGCCGCAGAAAAGAGGATATGATGATTATCGTACCGCATGTACAGATGATCTTATGACTATCAGTTTTACGTTGGAAAAACAATGAAAGTAAAAATGCACAAAAGTAAATAATAGTATGTTGATAAAGGACAGCGCATAGTATGTGGCTACTGGGAAAAAAAAGGATATGACGCTTTTCGTACTACACTCGCGGTTTCTTGCTCTTAAGGATCTTCTTGCTACTAGTTTTAGGGTTGGAAAAACAAATAAATCAAAAATGCGCATAATATCGAATGGTGGACTTGTACACAACAGCGCATAGTATGCCCCTAAAAGTTGCAGGGGTGAGGATATTGCGATCTGTACAGTGCACGTAACGATTCTCCTTGTAATACTTCTTTGCTAAGGAAAGAAATAAACCGAAAATGAGCATAAATAAGGAATAGTATGATAAAACAAAGCAGCTCGTACTATGCGCCTATAGATTGGAGAAAGGAGCATATGCACGCAGGGCTTCATGCTCTATGGATTCTCTTGGAACTAGTTTTGCGTTAGGAGAACAATCAAATTGAAACTGCGCATAAATAATGAGTAGTATTATAATACGGAACAGCGCATACTATGCGCCTACACACCGCGGAAGGGAGGAAATGACGGTTTTCGCACTGCACGTAGGTTTTCCTGCGACTAGGGATCTTCTTTGCGTAGAAAAATAATTAAATTGCTAATGCGCATAAATATCCAATAGTATAGTGGTAGAGAACAGCGCATAGTATGCGCCTACAGGCCGCATGAGAGAGGATGTGGAGATTTTCGTGCTGTTAAGAATCTTCTGGCTACCAGTTTTACGTTAGAAACACAATTAAATTCAAAATTCGCATATTTAACGAATAGTATGATGATACAAAGTAGGGCATAGTATGCGCCTACAGACTGCAAAAGGCATAATACGACAATCCCCGGACTCACGCACTTCTTCGTGCTTTTTAGATTCTTCCTGCAAGCGTTTCCGCTACAGAAACAAATAAATCGAAAATGAGCATAATAAACGATAGTGAACTAGTACAGAAAGCGCATAGTATGCGCCTACAGGCCGCGGAAGAGAGGACATGACGGCTTTCGCACTGCACGTAGGGCTTCCTGCGACTAAGGATCTTCTTGCTACTAGTTTGACATTAGAAAAACCATTAAATTAGAATTGCGCATAAATAGCGAATAGCATCGTGATGCAGATCTGCGCATAGTATGCGCATACATACTGAAGAAGAGATGATTCGACAATTTTCGGACTCCCGAACGGCTTCGTCCTATAATTGCTTCTTTCGTTAGAGAAAACATTTAAAGGAAAATGCGCAAAATAAAAAATAGTGTGATGACACAGACCAGCGCATAATATGCGCCTAAAAGCGGCAGAAGATTTTCGTCATGCTCTTAAGGGCTTTCTTGTTACTAGTTAGAAAAACAATTAAATTGAATATACACATACTTAACGAATGGTAGTATGATACAGAAGAGCGCATAGTATGCGCCTGCAGGCTGCTATAGAGAGGAGAGGTATATTCGTACTGCACACAAGGTTTCGTGCTCTTATGAACCTACTTGCTACTAGTTCTGCGTTAGAAAAACCCATAAATAAAAAGTGCGCTTATATAGAACAGCGCATAGTATGCGCCTAAAAGCTGCAAAAGAGATGATCTAGCAATGCACTAGTATCGAGTAATTTGTGGTGCAACTAATGTACGCACGATTCGTGGCAAGGAGCAAATTTGAACAAGTCGGCACACTATGCGCCTAATTTTGCGTACTTTTCCGCCATGACCTTTTGGCAATTGAGCGATTGACACACTTCCTTCTGGAAGCAGCAACTTTAAACTGGATTTGAAAGGTCGAAATACAAACTTGACACTTGACACTGTTAGCTCTAAGGTCATGATCTGGCCATGATAAGCATGTGATCTGTTGAAAGCTTGATGATTACCTATGGATTGTGGTGCAACCAAGTGCACAAATCCCGCGCTGAATAAGATTAAGCACACCGGTAGCGTTACCCACGCCAAATATTGTAATACTGGATGGTCCGTTATGTCGTGGTATAACCAAGTTCTTGCTGAAGAAAAAGAAGATTATTCGCTGAAGCGTCGACTGATGATGGAAGCGCTACCTTTGCCGCAAACCGCGATTCCTTTATCCATGATGTAGCTGAGCACCGCCATGATGATCCCCAGCAGCGCCAGAAACACCCAGTCCTCGCCCAGCTTCGCGAACGTATGCCTCCACAGGAAGGACAAGGTCTTCGCCAACTTTCCTGAAAGCGTACGTGAAACCAGTCGATGTCGCCCCATGGAGGAAACGTTACCTTGGTACCCTCTCAGCTCCTTTTTCCTCGCCTTCTCCTCCTTCAGTCGCCGTTTCTCGGCCTGCTTTAGCGCCTCTAGTTTTGCAAACTCTCCCAATTGCCGGCTGTACCGGCCATACATCTAAAAAATTAAAGCGCAATTAGCCAGAAACGTAAACAAAACGTAGAATTCATGGTCGGTCAAGTTCACCTCGACCTCAAGATGAAAGAGAAAAAAATATTCGACCGGTCTACCGGGGAATTTTTACGATACGCAACTATTTTCGCGATTTATGCAAAACCTGCGGTGGAATTTCCAGCAATTAACGATGATGTCGACGAAAAGGGTAAGGCAACTGCCTTCGCACGGTTTTTTTCGGAAAGGAGGTCCCGCGGTCCTTAGTTCGAGTTAATTAGGGCGCATGGAAAGGATCATACTCACAATGGCGATCAACATCGCTGGAGCACAAAGCGCAAAATTCGGCGGCACAAACTGGGGCACAATGAATTGTTATGGTGTAAAAGTAGAGCAGTTATCGAGTATATATAGGTAGTCGTATCAAGTACAGGGACGAATAAAGGCATTGAGCAAAAACTCGTGCAAATGGCGGCCATTTTGATCACTACCGTCATGGCTACCTTTATTTTTATGCATTTTTTAGTGTTGTTGAATCCGGGCACGGAAATGGAAGCGTCTACGGTAACGGAAACGGTAACGGAAGTGGAAACGATACCGAAAACGGAAGAGCTGGGGATGATATCGGTTACAGAAACGGAAAAGGCAGAAGGGGCGGAAACCGAAAGCGAAAAGAAGACACAGACAGTAAAGGGGGCGATAGAAAAGTTAGAGGAACAAGACGAAGTCACAGAAAAAAAGATAGAAGAAGGTGGAAAAAACTTCACAGGAACCCGCAAGTGAAGTGGCGGAGGAAGCTACAGAGGAAGCCACTGAAGAAACTGGGGAGGAAGCTGCACACAGACATACAAAAAAAAACTGTAAATGGAATCACAGATAAAGGAGCTACAAAGGAGGATAAAGTGGAAACTGCGGAGGAAGTGGCAGAAGAAAGTACAGAAAGCTGCAAAAAAAGTGCAGAAGATGCGGAATTAACAGCAGAGGACACTGCTGAAGTATAGCGAAAGGAATACAGAGGGCACGACGGAGGACACAAAGGAAACCACAGAAGATGGTCAAAAGTAAAAAGGCCACAAACCAACCTACAAAGGAAAGAAGGAAAAGGTGGTAAGTTAAATCAAAAAGGTATTCAAAAGAGTAGAAGCAGCAACGGAAGAAGAGACTGGAGCATCAGCGGCGAAAACGGAAACGGTCTTGATAACGAAGGCAGATGGAAAGGAGAGGGATTTGAGCAACAACGGAGATGAAGAGGAAACGGGGAAGGAAAATACATCGAAGTACGCTCATGGATGTAGGGAAAGGGAAAGAAAATGGAAATAATAGAAAAACGAAAACAAAAATTGGAACGAACAGAAAAAGATGTGGGGCAGGACAGTAGAAAGAAAAGAAATGAAAATGAAAAAGACAGGGACAGCGAAACAAGAAATGTGAGTCGCAAAAGAAATTGGCGGGACAGAAGCGCTAACAGGAATGGGAAGGAAACGAGAACGGAAACGTAAAATGGAACAGAAAGAAATTAAAGCAAGACAAACGAAAGGAGCGGACTGAAATGGGAGATGTAATGGGTAACGGAAACGAGCACAAACACAAAAGCGACAACGGTAACGGATGGGAGCGGAAGAGGAGAGGGCATAAATATAGGGAGGAAAATAGTCACGGGAAAAGGTATAGAAATTAAGAAAAAGTGAGGGTAAGGATTAGAAACGAAGGTACAGACGCGGGGAAGAACAGGAATTGGAAGACTGAAAAAGTGATTGCCAAAAACGCGACTAAAACGAAAGGGGACAAGAGAACACACGCGCAGAACACAAACCGGGAAATTGAAACGGAAGCAACGACGGAAACGGAGTTGAAAAGAAACAAAAAAGAAGGCGAAAGGTGACCAAAAAACAAAAATAGATAAAAGCGAAAGAGGGGTGAGAGACTGCAATGTATGGATATGGAAATAGGAACGGGAGGGTAGCGGCAGGCAAACACGGAAAAAAACTGTAGAAGAAATCACCGAGGTGCTACAAAAGATGATAAAGAAGAAGCCGCGGAGGAGGTGGTAGAAGAAGGTACAGGAAGAGCTACAGAAAAAGCCGCCAATATAACTGAAAATGGAAAGTTGAATAAAAAAAAATAGTAGAAGCAGCAACGAAGATGAGACTGGAGCAGCAGCGACAGCGGAAACGAAAACGGAAGCGGATCTGGCAACGAAGAGATAAATAAAAGAAAACAGTATCGAAAATGGAAGACAGGGAAAACCGTCACGAAAACGTCAGCGAAACAAGAGATGTGAGTCGTGATGGGGGACGGAAGCGAAAACGAATATGGGAAGGAAACAAGAACGGAGACAGACAGTGGAATAGAAGGAAATGAAAGCAAAACAAATGAAAGGGGAGGAGCGGTAACCGGAACAGAAGGAGACAATGACTGAAATGGATGGGTCATGGAAATGTGTATGGGTGGAAAGCGGTAACAGAAACGAGCACAAACATAAAAGCGATAACGGTAACGGATGGGAGCAGCAAGGAGAGGACTTACAAGCGTGATGGAAATAGTCACGGAAAAGGGAATATAAATTACGGAGAAGCGAAAACAAGAAATGGAACACAGAATATACTGCGGGAGGGATTATGAACTGAAATGGGAAGTGATTGTGATAACCGCCACTAAAACGAAAATGGACAAGAGGTAGAACGAAGGTAGAACGGAACACCAACGGTAACGGAATTTAAGATGGGAGCGTGAAATTAAAACGGAAGCGATGACGAAAGCGGAGTAGACGAGAAACGAAAAAGGAAGCGAACAGTGGAATTGAAAGAAATGAAAGCAAAAATTTAATAAAAACAGAAACTGCAATAGAAATTAAGGGAAAGCGAAAACAATAATCGGAGCGAACACGGAAGGGAGCGTGAGAGAAAAGAGGAATTGAAAAAAAATAAAAATGTAAGTGAAGGTGATTGCGAAAACCGCTACTAAAACGGAAACGGACAAGAGGACCTGGAACCTGGGAGGCAAGGAATTCAAAACACACACGCAAGTAGAACTGAAGTACCCACGAACTACAATTGAAAATTAAATTTGAAGCGGTAACGGAAGCGGAGTAGAAAAGAAACGAAAACGATGACGGAAAGTGCAAAACCAACAAATGAAAACAACGAAGACAAACATCAGCGAAAGAGGAGAGAGAGAAACTGAAATAGAAGCGGTGGTGGGTACAGGAATGTAAGGAAAGCGGCGACGAAAGCGGGAAGAGGCGGAAAAAGAGATGATGTACAGATGTAATAATAGGGAACGGAGTAGAAAAACAAAAAGAATTGAAATTAAGAGAAAGCGAAAACCAGAATTGGAACGAACACTGGAAAATGAAATAAGAAGCGACAACGGAAACACGAATGAAAAAGAAGCGGGAAAGAAAACAGAAATTGAAACACGGAAAAGGTCCTACACGGCACCATGCAATGAATCGGCAACTAGTGCTAAACTTGCTTTGCTTAGGTCCTATGAACTAATGCACAGAGCTGGGCAGAATACTTTCAAAAAGTATTTGAATACTAAATAGTAAATACTTTACACAAATCAAAGGTATTTGAATACTAAATTTTTGGTAAAAAAGGAAGGTTATGTATTCAAATACTATGCGAAGTATTCGAATACTAAATATTTGAAATATTTGTGAAAGTATTTGAGTAACAAATACAAATACTGCTTCCATAAGTGTATTTAATTACAAAGTATTTGAATACTAAAAAGTATTTACAAAATCGAATACTGCCCAGCTCTGCTAATGCACTAATCAGTACTAAAGCTGTGACTTTCTGACTTAGCACTAGCAAACACGAACGACCCACTAGTAACCAGTCACTTAGAGCTATCGAAACCTAGCACTAACCAAGGATCGGGTAGAAATTACCATCCAATTTTCAAAATAGCACTAACATGAAAAAGTTGGCACTAAATTTGTTAGCTAAGGAGCACTGAAGTAACTGGACCACGTGGCAGCACTAAATTCGTAGTGCTAACTATCCATGCATATTGAACCTCATTTGTTGAAACCACCGAGCACTAATCAGTACTAAAGCTGTGACTTAGCACTAGCAAACACGAATGACCCACTAGTAAACATTCACTTAGAGCTATCAAAACCTAGCACTAACCAAGGATCGGGTAGAAATTACCATCCAATTTTCAAAATAGCACTAACATGAAAAAGTTGGCACTAAATTTGTTAGCTAAGGAGCACTGAAGTAACTGGACCACGTGGCAGCACTAAATTCGTAGTGCTAACTATCCATGCATATTGAACCTCATTTGTTGAAACCACCGAGCACTAATCAGTACTAAAGCTGTGACTTAGCACTAGCAAACACGAATGACCCACTAGTAAACATTCACTTAGAGCTATCAAAACCTAGCACTAACCAAGGATCGGGGGGAAATTAATATCCAATTTACAAAATAGCACTAACATGGAAAAGTCGGCACTAAATTTGATGGCTAACGAGCACTGAAGTAACTGGACAACATGGTCTAGCACTAAATTTGTAGTGCTAACTACTAGTGAGTCACGAGATCTTTTTCTCACCTACGTTTGCTAGTGCTACCTACTAGTATTTTGTGCTAGATCCAAGCACTATTTTAAATGCTCGAGGTATTCGTGCACTATTTACAGTAGAACGGTACACTAGTAGCATTTACATGCATAAAATCCTACTTCTAACGCTAAAACTCGCATTAGTGCTCTTCCAAACATTAGTGCTCGTTAGTACAGTCTGGCTGGATTGATGCAATATTAGTGCCGTTTAGTGCCCAATAACAATTTTTCACCGATAAAGAGCTATGGGTGCGAATTGTGCTCACGCAGTACATTTTTGTTCGCATGCACTAATCAGCACGGAAGTGGCGAAAAAAGGGTTCCTTACAAAATTCACATCTTCATCGTCGTCAGGAGGCGGACAGGGGTAGAAGGCCTGCGCCCTTAAATTCTAACGCGCGTACGATTTTGCTGCAAGCAGCTTGCTGAAACTCCTTTAGCCCATTCCTTGTCGATCGCCACGTGATCCCTCCTAACGCCGAAATGCGCAACTCCACGTGCCGTCGATCGTTTTCCCCGCTGTCCGCGTTGTCCGTCAATTCCGATGATACATCAATTGAAATTATAAAAGAAATGTGTGCTTATGGCGAATTTGTCGCTCATGGACGTAAATTTAACAGCTCTTGATTTTTAAAAAATCCCGATGCTGCCATGTTTGAGAAAACAAATTTGCGAAAATAAATTTTATAGTTCTACGGAAAACATGAAATCAAAATTTCTATTCCGCTTTTATAATGCGCGTGTAGCAACTGTATTCCAAAAAATTGTCACCTCCTTACATTCCAAATGATCCTGATACATTCATTTTTACTAAATCAAATTTGTATCAGGAGGACATGATTCGCGAGAATAAATTTTATACATTCCACGACTTGTACGATAAGTTCGTAGCAGACAGTCCTTGTACGTAAAAAAATCTATTTCAACACATTTTCCATCTTTGATTTTTTCATATGATCCTGATACATCAGTTTTTAAAAAAAACAATTCTAAGATCAGAACGAACATGATTCCTGAAGTGAACGGTTCATTTTGATTTTGAAATACTTGAGACAGTTGAACATAATTCGTAAAAACGTGTATTCCAATATTTTATAGGATCCTGATTCATCTACAAACAAAAAAGTTGAGTCAGAAAAAGGCCATTCAGAAAACCAATTTGTATCAGGAAAACATGATCTGTGAGATCGAAGTTAAATTTTCTTTCTTTATAATGAGCTTCTAGCAGCTGGGCATAATACGTTAATTTGCATTCCATTAAATTTGACACTAATGACCCTGATAGATCCATCTTTAGCGAAAGAAATTTGAATCACGCGAACACTATTCGAGAATTTTACAATTTCTTCCGACAGACGGGCGTAAGTGGTAATACGTAAAACAGCCCATTTCAATAAATGTCTCACCCCTTGCACTTGCAGATGATGCCGATACATCTACTTTTAAGAAACCTAATTTGTATCAGGAGTACATGATTTGAGAATTTTACAATTCCTCACTCCTTAACGCTAAATTTGCAACAGATGGACAAAATATGTCAAAAAGAATGTTTCAGATTCCCGATGATCCATTTTTATGAAAACAAATTTGTATCAGGAGGACATGATTCGTGAGAATAAATTCTCTACAGCATTGTGGCAGATGATGGATCTAATACGTATAATATCTATTCCAACAAATTTCCTTGCCCTTCAGATGATCTTGATACATCCATTTTTAAGAAAGACATTCTACCAGGAGAACATGATTCTTGAATTTTGCAATTTCTTTCGTTTTTGAAGAGTTTGAGGCAGATATAAATATCAGGAGCACATGATTCGTGCCTTTCACAATTCCTTCCGTTTCTACGACTCATCAATTAAATAAAAACAAATTTGTATCAGGAAAACAAGATTTGTGAATTTTACAATTTCGCCCTCCTTTACGATAAACTTGCAACAGGTGGGCATAACATCAATATTCTTTTCCAGGTAATCCTAATACATTCATTCCTACGAAAACAAATTTGTATCAGGAAAGCATGACTCGCAAGAATACATTTGATACTCTCTACAACTTGAGAAATGAGTTTGTAGCAGACGGACTTTGTGCGTAAACATCTATTCCAGCACTTTTTCATTTGCTTTTCACATGATCCTACCTCCATTCTTAAGAAAAAAATCAAGCATAGAATGGTTACTGAATGTAACAATTCTTTTCGACTTTGAAATGTTTGAGGCAGATGAACTTAATACGTGGAGATGTGCTGATCCATATATAATCAATTAATATGGTTCATGAATTTTGCAATTTCTTCCGTTTTTGAATAGTTTGCCGCAGATGAACATAATACACAAATATGTGTATTCTAATTAATTTTACACCTCCTCCCTCTTCAGACGACCCTGATACAAGCATTTTTTAAAAAACAAGTTTGTGGCAGATGGGCGTAGTACGTAACCAATAAATGTTACACTTCCTTGCATTCCAGACGATCCATGTGCAAGTAATTTGTATCAGGAAAACATGTTTCGTGGATTTTGTAATCCCTTCCGTTTATATGATCAGGTAACAGATGGACATAACACTCACAAAAAGTGTATTCCAGTAAATTTTACACCGTTTTGGCTGTCAGATAATGCTGATACATCAACATTTAAGTTCACCAGTTTGTATCAGGACGTCATGATAGTAGATGGGACTAAAGTTTAAAATTCTATTCCAACAAATTTTACCCTTTCTACCTTTCTGATTAATTTTTTAGGAAAAATTCGTATCAGGAGCACATGATTCGTAAATGTCACAATTCCTTTCGTTTTTACGATGAGTTTGCATCAGATCGCCTAAAAAAGTGTATTCCAGTAAATTTTACATTGCCTTGCTTTTCAGATGATCCTGATAACTCCATTGTAACAAAATAAATTTGTAGCTATCGTGAGAACATGATCAAACGAATACGTCTCACATTTTGCTCCACTTTTACGACAAGTATGAGGCAAATGGACCTTGATTACACCTCCTTGCTTTCCAAATGATCATAATACAGGTACCATAAACCAATTTGTATTAGAGGAACGTAGACGCTTGATGAATTTTGCACGTTCTAGTAGCGGTTGGGTATAATATGTAAAAAAGCTTCCATTAAATATCACATTCTCCTGCTTTTCAAATGATCCTGATCTAAGAAAACGATTTTACAGACTCATTTACGTTTCTGAGATCCTGGTACAGCAATAAAGAGGCTTTTGAATGAGTGAATAATAAGTAAATTCTGCTGGGTTTTCGCTTCAGGAGCACGATACGCGCGAATGAGTGTTGGTAAGGTTTCACCCCAACTCGCTTTTCTGTAACCCTAATACAACAGATTTTAAAAAGTATACTGTAGCAGAAGGCTATGAGACCTTAGACCATATGCTAATATGTATGATTTAAGTATAGAACGACGCGTCAATAAATTTGGACACGTTGATTTTACGGCAATTTTTTTGGTTTGTACCAGGAGAACAGTATATTGACAAAAAGGCAAATTGTGGACACATATCACAGTAACCTTCCAAAATTATTGGCGTAAACCAAACTAAAATTGAGAGCAACTCGCGGTTTTACCACAAAACAACAGAGTGGGACCAATTAAAATGAACGTCTATGCAAATTTAAAAAAAACGCGCTAGCAATAATAATAAACAATTAAAAAAGCTAACAAAATTGTAATTAGTGTTTTTGGCTGTAAATTCGAACCTGAAAAGTTGCGAACTTCGAATCGTACAGTTGCGAAGGCGGTATCTCTTCGGACATTGTTGAAAACTCGCGGGGGTGCAAAGGGCCACTAAACTAAAATCGAGTGGCGAAAAGCTTTTACTAATCTGCTACCGCAAATAATCTAATCGGGACGTGTAACTAATAAATTTCGCCGATGAGGATGGAAATTCTCTCCTGGGGCCATAAAACGGCAAAAGTTCCAAGGTATGTTTGCGTTGCGGCCGCTTTTAAGTTAACTCTGTGTACCTACCTGCAGCGAGCTGTAAAATTCGTGACGTCCAACCCAATCCAGATTGAAAATCGGAAAAGTACCCCAATTCACAAAAACTTACGACGGCCTTGTCGCGACGTACATTTTCGAACTGCACAAAAAACTTGGCATTTCGTACGTAATTAGCACTTTTAATTAGTTTTATCGTTGGAAATACCCACTGATTTTTGGCCCGTGAGAAAATGCTACAGCGAAGAAAGGGACACCTTGAAACCGCCTGATCTTTACTCACTTTCCAAGTTTTAGGCGATTAAAACAAAATCAATGACCGGACTCATCAAATATAATTTGTTTACAGTATCGAACGAAACCGTGAGAAGATAAACAATGCAAGGTTGTCGAGATATTGAAACTGTTCAAAAAAGTTCTTTTTTCAACACCCCGTATACGGTCGTCTGCAGCAACACCCTGTACGCTAAGTTCTTTTACCATTAATTCCAAGAGCCTTTAAATTAGATCTGTTTCCAGGGCCTATCCTTGGTGGCAAAAGGGCACCTGAAGTCAAAGTAAAAAATCCGAAATGATAAAGAAGCATAGAAAGCGAAGACTATGATGTGAAATCAAAAAGAGAAAGAAGCTGAAAAGGAAATCGAAGGCACCGTGGCTGACAAAGAATGTTGCATAGTTTCGCTTTTTCTGTGACACTAATACAACAGCATCTAAAATATTGCACGAGGACGGCGATGGATCCATAAATTCTCAGCTGTTCTGTGATCCTGATAAAAATTATAAGGGAACTTTGTGTCAAGAGCATTTATACAAAAGAAGCCCTGTCAGTAAATTCTGCGTACTCTCTCAACGTGAAATTCACAGATCACACAATGCTATGTTCTCCTGATACAAATTTGTGTTTATGTTTTACCTTGAAAAACATTGCTTCATGACCAGACAGTAGAAAAAAGGATGCAAAATTTGTAGACAGATATGCTCTCCTGATGCAAGTTTTTGTTTTGAGTCTCTGTATCAGGGTTACAGAAAAGGGAAAATTCGCAAAATAGCAACAAAAAAACCGTCAGTACTACAAAAAACTGACTGCTCTTCTTGTTATTCTTTTTAATGAAGGTTGTGCGGCAAGGAAAAGAGTGTATTATGTTTTCTGAATATATAATTTTTTAAAGGATCACAAAAAAACTGGTTGACATGACACCTTCTCCTAAGGATGACAGGAAACAGAAGATAGATAATTAACTAGCAGCTATCTCCTAGTATAACATGTTCTCCTGCTATAGGAAAATCGCCCACTTATGTTCAATATCTTTTTCACATTCATGGGGACAGAAAAGCGAAAATATGCATAATATCACAAAACAGTTCTTCGCATAAGGTTCGAAAGAAAGTGAGGTTATGCAAAATTTAATTACAATCACCTTATCCTCGTGAATGGCACTTTATTATGTTCTCCCGATACAAACATACCTACAGTTTTTTTCAGGATCACAAAATGTGCTAATATGGAGAATTTATTGACAAAGGGCTTTTCGCCTCGCTTTTCACGTAGTAATTTATGTTCTCCTGTTACAAATTTAGTAGTTAGGTGTCAGTTGCCGTATAACGAATTATGTTCTGCGAGTTGCTGCAATAGGGTTTTAAGAGATCCAAGTGCCATAAGAGTAGGTCTCCTAAGGAGAGATCAATTTTTGCCTTGAGAATTTTATAAAGGAAAACGAGATGATGCAAGATTGATTGTTTAACAGATTCTCACGTAGTATGTTCTCCTGATATAAGAAGGCGGGAGCAAGGATGATTTCTCCTGATACAAACTTATGTTTATGTTTTACCTTGAAAAGTGTTGTTTCATGACCACACAGTAGAAAAAAAGCTGCCAAATTTGTAGATAGATATTATGCTCTCATGATGCAAGTTTTTGTTTTGAGTCTCTGTATCAGGGTTACAGAAAAGGAAAAATTCGCAAAATAGCAAAAAAAACCGCTAGTACTACAAAAAACTGACTGCTCTTCTTGTTCTAATACGTTCCCCAAACATGATTCTTTTTAATGAAGGTTGTACCAAGGTGTCCGGCAAGAAAAACAGTGTATTATGTTTTCCGAATAGATAATGTTTAAAAGGATCACAAAAAAGAGCTATATAAAGAATAGGTTGACATGACAGGGCAGATTTCTCTCCTATTGCTAATGTGTCTCAAGTTTGAACTTTCTGTATCAGGATGACAGGAAACAGAAGATAGATAATTAACTAGCAGCTATCTCCTAGTATATGTTCTTCTGCTACAAAAGGATCGCTCACTTATGTTCTCCTGATATAATATTTCGTGATATAAATATTCTCTTTCAAGTTGTTTTTATCAGGTTGACATAAACTTGCGCCCAAGTAGATATCTTCGCACTATCTTATGTCATATTGTATTAACGCTTTCACGCTTTACACATATGTTCTCCTGATGCAAAATTTTTAATTAACAGCCGTTGGAGAGAATATTGAGAATTTATTGGCACACGTCTCTTTATGCATTTAGATTCCATCAACTCCTTTCGTGTTCTGCTCCTTAAAAAGACTGATGCATGTATGTATTAGGATCACAGAAACGAAAGACATATGTATTATGACCTACTGATGCAAAATAGAAGAACGAATATACATATGCATAATCGCCTCCTTTTTGGAAATTCGTTATATCAGGATCACAGTAAAACGAATAAAAGACATTTATAAAGAATTGCCTTTGCAGCGATGAGCTACTGCGAGATTGTGCAGAATTTGATAGACACCTTTTGACTTTCTCTTAATAAAATTCTGCCTCTTTAAAAGTTGTTACACCAGTATCATAGCTTATTACTTACCGATTTTGCTCTCCTGATACCAGGTTCCCTTTAGGTGTTATTGCTATTTAAATGCTAATGCGTCAAGTTAAAAGGAAAAAGAGAGACTGTATGGAATTTATTAACGTACACCTTTCCTTTGACGGGCGTTGTATCAGTGTGTGTGAATCCAACTGAAGCTGTTCCTTCAAAAGTCTTTTATCAGGATCACAGAAAAGAGAAACTATGCAATATTTTAGAAAGATCTTTTTAAGTCACCCTGTTATAACATATTCTAAAAGGAGAAATTTGTGTCAATAGACCATGGTAAGTGAGATAGTGTTTGCTCTTACGTTTCATCTTGGTGCAACAACAACATCTGAAACAGATGCAGAATTTAATGGCTAAAGTTCTCCGGTTGAACATTTCTGTTTATCACTCTTGACAATAGCATTTAAAATGGCGAAGTCGCTAAAAATGTATAGAAAAATACCTTTCCACGGATTATACAATTTTGTCTTTTGAAAGTTGTCATATCAGTATCACAGAAAAGCATGACCATGTCAAATTTATCGTCTCGGAGGTTTTCACGTATTATGAGAAGGAAGGAGAGAGAGGGAGAAAAGTTGTTTTGAATACATTAAAGGAGAGATTCTGTTATTAATTTGTCGTATTTTCGGTTTTCTATGAAAACCCTGGTATCAGGGGAACATCTGCGCATTTCCTATATTCCTGATATAAAAAGGCGTTGATCAAACTTATTGCATGGTCAAAGTAGGAGAGAAGTTCGAACACACACAAAATCCTTTTCCTACGACGATTGAGACTATTTCTATTGGGAACATTGTATCAGGAGAACATAATAAATTAAGGAGTGCCCGTATTTTCGCCTGTTTGGCTCTTAAAAAACATGTATAAGGAGAACATGTAAAGAAATCCTGCAAAATATCGTAATTCTATTATCTCGTTACATTGCAACAGGAGACCATAAAAATACGTGAGAAGTGGCGGTCAACAAACCTTGTAGGGGCTTTTCTCCTTTACAGATAAAACCAATTAAATAAGCGTTAGATGGTGGTCGCTAATAAATTCTCCATATTCTCGCGTGTAGCAGGAGAACATAAGGTGGTGCGAAGAATAAATTGCGTCTAGTCTAGCTTTTTTTAAGTGTTTGTGTTAGGATCACATAATTTATTAATTTATTAACGGATAGTACTGTGTTCTCCAACATATTTCGTCCTCAGACAGTTTTCTATCAGGATCACAAAAAGTGTAAAAAATTGATTAACAAGAAATCCATCGCCGTATGACAAAAAAAGCGGGACTATGCAGAACTAATCACGCCAGCAATAAAAATGCTCAGGACATTAGTCAGGAGATGCTCTGTACCACTAAAAACTAGCAAGTTATGGGATTCGAACTCACCACCTGTGAGGTTCGAGTCCGAGTCTTAAACCGTTACGCCAAACCGACTAATGTGAATAGATGGGAGGGGAAGCAACACATGGAAAATTTGATGGAAGGGAGAAAATAAAAATGGTTACGGGAGGAAAAGAAAAGAAGGAAAGAGCAAGGGGATAAAGAAAAAGAAGAACTGATGGAAAGGATAGCAAAACTAGAAGAAAAAATGAAGGAAAGGAGAGAGGAAAGATAAGGGAGGAGTAAAGGTGGAAAAGGAAAAGAGAAAGAAAGCACGGACGCATGAATAAAAGAAAACCTACAAGTAGAGACGACAATTGAAGTAGGAGGGAACAAAGTAATTGTCGCGGAACTAACACTGGAAAAGAAGAGGGCAGATGTGAAGGAAGCGGGATACGTACAAAAAAGGGCACAGAGAAAAATTAGAGAGGTGGCGGAGAGAAAACGGGAAAAAGACAATACCGTAAGATGGGGTTATAGGAAATTAATGGTTGAAGACTAAGGATATATGTGAAGTGACAAAGAAAAAGGACTAGTGAGAACAGAGAGGAATGGGCGGGGTTTGTAAGAAGAAATGTACATTAAAAAAAGAAGACAAAGCGGGGGGGGGGCAGACACAAACAACAGAATTAGGGAAGGAGTAACAGAGGATTTCATGCTGTGGGGATGGTAGAATCATGGATAAAAGAAAAGAACTGGGAGAAAAAAGAATGGGATATCGAGTAATTATATATGGAAGAACCAATTTGCGAAGAGGGATAATATAAAGGGAAGAACAAAAAGACGCATACTAGCAGGAGTAGAAGAAGAGATAAAGACGTGGGGTAGGAGTGGATGTAGAAAGGAAGAAAATGACAGAGATGAATGGATACAACAGAGAAGAAATGAAATAGATGGTAGATGAAAGGGATGAGGTGAGGATAATGTCGGGGGAGATTTAAAAGCCAGAGTCAAGAATAAAGAAAATTGGAAAGAGAAATACAATATCAAGAGATAAAGAATGCAACAAAGAGAGAGAGAACTTTTACTGAAATTATCAGAGGGTGGAGAATTTTAAATGCAAATATGGTGGGAGATAAGGACTGGGAATACACATGCATGGGAGGAAGATGGAGGCCGGTAATTAGTTACATACTAGAAAACGAAAAATTACTGGAAGAAGGTAGGGACAAGGACAGAATCGGATCATGAAGGCAAAAAAAGATCATCAAATAAAAAATCACAAGAAACAAGGGAGATACAGTAATAGACATGAGACACTATGGAGACCTATAGAACGAGAGCGTACAAAGAGGGAGGGGCAAGACGAAGGTGAGTATTAAAAAGGCCATAGCGTAGTAACAGGCAAATGAAGGGGAAGGGAGAGATAATAGGAAGGAGTGGTCGGTCAGAACGTGTACCGAAGAAAAAAACAGAGAGAACAATCATGGAGAGTAAAAGAAAAGCAGAGACAGAGGAGGTATTGTGGGAACAGAAGAAAAGTACAACAGAAAATGTAAAGAAAAAAAGATGAAGAAACAAAAAGGATATGAAGGAAAATAAAACCAGTGAAGAACTTTTAAAAGTAGAGAAAGTAAGAGAATTTAAATAGGTGCATAGGTTATTAAATGCAACAAATAAGGGAAGAAGGTGTGGGGAATAAGAGGGAAGAAATTCAAAAACCAGTTCAGAATTAAATTACTTTTGGATGTAATGGTAAGAGGGATGTTGATGTGGGAACGGAGATGTGGGGTTGAAAGGAATGGACACCGAATTGTAGAGGAGGAAACAAAAATGGAGTAGATAAGGATAGCGTCGCGACGCAGGGCGGAGGAAAGGAAAAAAAGGGACAGTGAATTGGCGATAGAATGTTTGTCAACAAGGATGAACGCAATTGAAGATTGGCGGGAACAAAGAGAAAGGTATTGTGAAAGGAGGAGAGAAATAGAGGAAGTCATGGAAGAGGAACTTACAAAACGGACGAAGCAAGAGAGTCGGAAAATCAGTAGCTCGCGAGGAAACAGAAGGTACAAGGAACGGATAAGGGAGGGAAGGAAATACATCACACTGATTGCGAGGTTCAGATGCAGAAATGGGGAGAGAGGAAAGGATAAGTGAAGAAGAAGAAGACAAAAAATGAATACTTTGTGGAAAGAAACAGGGAGATATGGGAATGCAAAGTAGTAGAAAGAACAAGGGAAAGCAGGAGTGAAATAATGGTGGAGGGGGGAAGGAGAGAAGAATTGATTGATTGATTGAACTTGAAACTTCACACCAGAATTGAAGCCTAATCCATTCGATGATCTGAACCTCAATTTGAAATTTGATTTTTTTGATCTTCTTTTTTAAAAATTTTAATATGCGCCTTGCATCGCACTCCAATTTTGATTGTTTTTGCTTCGAGATCAGAAGATTGTATTCAATAACAAAAACTAGTCAATCCAAGGTCGCACCTGGACTTGGTAAACAAAGTTTTGACCCAGTTCTTCGGGTCAGAGGGTCAGATCAAAAAGCTATCAATTGCAAAATTTCCTGTTCCTTCTTTAAACCGAACCCGTTTTCGAAGTGGCAAATTACGAACGACATCTGCCCAAATCGATTTTCCGGGACTAATTCCTCCCACGTCACCACGTCGATATAATATCGTAATGTATGCTAATTATTCGCCATAGTTTACATAAATTGTTAGCGGATCGCCGATAATGAAAACGTTCACGAAATGACGTCAGGGAAATAAACGCTCACAACAAATTAAGAGCTAATCTACCGCTCGATTGCGTAACTTACCACGGTGTTCTGGTACCCCAGCCCATACTGCTCCTTCGGAACCGCCAAGGAGCCCATTATGACGGAATGATGAGAATTACTGGGTTACGGCATAGCAATTTTCCAGTTTGACGATGGGCCGAGTCATTTTCTCGTTAAAGTCCAATTCTGTAAAGAACAAAAGAATTGTGGTTATCGAGCAAGGACAAGTAGGTACTACACCTGAATTCAAGTAAATGGCGCGTTTATGTGATTTTCCCATTACATCACTAGATACTTACAAAACTGGTGAAGATCTTCAGGTCGACCTAGCGGAAAATCTTGGGTGCTAATTGGCGTGCAGGTAGGGAACAAGATTTGGAGGTATTCTGAACTGAACGATGCGGAAAGAGGTACAGCTTGCTGATTGCGTACGAAAGGTGGTTTTATACAAAAATCGCGTTTATGAATAGGTAATCGACAAGTCATGTTTAGATAAGATATTCTAACATCAAAGTCGCCGCCTGATGCGTTCTTGTTCCAAACGCCGAAGATAAGTCGATAAGATTCTCAAAGGTGGAATACCCTTTGAAAAAAATACTTTAGGTGCATTTCTATGCAACAAATCCGGGATAATTTCACATAGGGCCTTTTTAGAACCGCCCTACTGCGAAGTACATCTAAAATTGGTCGAAAAACGACCTCCCTTAGTTCGAATGGAGAAAAAACCTGTTATATTCCACGCCAATGAGCCCTTGGGGGTCTTCTCCACATAAACTTACCATTTGGAATTTTCTTCAGATATCTCCGTGACAAGTCCCACACACTGAACACTCCCTCGTAGTCACTCCACCTATTTTGGTGTTGCATTGTAGCCGATTCCATCCTCCTCTGACTTTCTAAGCGATTTGTGGGGAGATCCTTCTCTTTCCCATTTCAAGGAACGCCGTTAACTTCGGGAATCCTCCTCACATTCTAGTTTGACCGCATTCCCAGTTATGACATGACCTCAATATTCGTTTCCGAGGATATCCGATGAGGATTTTCCGAAGTCCTTTTCTTGACGTTCACTCACCAAGGTCTTTCAGTAACAAAATTGATCCATTCACAGAGCTCTTTCTTTGCCAACAGTTTGAACACAAAGCGTTTGCCTTCTCCGTGTAAAGGTTTTAGTCCTACTGGGAACTTAGTGACCTTTAGCTTTCCTCCAAAGACCATATTTGTGTGAAATGTTTTACTAAATCCTATACTAGTTAAAGAGTGGTACCAAATAGAGGAAGTTCGCTGGTAAATATCAATACGATAACCCCAAGGTTTTGTTATTTTCGAAATTTTCCCCGGAGCCTTCAATTCCAAGCCGATTTGAAAACAGTAGCCTTTGGGACCGCTGATTAAAATTTTGACCGTGCGGTGTAGGCACCACGAAGGTCGTCGGTCGTCGGTCAAGGTGTTTGCGACCGTACCGAGGACCGCGTGGCACGGGGGTGCACCGCCCTCGGAAACCGGGCAACCGCCGGGTGGTGGCCCCTTTTCTTCGGGAAAAGGCTGGCAGAGAAGCCCTGGGCAAGCTGCTCTGCCTAGGGGAGACCACGTTTCTGTACTTCTTGTGCGAATTATGGACGATTTTTAACCAAACAAACGGCGTACAGATGGCGATGGCCAGGAAACGCCTGCTCGAGGACAAAGCCTCTGTACCCTACGCCAAAGTCCAAGGTGGTGTCTGGTCCGGCGGCGACTCTGCCATAGCGGTTGGATGGGCAACCTTTGATCTGTCAGAAAGCAGGTCAGATAGAACAGGCTACCGCATTAGAAAGCGATAGCGTCATATGAGAACAGCTGCAAACTGCGGACCTCCGTAAAGAGGCTCGCAAGCTCTCCAATAGGTGCATCCGAACTAACCTGCCTGCGGACTGGGATGATCTGAAGATAGCTCAGGTATAAGGACTATATCCGAAGGTCTAAGCGAGGATTATGGAGAACCTTCTGTGGTAACATAAAGAGTCTTCCTGAAGTTCAAAAACCTTGTAAGATCCTTTGGAAAGACCCGGGGCAAAAAGGGGGGCCACGCGGCAGATATACGTTTACCGGGGGTGACGCTTTCATATGCTTCCTGGACACATTTTCCATGCTCTGGGGCTTAAATAACTTCGAACCCAGGAGGTCCAGGTTTCGTTTTCGATTATCTAGAGTCACTTTTGCACCATAGGAAAACCATTGATCCCAGGTATCGTTAATTAAGGTAACGTATTTTTTTTTATTTGTATAATAAATAACGATCGGTTTCCTTTAATAAGAAAGTGTTTTCCCGGAAATTTTGGTGCAGTCGATTTTTGGTAAAAAAGGAAGGTTATACACTGCCTTTTTTTGAGGCCCGAAAAAAAAATTGTTGCAGATCGACCCGGAAAAAAATGTTCTTATAGAATGTGGCCTGTAGAATCCATAATTTCAAACAGTTCCAAGATTGGGCTACTAGTTCAAAAGTTACAGCCCTTTGAATTTTCTTTCGAAATTGGTTTCTAGTCTATAACTTTTGATTGAGAAGTCTGATCGAAAAAGTACGAATTGTTTTGGATTCTACGCACCAAAATAATAAGAAAAGTGTTTTCCCGAGAAATTTTGGTGCAGTCGATTTTTGGTAAAAAAGGCAGGTTGTACACTGCCTTTTTTTGGCTCGAAAAAAAAAATGTCTCAGATAGATCCGAAAAAAAAATTTTCTTATAGACTGTGGCCTGTAGAATCCATAATTTCAAACAGTTCCAAGATTGGGCTACTAGTTCAAAAGTTACAGCCCTTTGAATTTTTTTCGAATTTGGTTTCTAGTCTATAACTTTTGATTGAGAAGTCTGATCGAAAAAGTACGAATTGTTTTGGATTCTACGCACCAAAATTAATAAGAAAAAGTGTTTTTCCCGAGAAATTTTGGTGTTAGTCGATTTTGGTAAAAAAGGAAGGTTATACACTGCCTTTTTTTGAGCCCCGAAAAAAAAATTGTCTCAGAATCGACCCGGAAAAAAAATGTTTCTTATAGAACGTGGCCTGTAGAATCCATAATTTCAAACAGTTCCAAGGTTGGGCTACTAGATCAAAAGTTACAGCCCTTTGATTTTTCTTTCGAAATTGGTTTTTAGTCCATAACTTTTGATTGAGAAATCTGATCGAAAAAGTACGAATTGTTTTGGATTCTACGCACCAAAATTAATAAGAAAAAGTGTTTTCCTGAAAAATTTTGGTGCAGTCGATTTTTGGTAAAAAAGGAAGGTTATACACTGCCTTTTTTTGAGGCCCGAAAAAAAAATTGTCTCAGATCGACCCGGAAAAAAAATGTTCTTATAGAATGTGGCCTGTAGAATCCATAATTTCAAACAGTTCCAAGATTGGGCTACTAGTTCAAAAGTTACAGCCCTTTGAATTTTCTTTCGAAATTGGTTTCTAGTCTATAACTTTTGATCGAGAAGTCTTATGGAAAAAGTACGAATTGTTTTGGATTCTACGCACCAAAATTAATAAGAAAAAGTGTTTTACCGAGAAATTTTGGTGCAGTCGATTTTTGGTAAAAAAGGAAGGTTATAAATACACTGCCTTTTTTTGAGGCCCGAAAAAAAAATTGTCTCAGATCGACCCGGAAAAAAATTTTCTTATAGAATGGGGCCTGTAGAATCCATAATTTTAAACAGTTCCAAGATTGAGCTACTGGTTCAAAAGTTACAGCCCTCTGAATTTTCTTTCGAAATTGGTTTCTAGTCTATAACTTGTGATTGAGAAGTCTGATCGAAAAAGTACGAATTGTTTTGGATTCTACGCACCAAAATTAATAAGGAAAAGTGTTTTCTTGAGAAATTTTGATGTAGTCGATTTTTGGTAGAAAAGGAAGTTTGTATGCCTTTTTTTGAGGCCCGAAAAAAAATTGTCTCAGATCGACCCGGAAAAATGTTTTCTTATAGAATGCGGCCTGTAGAATCCATAATTTCAAACAGTTCTAAGATTGGGCTACTAGTTCAAAAGTTACAGCCGTTTGAATTTTCTTTCGAAATTGGTTTCTAGTCTATAACTTTGGATAGAAACCGCTTAAAATTTTTTTATTGAAAGTACTCATTTCCTTTAAAGTAGTCAATCAGCCCCAAGGAAAGTGCCAAAATTCTAATTTTCAGTATTAAAAAGAAGGGCCAATTTGTTTTCTTAGGTTGCCGTGGGTAAAGTTGGGTCTACAGTTCTTGGGACCTTCTCTGGAAAATTTGCATTATTTTAGGGCACCTCAGAAATTGTTCAAACAAATCCAAGGGAGGGAAGGCAGTATCTCTGCCTAGGCCCTAGCCACTACAAACGACGCGTGCAAAATATGGGCACATACCATCCATTAATTTTTTACCAGATTTTTTACGAAATAATCGCCGTCACAAAATGTATAAATATCTACAAAAAACTGCACAAGATCATATGTTATCGTGCTATTAAATAGCTATTTAGCAAAATTAATTATACATAAATGCTACAACATTCTACGGCACCAACTACTCAGATCCGCGTCTCTTACTCCCGTTTTTTGCATAATTAGCTTACCGTTTCGTTCCTCTGTTTTAGCAAACAGGTTGCGATGCGGTCGTAAATCGTGTCTTCGCATAAATAACTAAACCGACGCACACGCGCAACAACAAAAACAAAACGCGATTAAAAATTACGCGACCATAAAACGCGAAAAAAAGGGCGCCGCGCGGAGCATTTAAAAATACAAATTAATCCTGCACAAAAATCATCGTCCGTGTGTTGTTGTTATCGAAATAGACGCAACCTTTTATTATTGTCTCACGACACTGGAAACGGTCCAAAAATTCCCAAAACCACTTTAAGTTATAATAATCATAAATACCTGTTAATTAACGGTGTGTATCCCACAATCGCGCTGTGCAATCAAAACTTGTTAAAACAAATACGGGCTATCGCGGGACAACACCAACAAAAAAAAGTAGTCATTTTATCGCACATTAAAGATTGTTGTTATCACTCGTCATGGAATGTTGCAAGTTAAATTTTTCTTCTGATCGCGCGCGCGATTATTATTGATTTTCTGACCGTCGTCGCTGTCGCAAAACGCTATACGTAACGCTTTATTTTGTATTTCAAAATGTACTAGCGATCATAGTGGTGACGTCGGGGAAATTTTCGAGTTCGTCGTCGGCATCGGGTGACATCTACCGCATCGCGATTCCCCATTTTCGCTTTTTTTTCAAAATCAAAAGTTCGCGCGCAAAATCGACACGTTTTATGATCGATGCGATCATTGGCGGTTATTGGAAAAGTGACGTGAGGTGGAGATCTTGCGCAATTTAAATGGTTTCGATTGGATATCATTGGTTTTTGAGTGTTTAGAAGAAGTGCCTAATCCGGATATACGTAAGATGAAAGATTGCCAACTGTGTATTTTCCTACGGTTCAAAAAATGGTTGCTATGCTCCTGATACACTAATTTCTGAATCAATTGTTTGCATCTTGTTACAATATTTGGTGTCGGCATATGATAAGATAATGTGCTCCTTTGTGCTAGATTGTGCTAAGATACCTAATATGGGAGCACGACCAAGCAGCACTTAAGCACACCAAAGGTACCATTGTGCCTGCCCCCTTTTTTTCGAAACTGGACCACGTTTAGCCTAAGTTGCTTCAATCTCCTCGGTTCCAGATAGCTGTCTCCAAGGAGTTGACGTCTCCTCCGTAAGCTCAATGTTATGCAGGCGATAGTTGTCCATCCGTTTATTTATTTATTTATTTATTTATTTATTTATTTATTTATTTATTTATTTATTTATTTATTTATATATTTATTTATTTATTTATTATCCCCCTCTTGTTCTGGACCCTTAACAGACTTGCGCCCAATTATAGAAATACCTCTGCAGAAGGTCTTAAGTTGTTCTATACTACTCTGGTATTTACCTTACGAATTAGGAAAACTGCAGGAAAACCTAATTCGGAGTAGCCGGCAGAATGCTCGAAACTGGTCTAAGGTAATTCCCATCTCTGCCACAGACAAAAAATTTGCCTCAACTCAGGTTCGAACACCCGACCTCCGGATTTATAGCCCAACGCTCTACCATTGAACCACAAAGCTGACTTATATTCAGTTTTAGAAGCTTAGAAGACCCCGAGTTGCCAAGGGGCCCTGTTAAAAAAGTCCTGGACTGACTAAGTCCGGTTACTTGTTGCCACTGAGCCTGGAATTGACTGATCGCCCAGTCTTTAATCCTGGCCCTGACCACGAAGGGAGCAATTCTTAGGGCAGACCCCACCAATACCTTCCATCCCTTCATTACACTCTATTCCGCAATGCGCTGGCACCCATATCAAGCTTACCTGTCGCTGACAATGCTCTTAGCACTCCCTGACTGTCACTGCATTTGCATGTCCTCCTCCTGGGACTGAGATCGATTGCCGCTTAGATGTTGATCGGGTCACAGGGAGAGGTGACATAGAAACAGTTACGCGTTAGCCTTCCATTTCAGGTATCCTGGTTTCGAATCCCAAAGCCAATATAAAAATTGTTCTTCAGCAATCACCGATGACGACGGATCCAAAATGGCATCCAAGATGGCGGATCAACTACCTAAATATTGTCTCGCACCCTGAACCAACTACCAATCATTGACCTTGCATCACAGACCAACTGCCAAAATTTGATCTCGCACCCCGGGCCAAACCACCGGGATAACTACCGAAACATAACATCCACGACCAACTGCCGAAATACCTACCCACAGCCAACTGTGTATTTTCCTACGGTTCAAAAAATTGTTGCTATGCTCCTGATACACTAATTTCTGAATCAATTGTTTGTATTAGGATACAATAAAGCACACAACCTATTTCTACTTAGTGTACGTCTTCTACACTGCTCATAGGGAATTACTCTTGGACATGAAGATGATCAGGCATGCAGGGTACAGAAATGTTTGCAGTAGGAGAACATAAAATGCAAGATGTGTTATCTTATAGCGTGACCTATTTCTACCTCCTCTTGTGCGTTCTATACTATAAATTAGTGGGGAATTGTGGTATTAGGAAATCATAATCTACTATTCTGAGAACCTGACACATTCACGGATGAGTAGGATTAGTGAAGCCTTCGTCTGTCTCAAACCAAGGATTTTTTTTAACTTGTTCAAACGAGTTTCCTTGATGATCGTCTGACATGCGAGAACAAGCTGATTCTAAGATTCTGTAATAATCACGAATGAAGACCAGGGAAACAGAACATAAATATGTATGGCAGTCAATTTTTCATTTATCAACTCCTATACTCCTGTCCCACTAATTTCTTTTATCAAACGAACGTAAAACGCAAGTGGTAGCCCGAGTTAGTTTGCGTCTCTACTATAGCGCATGAAGGTATCAGGAAACCATATTGGCTATTTTCAGAGCGAACCATTGCTGCCTAGGGTTTCGCCTATCCTCCTATCCTCTTGATACATTCGTTTCTGCGACAAGTGGTTGTATTAGGAGACTATAAAATGCAAATTGGCGCTAGCTCACAACACAACTACTTTCAACTTGGTGACGCCCTCTATACTACTTATAGATTTACTGTTGTACAGGTATCAGGAAATCATAATGTACTATGCGATCAAAAATGAGTTGCTATCGAGTCACCTTTGGAATTTTTTTTTCTATGGGAAAGCAACTCATTTTTGATCGCCAGGTACTATCGTAAGCATAAATAACAGAGATTAGCACAAGAAACATACAGAAGGTAAAACGTATATTATTTATCGACCCCTGTGATCCTCATACATTAAGTTCTGACAGAAATTTATGTATTAGGAGCACATAATTTATATTTTATATGTTTATTACGGTATTACCAGTAACGCATAGGGAATCGTTGGGTATAGTTCTGTGTACGTCTTAAGGGGACTGAAACCAGCCAAATCCCCTGTCACGTGCGAATGCCTGAGTCTGTCAAACCAAATTTTCAAGCCATATGTAAGTGTGGGAAGAACTGCACAGTTAAAAATGGACTCTAGTGACTTCTTTGGGAGATTCCATTCTAAGCGCTTGTATTTCGGGGTTCTGGATTATGACAGGGTCCGCGCGCACCTAGGCCTCAAATTCGGGCCCTTTGTGCTACCTCCCTGACTAGAGTCGTCCGACCCCTCAACGTCACTCAAGCGATCCCACACGTAAGAAAGATGGAAGGATGCACCTTGCTATTTCGTCAATAACAATTAGATTTGATAATGCCCACTGCGAAAGAACGAGCCCTCACTTACGCCGACACAACGAGCAAATCTTCGTAAAACACCTACAGCTCTTAACAGAACACGTGCGTCAATTAAATTTCACCTGATAGAAACTTCTTATCGCAAACGACCAGATGTGTCTTACTTCTAATACATTATCTAAATTGAATAAATTACAAAAGCGGTAAAATTTAAACAACAATTACGCATTTACACAAATTCTAAAAAGAAAAACAACACTGAAATACAAATTCAAATGAAACGAGCCCACTCTTTATACGGAAATAACGTCTACATGACGTTGTTTACACAACATTATAAATGTGCTTTTAGCGTTATTTTTATAATGAGATTATATTTAGTTAAAAGACGCACGTTTTGGAGATGATAAGCGGAATTGAATTGCGAGGGATGCGTGAGTTAAGTCGGTCGGCCGGTGGAAAACGCTGAGCTCTCGTAGTGTCACCTGTTGATTGTAACTGTGTATGTAGAACTGCTTAAGTGACGGTTCCCAGCGAGAAATTATTGAACAACGTGTTTGAACAGTGATGGTGAACGTGATTAAAAGAAATATTTACAGTGCGTGGGAAGTAGCTTTGGTCTGCGTTGTATTAAAATAAGTGCGATTATGTTAAACAAGACAGCGAACCGCAAATAAATAAATCACACTGAGTGCTAATAAAAAATTAAGAACTGAAACTCCAAATAAATAGAAAAATTCCAATTGCTAATGGTTGTCCAAAGAAACAGCGTTTTGTTTTCACCGCAGCGCATTGTTCTTTTCGCGTGCGATTTGTTTCGAATGCTCGCGTTTTGTTAGTTTGTTAAAAAATTGGATCATTTCAAAGATTTTGAAACTCACTCTTGGCCAATTTCTAGGACATTTCGCAGCCCTTGGAGACCTTTTGTGATTTTTGAAAGATCTTAAAGGTCTTTGAAGGTCCATGAAAATGTTTCAGGAGTTCTAAGAATTCATTAAAGGCTCTTAAGGACCCACAAAAGGAGTTAAGGACCTGTCATGGGCCCCAAAAGCTAGTAAATGGCGGTGGAGATCATTGAAGAGAAAACATTAGGTGATTTACAAAGGCTCTTAAATAAACGCTTTTAAGATTTTAGGCCCGTAAGGACTCTCAAACACTAATAAAAGTCTTTAAGTGCCCACTCCTCTTGACAACCCATAAAAGCTTTCGAGGACTCACAAAAGGAAAGAGGGGTTAAAGGCTCGCCTTTTAAAGGAGGGGAATTTCAAGGACATCACGCAGACGAAAGGTAAAATCCGTTAAAACCAGGTTCTCTAAGAGAAGAGGAATTGCAAGGGCTTGACAGATTAGAGGAAATTTTTTGGTCTATCTTTGAGGTCGTTGTAAGACTTTTTGCACATTTTAAAGGCTCTTGAAGACTTTAAAGAGATATACGAAAACATTAAATAGTCTCTTAACTGGCCTTTGAATGCTTTTAAATTTCCGATTACTATTTTCCGCACCCAATTTTAAAAATGGCTTAAATGTATGACGTCAATTACCTTTCTTCGTTCGCCCAAAAGGAATTCCTCTATCTTCTGTACAATCAAGACACTCCACCGCACTACTACAGTCATTGGCTTGGAAGTTAAGCGATAAACGAAATAGC